TTTCAACGAGACCTATGGAGTGCAAGAGCAAAAGGCTCTGTGTGCTGTTGGTGTGCACAATCAGATATTCTGACATGTTGATTTTATGAAGTTGTATCTGGGCGCACCACATCACTATTTTGAAGGATCATTCTTTAACATTTTTTGTTTTAATAACTATCATAGATAAAGTCATCTAAATGGAGCCTCTTCTCCAAGTGTAACGAAGCGTGCAAGAACAAAAGCAAATATAAACGATAGTTCAGTTTCTCTTCTTCTTCGACATTATCCAGCTTAACTTTATAACGTCTTCTGCTAGCTATCCAACCTATATCTCCGCATCAACTTCTGTCTCTTCTCTCATGCTCACTAATTACAATAACAATAACTCTCGTTCCAGTCTCTCGTTGCTCACATCCTCACACAAGTATGTAGAGGATGGTTTTTTGCCCCCACCCTCAAATAAATAGTGAAGCCATCAATTTGTTCAATCTTTTAGGGCACTTACAAATAAAATCTTCAATTGGTTCCCAAACTACAACATGCAGAAGAAGTCAGTATACGAAGTCAGCAAATCGAGAAACTGTAATATGATACGATACAAAATTGAATACTCTATATTAGGTTTTCAAAGGATAATTGTTGCTTGCTTCTAACTGAACTAGCCATAGTAAAGAGGATCACGTCAGTTTTTGGTCTCTTTGATCTGCCACACCCAAACCTTTACTAGAGTGCAGAGGTTCCTGGACAAAAATCTCTCAAGTGTGCCCATACGATATTCTACACAGAGACTGTTGTAAGGAAACAATATGGTATGGCACTCACCTCCTTCGGAATATCTTGCACCAACACCACATGCCCTTTTGCACGTCTTTTGGTCAAGTATATTTGCCTATACAGCACAAAAACTTCCCATTCCTTCTTCATAATATACAGGAATACAAGCGAATATATCAAAACAGCAAGCAAATGGGCCCATAACTTCGGTGACTCTAATTTCACGTTTGACATTGATATCTTGTCAAGGCCTTCTTTCAATTTCATCCCGCCGTTTACATTCAGCGGAATCAAAATGAAAATCCCGTATGGCAGCGTAAATATTGCAGCTTTAAGCAAAAGTCTGAGGAACCTGAGATAGATTAAAGCATCGAGACCAAGATGATTGAATATATCATCATCGTTGATCATCATGGCAGGCGTAACCCAGGCAAATAGAGTGCTGGGTAATTTTCCTTGAGGCAGGCGTTGTTCGGGCATCAGCAGAAGCCTTGGCGTATATATCCTCTTCAGCTTTGTTTTCAGCCATGAAAATAACAAGACAGTGATGATAAACAAAATCAAACAAAGTATTAATACAGTGATGAATGATTCTGTCGGTTCGTTGAGGTTAGAAATTTCGAGGAGAATAGAAATTAGAAAAATTGGATTTTGAAAAAGCCTAGAACATAATGGTTAGTTTGCATAAAACGTTAGGCACTGAATAGAAATTCGTGTGAGCTTTTTTCTTCTGAACATGACGTAGAAGGCTTTGAAAAACAAAAACTGCTCATGGACCAGCGTTTTAGGCACATGATAATTTTTTAAAAGTTTATGGGTAAGAGAGATGAATGGTGAAAAAGTTGATGCCAGTCTAAAAAATTTGAATGCTGAAGCTCTTTGTTAAAATCAGATTTCATCTTTGGAGCGAGAATCACAGACTTGAGAATTTGAGCCCACGATGATGCTAGAACTACTTGAGAACAGAAAATATTTTCAAAAAGGTATAGTTTATTTATGCGAATAAGCGCTCCATCTGCTGATTAATTTCTTAATTGGCAGCACATTTTCTAGGTTATAACATGGTTTCAACATGCTATTTTGTAAAGAAAAGCAGCACGTTACAAAGCTTATTTCAATAAACTTAATAAATTTAATAACCTTTATAAACTTTACTTGGTAACGGTGAGTCTTCTGAAGAGGTAAGCTTTAGATCCGACAAGGTAAGCGATTGCAGAGAGCACGAGTACGGTGTTTGTGATGAACCTAGCAGGCCCAACTCTTCTTCACACGCAGTTTACCCGCGCTCATTTTTCCACAGTGCAAATGTTCAGTCGTTTTGCCGCCACCAAACTTTTCTGGATGTCCACACACTGAACAAAGTGAGCAATGTCCAGTGCCTGACCAGTGCAAATGTCCAGTCGTTTTGGCGGGGCCTTACAGTGCAACGCAGTTCTGCCAACCCATTCTTGTTAAAAAACTACAAATATAAGTTGATTTGTTTTGTCCGACTGTATTCTGAAAACCAATAGAATAGCTAAATATCTAAAATCTACAATATCTAAAAAGAGTTCCAGTAAATTAATCAGTTTATAAATAGAGACCCATAAGGAAGCAGCCAATGACATAACAGAAGCGAAGTAGGTTCGTGGAAAAATCGTGGAATACAATATCAGATTATCGAGCATCGGGATTTGGGCCTAATAAGAAAACTGGTACATCCGCAAGACAGTATCAAATCAGAGCTAGACGAGAAACTGTTAGCTCTAAAGCATTAGAACTTAGAAATAGGAGATATAAAAAAGAACGCAGATAAAAAGCAGTCAAATCAACATCGTTCAACTTGAGTTGCTATACCTAAGCATGAATGCAAAGTGTTCAATTTTGAAATAATCATCCCGAAATCTAAAAGAGAAATCCATTACAACCCCTTAATTATTCTAAAGTTGCTATTCTATATAAAATGATGGAGCGTAAGGCAGATTTCTAGCATTACATACCAGGGTTTTGGCTATCAAACAAAACTTTGAAAAATATTGGACTGTCACTGTTCGTAGAAAATATAAAATCTTGCTACCCTGTGTTTTTTATGCCGCGAAATTTCGGTTTTGTTGTCGTAATATCACGTCAGCTGAGCACTTGCGAAGCCAAAGATTTGAACAATCGTAATCAATTTTTACAGCAATTTAAACCAATGATATAGAAAGCTGAACATCAACGTATAAGACATTCAACAAAAGGTAATGTTAGAACTTTACAAGTATATGAAGCTTGCAGCCCTTCTTAGATCGAATTCCAACTACTGGAATGTAATAATGCTGACGTTGACATCACCACATCGTCAACCGCTGATACTCCTAACGTTGCCATGCATACTTTCAGCACTTTGTCAAAATATGCTCGAAATTTTTCAGTTCAGTTACTCCATTACTAGTTCTGACTATATTATTTTTATATCATTACTAAGTTTCAGTTTAATTACTTTAATTATCACTTTAATCAGCCCATTATATGATTATTTCGCATTCACAGAAAGTAGAAAAGTTTCCTATTGGGGAGAGGAAGACATAAACGCAGTGAATGATATGGGAAATCTATTTCATGATTAATTGGCTATTTGCACTACTGGCCTAGTTTTCTCCAGAATTCGATAATTCAGTCTTTTAAAAATAACACAGATTGTTTACATGTTTGCAGTTACATTAAAACTTAACGTTCAGCAACTGGCTTTGGAAGAGCATAACCTACTTGAAAATTTTATAAAATGTAGGGAGGGCTGATAGATATCAATAATAAAATACTGAACAAATACTAGCAAAGGCCTTAAAAGCAACTTCTGTTTGTAGATATTGAAAGAAAAATCTGAAAGAAAGACGAGATACGAAAATGACCAACATTGGTCATTAACTGTATGTTATGTCAAAAAATGTTGAAAAGGTCGGAATGTTCACTTCAATGACACCGACAAAGAATCCAGATCCGATTTTTGTGGTTGAAGAACATTATGATCGAGGCATGTGCACTTCTTACATACATTAATTCTGAAGTTTCTACCTTCTGAAAGTATTAATTGCCTTATTCTCTTGCTTTAGCCGTAAAATATTGCTTATCTAACTTTACCAATCAATGTCGAGACAATCTTAATATTAATAAAAATGATTTTAATCTAAAAAATATAACCTACAGTTTCATTAAATTGCACGGTTTCCGTCAGCTAATATAAAAAGCCATTGCAAAAAAATAAAAAAGGTGGATATGGATAGATAGATGGTGTGGGTCGGCGGTCATGGTGTTCGACTAATAGTTTGAAAATCGTTGCCTCGAGTATCGTACAGGGTCGGTAAATGAGAACACGTGGAAATCGCTTTAGGAGGGTTGGACATCAAAACTGGGGAGTAAAATTTAACAAATTAATCTGCTCGATTATCATCTGCAGATAAAGAATTCCCCCAGTACAGAAATTCCAATGACAAGAATGCAACATCTACAAGTTCAGAAATTTGTGAATCAGAAGGTGTGACACCACAAATATCTGGTCTTCGGATTTGCAGCAGAACGTCGTCATTAAAAAAAGGAGAGGATCGAAACGAAGGAGAACTGGGGGTTGCAGCGAGCTGTATGCAAAATTCCTCAAACAGTGGTAGAGAGAGAGCGCACTATTTGGCAGTAACAAGTAAAGAGGCAAATGGTAATATTAGTGAAGCAAGAGAAAGTTCAACAAGCAACTCTGAAGAAATATACAGAACATTGGAACACGCAGCTGTCTGCCTTAAACGAGACTGTGTAGACGATAATTGCTACACGCTTAAGCAATTCTTCATGCACCTTACAACATGTGATAAAAACAGTAATAGCGGATGCATGATATGTTTTGCATTTGATGCAATGGTCTGCCAGGTGAATAGCATTTACTTTCGTAAACATTTACATAATACAAATAGTTTTCTTCAGATTCTAAAGCAGCATCATCGGTACTTGATCCACTGGTATCATGAAAGCTTTCTGTAAGTGAAGGGATAAACCTAACGCAGTCTAGAACCTCGGCGAATTGGTTTTGCATACAAGCCATTAACAGAATTATTGTCAAGTGGACAAGAGTGGTTAATACGCAAATTTTTGAAACCCGTTTTTTTGCGACATACTGAAATGCTTTTGAAAACTAGGCATTCAGATATTAATAAACCCGGCCGAGGAATCTCTCACAAACAACTTGTTACTCTAGACTGAACTTCTCAGCTCTATGTTATTACTTTAAGAATCTTGCTTCTATACCAGTTAAAAATAACTCCGTAGGCCTCTTCAGGTATTTCCAAATTCCAAACTGATATGTATAAATATAAAGTCAAATTGCACTAGCAGTAAAGTAATTCGCCGCTTGAAAAATTCACAGCACTTGTTTTCTTTTTATTATGATTTGGGGGGGGGGGCTTTTAAGGTAAATAAAAATTTGGTTTTAAAAGGAAAATTGATGGTAAACAATCCTTTAATGGAGGATAGAGGAGACTAACGTATGTATAATTTTGATTTCCAACCCCGTGGATAACCTAAAAGTAGACATAATAGCTAAAACTTCTTGTTTTCAGCACTCCAAAGTATGCATGCACCGTCTTGACAGAACATGTCCAGTTCCAAAATGCGACAAAATAAGATCCAAAGTTATAGAGGAATGGGCAAAGTTGAAAGCTAAGCATGGCCATTTAATGAAGATTGCCTTCCTTATGTTATCCCACGCTCGCCTATGTGGGGATGCAGCTTGTCGAGAGGGGGTTTGCTGCAAAAGAATGAAACAGGTAATTCGGCACACCAATGTATGCGCCAAGAAAGGTGATTGCAAGTCTAAGAATTTCCTATTTTCTCTCTGTCAGCAACACCACGAAATTTGTGCAGATTTTACCTGTCCTGTTGACTTCTGTCAGGAAAAATTCAGCAATGTGGAATTATGTTCAAAAGCAGAGCAAGAGTCGTCCCAAGCTGTTAAATGCTGCTCTCTCAATGGAACCAGAGCGTATTCAACTAAGGTATGCTAAAAATTCTTAACAATTTCTAATGGTAGATGCAATGTGCAATTTACGTGATTTCTCATTTGATTGAAATTATATTCTTGAACCTTTGCACACAGCATTTCAATTTAGAATAGAATAACTGTCTAATATTCCAGGTATTTTCTGAATGCAAACACGACACAAAGAAAGTTGACCTAACAAAAGAGCCTTTCCTGTTGAGCAACAATATTAAATATGTGACGAAACCTGGCAAGTTGGTACAGGAAGGCGTTGGACAAAAACAACTAATGACCCAAATGGTAGATGAAAACAGAAAGCCGTATTCTTTTGGAGACACAAGGCAGCTTCCGCATTTAAATAACAATCCACAAGAATATATAATTACCGAGAATGCATTTTTGTGTACAACAGACTTAGGGACGGTCACAAGAAGCCCAAAACATGCACCAGAACAAAGGACAAACATTGCTTTAAGACGCACGATTCGCAGACGTCGAGAAGACAAAACATGTTGGTACACCGAAGGTGAAGAAACTGCCCCTGATGAAGAAATACTGATTGATTATGCTTGCTTCGACAACAGTGTATCTAAGAACATATACAGTACAAAATATGAGCCATGTGGTCAGTTGTTCACTGAAGACTACGCACTGTGGCCTAGCCATCATAGTAGCAAATCCAATCTATTTTCTCCTACACAGCTTCAAAACATATTGATGGGAAAAGAGCATGGCAAACATGATGACATCAACTCAAAAATTTTAAGAAGGAGTAGTGGAGATAAGGGGGAAAATGAAGATTATGGGGATATTCCAACAAAAAAGGCTATGCTTGCAGATGAAGAAACAACTAAAGAAAAAAACATAAAGCAACTTCTGAAAAATGAAAAAGCAATGCATTGTGTTCGAAGACTTTTCCCTACAAACGAAGCAAAAAGTCCAGGGGATTCTGAAAGTGACTCTGAGTTCTGCAAGAACTTGTCACAAGGCAGCAGCAGTCAGTCAGAAAATAATGAATGGGCAATTAAAGCATAATACTTGACAAATGAATTCGATTTTGTTACCTCAATTTAAATGTCTAATTATGAATATTTCTTGTTTTGAAAGCATTAATAATGAAAATCTGTTTGGAGCTAATTATAAATGTCAATAGGACAATGATTAAATGCCATTATATCAATTTCCAGTCATGTGACATTATTGTGTTTCATTTTCCCTAAAAATACATGGCAAACGACATCAAGCAAAGCTGGATATATATTAAAATTTTAGAGGTATACATGGCCAATAGGATGGTTTCTCTTTATCACAAAATTTTTCAAAGTTCAACTGCAACTCAGCCTCTAGATTTAAAATCTTTTCAAAGTGTGGTCCATATCTTTCTTTATACATTTTCTTTTTATCCACAAAGACTGGTGCATTTGTTGTTGGCTGAAAAGGCTTTTTACTGGCTGAAACATAACATAAAGCAGCATATACAATAAAAATGTTTATTTACAGCAGATATTATACAGCATAGTAAAACCGGAAATTATTGGGTAACAATTAACTTTGGAAAGGTCATTAACTCATTATGAAAGATGAAACAGGCAATAGAGTTTTAGCACTCGACAAACAGGCGATCGGTTTGATTTCAAAATTGCTCAAAGTTTAGTACAAAGAATTAAAAAATATTCTCTCCTGGAAAGGCAAAAAAGATCTTTCTTGGAAACCAATGATCTGTGTCCCTGAATAGGATCTTGGACAGATACAGTTACTCATTAATTTTTGATGGTTTTGAAAAAGAAACATGATTGCTTAAATATGTAAATCTCCAATATGTATGCTTAAATCTCCAAAAGTTTTTGAAGACTTTTTCCAAAATTCTTAAGTATGTAAAGTGTTTTCCTCTTTCTTTCCTCAATACATCATTCCTGGTAGTATTAGGCATACAATCACATGGACATGTCTCACACCCTAAAGCTCACCAGCTGTGCTTTTTATCACTCACACAGCATCACGCTTCTACTGATTATTCGCTTTTCTCCTTTGGCTTTTTTAATTTACTGGTAATTTTCTCTAAAAAATTTGTGTAATTTTTCTTGCGAGCTATATCTTGATAGCATGTCCAGTAGCATGATCTCACTTATAGCTCTGTTCCCATCACTACATCCTTGTACGTCTCTGTTTTCAGATCATGCTATCTTTTGTATTTTCTTGAACTGTTCCCATTACTCCAGGCCACTCTGTTTTGGTCAAAACAAAAACCGTTTTCAGTACAAGAGTCATGTTTTGAATACTACATTTTCATCTGTTCTGAATCCTTGAAACTCTCATATCATGTTCAAGCTCTTTGTGAAACTGAGAATGAATTACTTCTTTCTTGAATGCCTCTGTTTTCGCTGTTCCCAACAAAATAATGTTTCAAATGACTCCATTTTGGAATGATTCCACTTTAAATAGCCTTTTCAAACGACTCTATTTTGGCTCAAATGACTTGATATTTGAGCATATGAGCACAAAATCATATGGATCCGTTCTCATACAAGAACAAAGTAATGCGAACAGGACCTAAAAAGCATGTACTATGCTTTTCATTAAATTTTTTGTTGAAACTCCTTCTAAGGTTTGGTAAAAATTATTTGGCTTATAATTAATTCAAAGGCTATCAGATCTTCATAAATATCACAAGGTCTTCATTTTGTGGAACCCATATCATGACATGTCTAATTAGCAGCATGCTAACAAATTTTACATTACCAGGCCTGATCAAATTTCAAAATCATTTTATTCCCCTAATTCCCTTCTTTGCCATTACCATATTTTTCTTCATAGATACTTTCTTGCTTGATATATTTTTGGAGACAGAGCAAAATAACCAAAAAATGTCTTACCATCATAATAAATATAATCAGCACTTTCATTCTTCTCTTTATCTTTCCTTTTCCTGTGATTTTCATTTTCCTTTTTCTTTCCACTTGAATGCTGTTTCAATTTTTCTAGAAGCAAAATGAGTCTTAAACTGATATATTTGTCATGAGTACCACCCAACTAATGAGCACATTATCAGAAACTGGCCTTGTTTATCTAAGTATGATGAAGCAATCCAAATAATTAGTAAACTGTATGAAAGCATCCTCATGATAATATTGTAAGGCATAGCATAAATACTTAAGCTTGGTGTCAACTAGACAAATGGTATCATTTGTGCATGTTAAATTGCCAGAATACTTTCAACATTAGTGGAAATGAAATTAATATTCTAAAACAAAGAAATTGTTGCAGATTTTCTTTATTTAAAGTACAATTATTTTATTTCAAGATCTAGTTTAGGGCCCCATCAGATTTACATCAGGAAAACCAGGAGAAACCTTGTTAAATACCATTGCAGCATATCAATGCGGATCTCTGCTGCAGATATGCTTGCTGACAGATTCAGTGGGTACATTTGTCTAATTTCATTTACTTCATAAAATGGCAAAGAATGTGAGATTCAGTCCACCGGCATAGACTTAAACACCTTTAGTTTAGTTACTGACCCCTTTCTTCTCGGTGTTTGCTTGATATTTCCAAAAATCTTTTGAAATCCTCATTCAGCTCCATTTGGAAGAAATTGTTGTCTTTTTTGTTACCCTTGTCATGGCTTTCCCTGTCAACAATGTCTCCTGAAACAACTTTTCGATTCCATTCGTTCAAGTCTTGGTCTGTCCGTCTTGACTTTGCATCAATTCGGTCGTAGTCCTCACCACTTTCACCTGGGGATTCGTCTATGTCATTGCATTGACACATGTAATCAGAGTTGGCTAGCGAATAGCAACTGTAGCGAGCATTGTAAAACCTACTTAAGTACTCGTTAAACTTGAACCAGTGCCACATAGCTCGCTGATACAGACGTAGCTGGTCCCTTTGTGACTGTCTCGTTATTGACTCACAGTAATTACACCTAGGCATTGGTTTGCGGATTTCGTTTTCTCCAGTCAGATTGTCTTCGTCTGAAAAGCAGTAGCAGCTATCATTGCAAATACAAGAATCCTCAGAATCCAGCTCCATCGTACTGTACACTCTCTTTCGACCAGCTCTTTGCATTTCGCTCATTTGGGCAACTTGCTCGTACTTCCCAGTGTTCTATATCAGTGGTCTTTCCCGGCTCTTTTCAGGGGCTACCATCATTTGTTAGCCTCGTATTTGGGCGGATTTCATATTGGACGTAAACCACTGGTATCTATAAAAGATCTTTTGGAGAGATCAGTGATGTAAACCGACACACGTTGTTTTTATATATTTTAAATCGATTGTAAATTTATATTGGTCAATTAAATTGAATTGATGGAAAATTCTAGCTTTCCACATATTGTACATGAAACCTAAATTACATCGATTACTAAAAGAAATATTTCACTACATAGAAAGAATATAGGTTAACTTTGTTTGCATGCATTACATTTGCAGAGTGGGCCATTAATTCTTCAATCATTCACTTAAAAGTCATTTAGACTTTCAGCTGTTTTAAGTTCATAATTCGGTAATTTGTTCCAGGTTTTTGGCCATAGTAACTTTAGACTATTATAGCCAAAAGTTACTTGGTTTGGTCTATAATGTAAATCGAAAGGATATCGTGACGAGTTATTTGATATTTCAATTTGAAGATGTCCTGCATAAAAGAGGGATTGAGCTTTTTAAACGCTCTAAAGATTTCCACACAGAACTTTCAGGCGGGAAATGTGAATTGCGCACCAGTTTGATTTGAAAAGTAACTCACGATATGAACTTGAGTTCAGGGCCGCGGAGAGGATTCATGGGCCCAGGTCAAGACGAAAGATAAATAGTAAAGCATGCCTAAGGCAGATGTTTCTAGGGGTATGGGGAATGCTCCCCCAGACATTTCTTAAAATGATGGCTCAGGAAAATCTAAGTTTCTCACCTCTCCTATAAATTTTTTCTATCTAGGCCATTGCCTTGTGGCTATTACTTCTGTTTGCTGTTTGTTACAATTTGAGCATAACTGATATTTTAAAACCATTATGCATAAAAATGAGAGTTTCTTAGCTTCTTAGACTAACTGGTAACTGGCAAACTGGTAACTGGCAAGTTAAAAACCAAACGTTGTCCAGAAAAATCCCGGGTAAAGAGGTTTGTCGTTCATTTATTTCTATCCTGAATTGTCATCTTGTTTAATAATCTAAAACCTTCATTTTCCCGTCAACTTCATCGGTAGACTGGTACGCTAGGGCAATGCAGAATAAAAAAGAAAGACTGCAAAGATATAGTTTAGGCCTTATCATTATAACTAAGATACGATAAGCGAATAAATGACAATGTTAAAGGTGCAAGTTTCCGAAAACTGCGTCGTTTGTGAATACAAGTCAAGACAAAAAGGCGAGCGAATCACAAACACGCGAAACAACATTAAAATGTTTGAGATAATGAGGAATTTCAAAACATGTTTTTCAAATCACAGTAACAACTATTTATTATTTCATTCTCTAAAGTCCTTAAAATTTCAGGTTAATGCTTTCATGCTTCTATAGTTAATGATGGGGATTTTGTGCAAAAAATTAATACTTTACACAATTTAATCTACAAAGCTCCTTTAAAGACAATTGGAAAATACTCTAAGCTGTCTCTCGTTTGCTAGAGTGCGTCGGTCCTGTATGCAGCCAAATATACATTGATGATACGACACAGCTTCGTCTGTTTTGTGCACACTTTCTGGCACCCTTCCAGAAGAATCTTTGCTCTATCCCTAATCGATTTTCACTGTTGAATATATCTTTCTTACAAATGCACTTGTACCTAAATATCCAAAGGTACCTGAAAATAGATTGACAAGTATAATTAGTACCTCAATGTTAAGAGCACGCGTTATCTCTCCTAACTCAATGCATAAATTATGTGTAAGACAGAACCCCCTTCTGGTAGCGAACATGTGTTATTGATTTATTCATGGAAGTTTTTAGTAGTCTGTGAAAAAGAGATATTACGATTCATCTTTCTTATTTGTTTCACCCAGTAGTTTAATAACACATGACCCCAAGAAATGGTATATTTTAAAAGTTGTCCCCCTTTTTTAAATGTCACCCTCTTTCAAATAGATGTTTCTGTCGTAGAAGTATTTTCAAACATTTTATATAGGTGAGGGCTGTAAAGAAAAAATCTTGCAGCGTGATCCTGTTAAGTATAAATGCTTTGCTAACAAATTAGAAAACAAAATTAAAAAAATGTGAACAATTCAATTATGAGTATCAAAAATATTTTGTATACGTACCACACATTATACCAAGAGCTGTACTAAATAATGCCATATAGCCGAAATAAAAAGTCGTTTGAAACAAACCGTACATCCTAAAGAGATGAAAAAGATATGTTTTCAGCGAAGAAAAGTTACTTAGCCTGAAAATTTGACTATCTATAGATATCAACTCAAGATCAAACAAAGCATCTTACTGAGTGAGCTCGTCCCATCTCCTTATGGTTGAAGAACAAGCACACTTACATTTGACTTCAACGTGAATGCCCTTAGAATGCAGGAAGAGGGTGGCTTCCTCGGCTTGCTGGTCTTCCTGACAAGTTATTTGTCGGGCAAACCTATGCCCAGAAACAAAATATTTCCGAGGTTTATTTCTGTTTCCACGCAATTCTCTCTAAAGACAAATGCTGGACAAGGGACCTTTACAAAACTCTCTAGTATCCGTGCATTGTCGTGCAGGTAAACAGTAAAAAATAGCAAACGCAGAAACATAAATAAACAATAACTTAAAGAAAAAACAACAAAATAAGAACTTACTTTGTTTTGAAGAAAAAGTAATAAATTGAATAGAGGTAGACATAACCAGCAGTAGATGCAGCAGAAAGAAAGCTCGTCCATTGCCTGGAAAGTAAACAGATTTCTATTTTGGAACCCAACTCAATATTTCTGCAATAATTCACTATTTAACTTATATTAAGTAAGTCTATTTATTCCAAAAGAAATATATCTAGTGAGCAGGCTATATCTAAGCGGAAATCTTTTCGATTTCTCAAGACTTTCGTACTTAAGTCCTAATTCTTCAATTTCGATCTTGAATTCATTTAAGGATTTTTACTTTATTGCAATTAAACTTGATTATAAAAAATTATCAGCTAGGAGAATATATATATATATGTATATTAATATGCAGTTGTGGATAGAAAACAGCCAATCAGAAACGCGAACACATGACTGTAAATGTCGCCTAATCAGTGACGCTTGCCTTTTGAAAATATTACAAATGGATTACACGGGTGAAATGAAATGCTTCCTACTACACAAAAGCGGTTTTTTTCGTTTCTAAATTTTCAGGCTTTGTACTTGCTGGTTCCACTAACTTCTTCATATCAAACTCCAACCACTGTACTAATTCATAACAGTTGCCTACAATAAAACGATGAATCGATGCTGCTTTGCCACTTACCACCTGTAATCTTCAGCATTTAAAAGGAAGTAGGTGCAAACGATAGTGACGCAGACAGTGACAATGACTAGTATGAGGAACACAAGCAGCATGAAGCCATACACGTAGTAAATCTTGTAAGCCCAGAACGAGGTGAATATGAAATACCTGCATGGAAAGCAAAGTATATATAGAAATACATCCATTAGGTATAATGCATAGAAAACAAATTATATCACTTTTATACAGCATAAAAGCAGCTACACTGTAAGGTTTTCAAATATATAACAGGCATGTTTATAATTCCGTCAATATCACTTTGCACAAAATTTTTGCATAAACGTATCCCAATTTCTCGCTTTAACTTCCTTTTTCTCTTCTAAATCCTCTCTAAATTCACTTTCTATTAAAACTAATATAAGTTTGGCAAAGAAAAGTTCAGCTGAATCTTGTAAATCCGCCATCACAGTATTTTGAAAAATGCTGCTACGATTACATGGCTTTGATGCAAAATATCTTTCGTCTTTACGACTGTCACTGAACTGCATAGTATGACAACAATGGCAATATAATAATTTATATGAAATATATGAACTTACATTTCAATAAAAATAGAGCCAAACGGAAGAATGCCACCTAACCAGATAATCATACTTGGCTCCATGAACCTGAAAGGAAATCACAAGTTCTTTGTCAAATTTCAAAAACTTTGCGATAAATTACTGCATACGTTGAGCCTTGTAAAATTTCCGAGCAAATTATAAGCAAGGTTAGAGCCAACAACTGACCTGAAAAAAGGAAAAGGTACCGCTTTTTAACCATTTATGGATTCTTACATAATGAAATCCAGGTGACAAAACTTTCACTTGATGATAAACTCCGGTTAAAACTTCAAATTACCATTTTTTATCCGGAATTGGACGCGGAACAGGGTTTACACGGCACGGGTGATTTGGTTGTCCGTAGATGTTTCTGCCGAGAACTGTCCCAACCAAATTCAAAGGCAAAATAACGAATAAGCAGATGCAAGCGATTGCAACCTGAAAAAAACAAATTCCGTAAAAAATTATGCATATATCTTTTGCAATATAGAATAGAGCATGTGCTTTGAAAAACACAGAGTTGCAAAGAATAAGGAGGACGCCAAAGCAAGTGGGATAATTACCATTGTACCAAAAGGTATGGCCCTTGATGCATGGTAGTAAATGGCAATAAAGTTGATCATGAAAGCAGTGCTACAGACGAACATTGGCAGCAAGGAAGCACTCACTACCATCTGCTTTATCCATTCTTTTCCTGAAAACAATTGAATTGCATTTGCTTAGAATGGTATGAAAACTTAACGATGTAAAACAATACTTTGGACAGGAAATAATGATACAAATATTAATTATTCAAATAAAAATAAGTACTATAAACTTACAAATTTGAAATTTCAATAGATAAAAAAGGTAGATATATACAAGTTAAAGAAATATTTGAAAAACAAAATGAATGCGACTGGGAACTAATATAACATCTGAAAAAGCGATTGGTACCACATGTCTGATTTTGCTTCTAAAAACTAGTGGTCAAAGTCATAAATAAGAGAAAATTATCATGAATGCATTTACCGCCTAATCTTGAATATAGCGAGCCACCGAAAAACCCGTTGACTGGGCTTGTTGCAGCATAGACAAATATTGAAGTGCTGAGAATAGAGCCACGCCTGAAAAGAATTGAAAAATGTGTAGAGGTTAATCAAATGGATATGAAAAGTTCAATAAAGCAAATGTCAAAGTACAGAGTGGATGTGTATTATACGTCGATGTTGATATATATGAAATTGCCTATCTAAATATACTGTTAATGACTTGCCCGACATAGAGGTCTCCCATGATAATGAAAATGATAACGATCATAAGCACCGCTGCCAGCTGATAGCCAGTGCCAATCAATGAGGTGAAAAACAATGACGACGGGGGTGATCTGAACACGTCACCATGCACTTGCTTCCAGCCATACTCGTCGCCCAAATCGCGTTCCTGCATAAAGTCAGAATCGATTAGCTTCGCCTAATCAAATAAACACAAAACAGAAACGAAGGACAGATGATAATACACTTTGAAGATCAAAATAGCAAAATCTGGCGGACAATGAGAGTCCAGGGTAAGGAGTTTCTAAATGCAATATATAACAACGGCAATATTCATCTTATCGTTATGGTTGATTGTTATCATTTTCTTAAAACCTAATCAACCATTCCGAAAGAAAAACATAGGACAAAATTGCCTCTCATATCTTGTTCACAAAAATTGGAACAATCTACCATCAGAACTAAAATCTGCAAAGAACTTCAACAGTTTCAAACATAAGATCAAGATAAATTCTTGAAGATCTGCAAAGTTAAGAGGATAGCCCCTACACATTTTATTGAAAACCCAGAATCAGCCAACGAAAAGGTTCTAGTTAAAAGTTTTCAGAATATATGTTTCTTTATACAAATTCCTGTTTTCATGAACACATATCTTATTGTAAACACCTCTCGAGGGACCATTATGAAATCCAGATTGTATTGACCTGTTTAATGCTATCCCTGCCATTTTAAACCTTGGGTGTCTTAGAATACTTTTTTAGTTTTTACCTGTACTTTTTATCTAACAGTAATTAGATCTTTTTCCTTATTCTTAATTTTAGAATGTAATTTATTTTGATGGCAAAACTATACATACATAATAAATACGAAAAAGGTTAATAAACACCAAATTCAAAACTTAATTACGGGCTGGCAAGAAATGATGCAACAAGAATAATAAATGATTGTTTGCTTACCATTTCATCAAGGTCCTCTTCTCTACTGTATCTTGCATAATCCTTTCTCAAAGTACGCATGAGTATCATGCTGACAAGGCCAACGAGGAAGATGACCATCATGAAAGAGTTGAAAATCGAAAACCAATGAATGCGGTGTTGGAAAAAGCCAGGATCTAGGTATTTGTCGTATCTGTTGGCATACCCAATGGCAGATGGCTTCCACTTCACCTATTGCAAAGAAAAAGTCATTATGATTCAAAGCATGCTGGATCAAAGTTATGCTAGCATAACAAGGAGCATGACAAAGAGACATTTTTAAAGAAACCCTCGTTTGTCATTGATTTTCTGTCACTAGGTCAAATAATAGCTATCGTATGCATGATGCAATTTCTTGCAGTTTAACTAAAACTGCTCATTATGTACAATATGTGATGAATATACCGCATGATACGCTCATATCATATGATACAAGCTATATATCAGAACTTATGTTGCCTGATGATTGCATTAAATATGAAACTTGGAGTAGCACCTTAGAACTGTCCTGTGCTATACACCAAATAGCGTGCACAGATCTGGCTATACAACATCAAACATTTTATGACAGTCCGATCCCATAAAAAGTAGTTTCCAGTATATAAATACATAAATACTCAGTGAACGCTTAGGATACCCATGATTATCAAATGTACCTGGTACGTAAATGGAAGACTGATTCCTGGTTCAAGTTTGACTTTTGCTTCACTGGTCAAGTTTATATCTGCAATCTACGGAATATCAAAAACATATTACAGTTTGAATAATATTCAGCTTGAAAATGGCCAATCACTAGCTATAAAAGGAAATTACAAAATATTTAGGTCAATGAGGTTGAAACTGCTATCTATATGATAAAATAACGAAATCAATTAATTATCGCATATAAACAAAGTGGAATACCCAAGCTAAAAGTTATAAGTTGTATTATATGTTGAATGGTACAAACCTTGCCTCCATCATATCCTATATCAAACTTTTTGTGGGTCCAAATGTATAGTTCGTCATCTGTCTCCCCAATCTCTCCAACAATACCTATAACAAAGAGTGGATTTACTTTGGCTGCATAAAACGAAATTTTCAACCAGAACTATTGAACATTTTCCTGTGCAATGAAGATTCTCACAAAGAATTTTTTGCAAAGTTATTGATTCCTATTCAATACCTCAATTTACAGTCTTCATTAAGATCTCTTTCTTCTTGATCACTTATTAAAAACTTTCAGCATTTTGCCAGCATTTTTAACCCATTATTAGTTTTGTTTTCTTTTTACGATCTACTATTCTACAGTTCCACTCTAGCTTTCCTGCTAATCAAGCCTTATAACTTTCCCTTCAAACAACAAGAAATTACATTCTGGAAACTCTTTCTTAAACTTTCACTAGAATCTATCCCATTAATAACATTCCTAAAGAGTTACACAGCTGAACATTGATCTCATTTTTTGAACCTTTTAAACAAATTTTAAAAAGGTGAAATGTATTCAGAAACATGACTATTAATTTTGCAAACCAATTGAAAAAGTTAAGGTATATTTGCAGCTATATTTGCTGACAAAAGAACCCAAGTTATGCAAGATGCTTGAAATGAGACTTTTTATCCCATTCAACCAAAAGGAATCCTTTGCAAAATTCTAATTTCCATCTTGTCAATATTGAAGATAACTTGTTCAAAACAAGCACACCAACACCTTAAAGACTTGAAATAACACTAAATCTACAAAGTGATTTTATATCAAAATCATTAGAATTTTGAATGTGTGAATGTAAAAGAAGCACAAACAATATTTCAATGTAAAAAAGTAACAGAATAAAAATGATATGTTTTGTTCATAAAAACTACACAGGATTAATGCTTTAATAGGAGTTGTCATTTAACAAAGTAAAAAAGTAAACAACCAAGGCAGCCAAGGCTCAGGGAAGTATGACAAACATAGCAATACTCAAGTTGCACTACATGCTAATTGCTACTTACCCCAAACTGGCAAGTCATCTAAAACAAAAATAAAATTTTAAGGATTTAAAGCCAAAATTGAAACATTAACATCAATAGCTTTTTAACAAGTTGCAAGTTTTTATTTTGAAGCTTTCATCTTTGGTCTGATGCAATTTCATATAACTGCCTACATTGAAATTCCACTCCTATTGCTACAAAAATCGGTTTTATTCTCTGACAAAAGGACATGAAACAAGGGCCCTTATTGATAACAATATTTGTAGTATTGACAAGATTTTACCCTGTATAAATATTCCTCTTATTATTATTATTATTATTGTTATCTTAACAAAGTCAAATTACACCCTAGATTTTGTTTAACATATTTTATTGATAATATTGTCTATTGACATAAGATAAGAAATTCTACCTGCAAAGACTAGGGCATATGCATTGCCAGATGTTTTACTAGTCCAATTCAGACAAACAAGTCATTTTAAAATTAGCAGGCTCTTACCTACATACATTTGATACCAGTAATGGTTCTTTACTGCATATGATAAAGCATGGTAGTTTTCTTTATCCAAGTTCACCTGGCAGTATTTTGTCACTGGGATGTCTTCTGCAAAATAAATCAGTTTAGTGTAATTTCATTCATTATTCTAATTCATCAAAGTTCAACAGAAATAATACTGCTAAATGAATAATATTCATTGTTAAATCAAGTAATGGAATAATGAACAATTTAAATACAAAAATAATATTGTGGTCATTTGAGAGGATGGTTTATGTTTAGCCAACATTATTTTCAAAACAATATTTTGCTTCGTGGCAATATCGTTTTATATTTTCAAGGGCTCATTAAATCACTGTCCATGGTTGTTTTAAGGAGTGCTTAATGAGCTCGCAATTGGTCGAGCGCCTTTCCAGACAAGGCCTGTTGCCATGTATATAAATACATATGTATACATCTTAATTTGGCAATATAGCTAATTCATACATTGTTGTTTGTTTCCAAGGACCAAGCCCTAAACTGGTTTAAATTTACTTTCTATTCCATTCTGTGAGGTTCAAACAGCGGGCTTGAACTTGTACATGCCTGCCCGCTGTTGTTAGAGGCAACAAGTGTAATTCACGACACCACAAGAGCAGCATACAAAATAGACTTGATACATGGATACTTTATTAAAGAGCTGTGTCACACTGATTGCTGGCAACAGTTGACCAGAGTAGAGCAAGCTAAGCATTGAACAATAAACTATGCATAAAAATAGAATGTGTCCAGTCAACATTCTTCTTCTTAGAAAATAAAGCATAAGAAAATTGAAACTTCCAAGTTAAAGAAATTAAAACAAGAAAATGTCTACTGACTATAACAAGAAACCACTTCTTTCTGAAAAAAAGACATTGGCGAAAGATCTTCTATATCAAACATGTTATGGTATAGACTGAATTAAATACATTAAATATATATATATAGAATAGCTATATCCGCATAGAAAAACTATAATTAGTTTTTTTCTGCTTTAGCAGCCACATAAATGTTGTTAACTAGTGCTGTCCAAGTTTGTCGCACTATTATCTTATGTTCTGGGTTGAATTGTTAATCAAATTAATTCTTAAAAAAAACAAATATAATCACTCCATATCGAAAGATAACTCCCTGGCAAAAAATTGCCTCTCATATCTTGTTCACAAATTGGAAAATCTACCATGCAGAATTAAATTCAATAAGAATTGAAGTTTTAAAAAACATAAGATCACGATAATTTTTGAAGATTGCAAAGTTAAGAGGATAGCCTACACATTTTAATTGAAACCAGAATCAGCAGAAGGTTCTAGTTAAAGTTTTCAGAATATAATGTTTTTTTAAATTAATGTGTGTTTCATTGAACCATATGTTATTGTTCAAAACTTACGAGGGCATAATGAAATCAGATTAGTTGAATGTTTTAATGCTATCGTCAGAATTTTAAACTTGGTGTTAGAATATTTTTTATTTTACCTGTACTTTTTTATCTACCAGTAATATAATTTTTGTACCTTATTCTTAATTTTAGAATGTAAATTTATTGATGGGCAAACTATAAACATAATAATAATACGAAAAGGTTAATAACAACAAATTCGAAAGACTTAATTAGGGCTTGACGAATGATGGGCAAAAGAATAATAATGATTGTATTAGCTTAACATTTCATCAGGTCCTTTCTCTCTGTGAAATATGCATAATTTTATCAAAGTACGAACATAAGAGAAGTTCTATGCCTGACTAAGGCAACGAGGAAGATGAACCATCATGAAAAAGAGATTGAAAATCAGAAACAAATAGATGCGATGTTGGAAGCACAAGTGATCTGGTATTTGTCGTTCTGTTGGCATACAATGGGAGTGCTTCTACTTTTATTGCAAAAGAAAAAGTATTATGATTTCATAGCATGCTGGATTAAAAGTTAATGCTAGCATAACAAGGAATACACATAGAGACTTTTTAAAGAACAACTCGTTTTCATTGATTTTCTGTCATAGGAAAATAATAGCTATGTATGCATGTGCATTTCTTGCGTTTACTAAAACTGCTCATATGTTAAATAGTGAAATGAATATAGCCGCATGATAGAGCTCATAGAAATATATGATACAGGATATATTAATAAGACTTATGTTGCTGATGATTGCTTAAATATGACACTTGGAGGTAGCACCTTGAATGTATGTGCTATACAAATAGCGTGCACAGATCTGGCTATCCAATTTAAAATTTTGAGTCCGATCGATAAAAAAAGCTATTTTCCAGTATATTAAATACATATACTCTAGATGAAATCGTTAGGTATATCTTCATGATTATAATATTACCTGTAGTTAAATGGAAGCTGATTCCTGGTTCAGTTGGACTTTGCTTTCACTGGTCAGTTTTTATTATGTGCACCTCGAATATCAAAAACATATTACGTTTGATATATTCATTTGAATGGCAATATAATATAAAAAGGAATTACAAAATTTAGGTCAATGAGGTTGAAACTGATAATTATAATATAAATAGAATCAATTATTTCGATTATAAACAAAGTGGAACTACACAGCTAAGTTATAGTTGTATTATATGTTTGTGGTACAAACTTGCCTGCCATCATAATCTATATCAAACTTTTTGTGGGTAAAATGGGGTGGGGGCAGGGTGTTCTTGGCTGCTAAACGAATTTCAACAGTATTGAACTTTTTCTGTGGGAATGAAGATTTCACAAGAATTTTTTGGCAAAGGTTAGTGGGTCATACCATCAATTTACAGTTTCATTACAGATCTCTTTTTTCTTGTACTTATTAAAAACTTTCAGCATTTTTTGCCAGCATTTTTAACCCATTATTAGTTTTGTTTTCTTTTTACGATTACTATCTCAGTTTCCTCTAGGCTTCCTGCTAATCAAGCCCTTATTTACTTTCCATTCAACAACAAGAATTACATTTGGAAATCTTTCTTAAACTTTCACTGATTCTTCATTAATAACATTCCTAAGAGTTAAACAGTGACACATTGATCTCATTTTTGAAGTTTAAACAAATATTAAAAGAAGGTGAATGTAATTCAGAAACATGACTTTTTTGCAAACTAAATTGAAAGTTAAGGTTATTTGCAGCTATTTTGCCTGACAAGAACCCAAGTTATGCAAGATAGCTTGAAATGAGACTTTTTACCCATTCACAAAGGAATCCTTTTGCAAATTTTAATTCATCTTGTCATATAATTGAAGATACTTTTGTTAATATAAAGCACACCAACATTAAAACGCTTGAAATGCACATAATTACAAGAGATTTTATTCAAAATATTAGATTTTGAATGTGTGAATGTAAAAGAAGACAAACATATTTAATGTAAAAAGTAACACAGATAAAATGATATTTTGTCATAAAACTACAAGGATTATGCTTTAAATAGGAGTTGTATTTTAACAGTAAAAAGTAAACAACAGGAGCAGGTCAGGAAGTAATGACAAACATAGATAATAAGTTGCACTACCTGGTGCTACTAACCCTAAACTGGAATCTTTACAAAAAATTTTAAGGATTAAGCAAATTGAAACATTAATCAATAGCTTTTTTAACAGTTTGCAGTTTTTATTTTGAAGCTTTCATCTTTGGTCTGATGCATTTCATATAAACTTGCTACATTGAAATTCCACTCCTTTGCTACAAAAATCGGTTTTTTCTCTGAAAAGGACATGAAAAGGGCCCTTATTGATAAAATATTTGTAGTATTGAAGATTTGTAACTGTAAAATTCTCTTATTTTATTATTTATTGTTTCTTAACAAAGTCAAATTACCTAGATTATTGTTTACATATTTTTATTGTAATATTGTCTATTGACATAAGATAAGAAATTCTACTGCAAAGACTAGGCTATGCATTGCAATGTTTTATAGGTCAATTCAGACAAGTCTTTTAAATTAGCAGACTTGGGACTTTACCTACATAGCAATTTGATCAGTAATGATTCTTATTGACTGCATATGATAAGCATAGTAGTTTTTCGTATCCAAGTTACCCTGGCAGTTATTTTGTCACTGGGATGTCTTTGCAAAATAACTAGTTTGTGTAATTTCTTCTTATTCTAAATTCATCAAAGTTTTCAACAGAAATAATACTGATAAATGAATATATTCAATTGTTAAAATCAAGTAATTGGAATAATGAATCAATTTAAATAAAAATAATATTGTGGATCAATTGAGGAGGATGTTTATGTTTAGGCCAACATTATTTTTCAAAATTTTTTGCTTCGTGGCAATAATTGATTAATTAATATTTTCAAGGGTCATATAAATCGACTGTCAAGGTTGTTTTAAGGAGTGCATTATGAGCTCGCAATTGGTCGAGCGCTTTCCAGACAGGCCTGGTTTGCCATGTATATAATACATATGTATCATCTTAATTTGGCAATAAGATAATTCATACATTGTTGTTTGTTTCCAAGGACCAAGCCCTAAACTGGTTTAAAATTTACTTTTCTATTCCATTCTGTGAGGTTCAAACAGGGGCTTGAACTTGTACATAGCCTGCCGTGTTGTTAGAGCAAAAGTGTAATTCACGGACACAAAAGAGCATACAAAATAGACTTGATTGGATACTTTCATTAAGAGCTGTGGTACACCCTGATTGTGGCAAAGTTGACGCAGAGAGAGCAAGCTAGCATTGGACATAAATATGCATAAAAAATAGAATTGTACGTCAACATTCTTCTTCTTAGAAAATAAAGCTAAGAATTGAAACTTCAGTTAAAGAATTAAAACAAGAAAATGTCTATGATATAAGAACACTTCTTTCTGAAAAAAGACATTGGCGAAAGATCTTCTATATCAACATGTTATGGTATGACTGATAAATCATTAAATATATATATATAGAATAGGTATATCCGCATAGAAAAACTATAATTTAGTTTTTTTTCTGCTTTAGCAGCCAATAAATGTTGTCTAACTAGTGCTGTCAGTTTGTCTCTCTTTGTGCTAGTGTTATAGGTTTCAAGTAATTTATCAATTTGAACTGGGTTTGCTTGCTATATATATTTCTTGAACATGTTATTCTTTTAGCATAATTATGTGGTGTGGTAGTGATCTTGAAATGTAATTCTGGTCCTCGCAACTTCTTTGCATTTGATTTTTCAAAATAGTAGTTGATTGTTTTTGCACTGGTGTTTTTGGGTGTGGATCCTAGAAAATGTCAAAATTTCATCTATGTTCCGTGCACTTGGGGATAAACATTTAAAGTTTGCCTATACACTTTGTTTCATTGCTTTGTGTGCGGGTTATTATGACATTAAGTATCTCTCTTTAGTTGTTGTCATGAAAAGAGTTTAAACTTCTTCTTCTTCTTTGTTTATCCCAAGTGCCAGAGTTGTAAGAGAGAATTGGCTTGACTAGGACTTGTATAGCTTGAACTTTCAGAGTTTGCTTTATTCTGTCTTTTCTGATCCAAATATTGTTTAATTTGTTCATAGCGACAATTGCCAATTGCTTCCTTCTAGACAAATCTTTGATGTCTCCCAACAATGAATTTTTTAACCGTCCTCCATCTCTCTTGGCAATCTTGTTTTATGATCTTTAGATTGATTCCTTGTGTCTTTTCACATCTGTAAGGAACTTTGATTTTTTTTTCAAGTGTTGTCTCTTCTGTTTTGTTACAGTATGGTAATACAAATACATTACAGTATGGTATACGATTCCGTTATTGATGAACAATTAATCTAAAAAAAGTATACACTTACTTTTGAAAGCAACATCAAGGCCACTAAATTCAAGTTCAACCCCTTGCAATGCCTCTCCAATTGTTTCATGGTAATGGCTGATTGTTTTCTTTGTTCCTTTGCAAAATGGCAATGAAAAATATTCATATGTTTCTTGCCTGTTATGATATGGTCCAACTGTGTTCATCCAAACTACAACTTCCTCATCTTCTTTGTACTAAAATTAGCAAGGAAGAGTTCTGGTTTATCACAATAATGGGTAACTAAGGATCATGGGTGTAGCAGGCACTAAACATTTAGGGGGCTTGATATCAACCTTGCACAAATAATTGCTGAGCAATATATCAATTTAGCACTAAATTGACATAGAATTGCCTGAATTGAGCCTGAAATGCGATAAATTTTACCTGATTAGATAGGATAAGCGCTTAATAAAGTGGGCACTTTTTTAAGAAAGCTTGTTTGGATTAGCACTCATTTGAGGGGACACTCTGGTTTAATGAAATTGTGTTTTCATTGCTTTGAAACATGTTAGCAACGCACCTTCTGGTGCTATCTTTCAATGTCAAAATAAAAAATAAGAAACTTGTGTTGGGTTGTCTAATAAATATTCTCAATTTAACTGATGCTATATTTGGCATGCTCATTTTGCAGAACTGCAAAAATTAGCACAGCATAAACAAACACTGTTATATGGCAACTACGGAAGCCACCAAATCAGTGTCAAAATGCACCGTTGCTTAACCAAAAATGACAAAAATCAAAGCCTTATAAGCTATGAATCCTTTCTTTACTATTTGGTCTGGTCTAAACATTTACGCGCCGGACCCATTTCCATCAACTGCTTCTAAGTCGCTTCATAGAACCTCATTTTAATGACATTTCTTTGAATTACGACACAACTTACCGAGTGGTCGTGCTCATCAGCTTCAATAAATGATTTAAACAGACATATTGATGCAATAAATTTTAATAATAACATCTTGATTTTCAACTTCAAGGTGATTGAATCTACCAACTTTTAGCTCACAGGAATGTTGTTAACAAGAAACATGGCCGCCACGTCGATTAGAACACACGCTACCAGTGGACAGCGGTGAAAGTTCTACTTGTGCCCAGTCTCCTCCTTTACACGAACACAAATTCCACAAACATACGTAAATTTATTGTTTTCCGCCCAAGAAACTTGAGCAAATATTTAAAGCAACTGCGCAGTTTTTCTTCTAGTTGCTAGGGGAAAGGCAGTTTGAAGAAACCATTCAGACCGGAGAAGCAAACGTTTTTAATGATTGGTATTTAAGATACGGGCTGCTTTTTGCTATGTAGATTGCTTCCATGTTCCCTGGATACTTCCTAAGAATTATTCTCTGTCACAGACCATCGCCATCAAGCTTACGCAGACATGGTACAAAAAGGCAGATCCAGAGGCGGCGCTACGGGGTGGACTGGAGTGGACATGTCCACCCCACTTCTTTTAAGATCAATTTTCTAATTCTTCGAAAACTGGATAAAATACATAAAGAGGGAGGGGGGCATGTTAGTTTTCTTCTCTGAGATCGGAACTATTTTTCATTTTTATGGTGCGTTACAGTTTTTTTCAGATCTTAGCTGACATATGAGTATGGTGTGTTGGATCATCATTTCCGTAAATAGTGAGAAACTAAAATAAAGACCTATCGTGGTAAACAGTTAGTTCTTAGAGTGTGGTCTTCGCCTTCCTTCCTTGTAAATGTTTTTTGGCAATAATTATCTTTAAAACTTGTACTCAAACTTTTTCAAGCTGTAAGGATAGTATAATTGCAGCCCAACCTGTTACAGCTGCATCACCTTTGAGCCTTAACGTCAGGCAAAAGGTTGGAAAACCCTGTTCAAATTGGTATCAATCGAGATATGGCAGATAAAATAGACAAATGAAGCCTCGTTAATGAGTTTAAAACAATTGCTGGCTAAAATATCACTCTGAAATTAGCTTTTATGTTATTAGCTTTTATGTGTGTAAACCGTTTCCTATGAAGGGTTTCAAAACATATCAAACTTGGTTGTCAATAACGAGTGTGATTTCTCGTACGGTGTTGCACCAGTTTCTCACCAAGACCCCTTTATCAGCCCCACCCCTTCATTGTCCACCTCACTATTTTGTAGCCTATGTTCCAGACCCCTAACTTGAAAGTAGAGGATCTGGAGCACAGGCTACTATTTTGGGGTTGGCGCCGCCCCTGTCCAGAGCGAGTTCCTTGGTGCCAAGCGCGGTCAGGCCCGGGCGGCATAGTGGCCATCGCCTTTTTTGAAAACAAATTACGGGTCCTTTCTGGATTTCAATAACCGAGACATTACAGTCACAGCTCCACTACGCAGGAAATGCAGTCTGTGCGCAGGCCACATGGCCCACTATGAACAACATCAACTACACCGAAATTCTATTTCAAATCTCGCACAAAGACAAGTCTGTCCAACTTCCTAAAGAAATATTTTGAAACTGCATGTAGGGATCAAGGAGCTGTTATTATAAGATAGTTGCCTGGAGTTGCCATTGTTACATTTCTGGCTAATAATGACCTTCAATACTTGACCAGATGTTTCCTAGGGTCATATCATTTTAAGGGAAGAAAGTTTCACAGGAAGAAAGCTTCTCGAATCGAGAGAAGCGCCAAATTTTTGGAACCAACTTTTGCGAAATAAAAGAAATAGATCTTTCGCAAAAACAAACTTTCTCGTTTTAGTGAAACAAGTTAAATAAAGATTTAATTGTAGTTTTTGGAATGTTTAGAGAGTATCGTTCTAGGATCCATCTGATTGAATCTAAACTGTACGTAAATCGAATATTGTGTTCCACAAGAACTGTTGAATCTTAAACCATTTCGTTTATTTTTTGTACATGTTTTCTGGATTTAATCGGTGTATGGAATACCGAATCATTACTCGAGTAACCAATTCTAACATAAAATGATTATTTCAGATAACTATCTTTGAATATTTTCCATAAGGATTGTTGAACACCAGATTGCCGTTTACAGTGTTCCTTGATGACAAAAGGGACACTCAATGTTCCCTGCTCCCCTAAACCTTTTTAGGACACTTTCCTTAGTTCTCAGAACCCCTTTACGACTTTCTATTACCAATTTTCGAAAAGTCCGATCTAAATAACCACAAACATTATTAATTCGTAAAGTTAAATGAAACTTTTACACAATTTGCAAACACATCTACAGTATTTGATTTATATTTGAATTTTTTATTTTCGATTTACATTTGAGTCTTCAATTGCTAAGATATCTTTATTACAATTAGGTATTCCTTTCAGCTTATTCTCCAAGATTTTCTCCTGACAGTCCATTCTCCTCCACAGTCTTCACATTTCCGTCCTTAGCTTCATAATCTGATGTGTCTTTGCAGTCTGAATCGCTCACCAAACCATGCAGCTCTGGGATTATTCCTGTTACTTTCGATATAGTTGACGAAATAACACGAGTCTGCTTTCGTCTCTTCTTTTCCTACGAAATAACACGAGTCTGCTTTCGTCTCTTCTTTTCCTACAATAACAATAAAATCGCATAACTTCGTTACTAGGCCACAAGGTGTGGTCTGATACAGGTTTATTAGCAATAGCCTGGTCATTGAACACATCGGATCTACGAAGTGACAATTTCAAGTAAATATCAACAATTAATTCATATAGAAAATCTTTTTCCATCTTTAATAAGGAGCTTTGTAAAAGGGAGCTTTCTAGTTAATTTTTAAGATAGCAGGGCAAACTCCTTCCTGTTATTATATTCAAAGGAATTTCAGTTAAAAGCCCCTAGCAATGTACCTGGATATTTGGAAGATGAACTCTGTATATTTGCAATTCACAACTCAGAGAAGCAAACAGGGCATTTGTTACCCCCAACACTGACAAGCAAAATTCTACTTTTACCCCTAATACCAAGCCACTGTGGGGCTTTGCAGAAAAACATAATGTTTCATTTTTTATTATCATGATGTTTTGGTGAAATGGCTCCACCACTGCAACTGCAAGCAATCGAACAAACTTTGCCTTCAGTGCGGAGGACATTCAAATTACTCACCGAAAACGTTTTAATCAAGGACTTAGAAAGCATTAGAAAAGTGGGAGGGGCATTAGATTAAAGGGGCACCCTAACAAAGATTCTAAAAGGTTAAAAAACCTGTTTTAACTCGCACCCTAACAAAGATTCCAGAAAGGCTGACAAAGGCTGTTTCTGGAGGCCTAGCTACAATGGTTTGGATATAATTTTCAGGCTTAGTTGCTAGCAGTGCCGCCAAGAGGTTTCGAAGGCCCTGCGGCAAAACGGAAAGACGAGGTCTGCTACGAGCGAAGCGAGCACAAAATCTTTGGCAACCACATGCCCTTTAGATACGCTGAAAATGGGTTTCTGAATATTTCTTGCAGTCCTTTCCTTGCAATCTTTTAAAACTTGTACCATTGTTTAGGAATAATTTTGTTTGACCTAAACCTAAAGGCCCTAGGGCAAATTGCCTCCGCCCCTCACCTATCTTCAGCCCTGGTTGCAAGTTTGTAGCTTTTCTGTTTTTAAAAGCTGATCCCCACCAAAAAGTTTAGATCGTGGCCCCGAAAGGTCACCGCCTACTCTCTTTGTTCATAGCGACTAAGCATTTCAATGGAACTTTTTTGTATTGTAGTTGGCAAAAAGGGCACCCAGTAAACTGCAAAGGGGCATTTTCCTGGAATATTTACATGTAAGTGGGGGAGGGGAGATGGGGCTCGTGTTCCTTTGTGCTCTCAGCTCCTACGTTAATGTGTTTAAGAAAACCTATTTGTTAGGTTCCTGATCTTAAATTTTCCATGAAAAAGTTCCAAATTTGTTTGTAAAGAATATGTAAGAACGCTTTAAAGAGACTTCGTGTCAAGTCTTTAAGTCTAAATCCTCAATACTAAAAAATTCAGTATGGAAACAGAGTGACCAAATGTCATTAAAATTTTGCTAAATGTAATGAATTGCAAACAACGCAAAATTTGCAATTCCACATCCAAAACTAAACTGCTGACTTCTTTTAGCTTATGTCCTTGGTAATAACACATCTGAACACATCTAAACACAGTAATAACAAATCTACACCAAAAAAGTTACCTTCAAGATATATGTGTGAAAAAACCTAGCTAGTCCTTGCAACAAGCCAGGAATTTTAGCATAAGTAGAAATCTATAACAACCTTAGGTACCCGTTCATGAATCCTGTACAATTTCTCGAGGTGAGCATGGACCCTTTTGAAAAATACCCCACCACTCAAAAACCCTTAAAAAATGCCCTGGGAGCAAATAATTAAAATTCGAAAATACAAAGGGTAATAACCTTTTTCTTTTTGTTCTTTGCAATTCTTTTATACATCTCTATAATTCTTCCATGGTTTGCAAGGTGCCTCTTCAATGAACACTGCGGATTGAAGAAAGTAATCGTAAAGGCTATTGCGCAACCAGCATGCTTAGCGGCAGTTGCCTTGAGAAATTGACTGTGCATTTTCACTTTCATGCAGTAAGCTATTAGGCCGGTTCTTTTAATCGTACTCGCAAAGCATTCCGGTTGCGCAAGAGCCTTCGAAGGATTTGTACAAGGATAAAAGCGTGCTTTTGCGACGAGCAAAAAACATGGATAATACTTATTATCAAATAAGGGGGGAGGGGGGGGGGGCAGATAGCAATCAAAATCACATCCACCCAGTCAAGTAAAAAAACAACATAATTAGATTTAACCACTCTATGCAATCATGAACACAGAAGAAATAGGTAGCAAATATAAGTTATATTATTGCCTCTAGATTATATATTATAAACTCTTATATCTTGTTCTTTTCATTCTGTGCCTTCGTCGGCCAAGGGAACTCTATGCTGAGTTGTGTAGGAAATAATTCTTTAGATTTTACACATTTAAAACGATATATAGGTTTCGTGGAATGATTAACTAGCTATCTAAAATATTAGCTTTTTGAAATAAACTCGATCTAAATACTAACATATACTATATAAAGCCAAAGGAATCGAAACCGGAGGAAGTCGGCATTTGGGGCATGTACTGACAAACTTTGGAGAAAATGTTCGCTACGATAGAAGTGTCCGACGTCTTTGGCTTCAACCATAACCACAACCCTTGAGAATGCATTGATAATCAAACGTCTATCAAGCCCCTATTTAGAGTTGGAACGTATGCGTTTCGGTAAAGAAACCTCAACAACGTCTGCCAAGGATTGACGGTAACCAGGATATCAGTCTCAATATTAACACTCAAATAGATAGGGGAGTAGCAAGCCAGCTTGTTTGTAAGACAACAAATCTGAATTTCTAACATGCAAAAAGTTAGTTAATATACTAAATGCAAAATGAAAAAACAAGCCTTGTGAGCAAACGACTGGCCACAACTTTCCTCTGGGCAAACAAATGTCTTCTCTTCTTGATGACATGCACCTATATGAGCCACCACGTTTGACTCCTAGAGCAAAACAAAATCAAGTATATCCCAAAGAGAAGACATTGCTTTGTGATCTTAAGCATAAACATAAGAGCAATGTGACGTCACATACTGGCTATTGGCAAGATTTGACAAGATTCAAACACAGTGTCAATCAAGTTTTAAATATAGAGACTGAAAAATATTAAAATACATTGATACTGATCAATTTAAAATGATTATTCGATTCAATTTTACTGACGCTGAACAACAAAAGAATTTAAAAATAAAAATCAAATACTTTTCGAGAACCACCTTTACGTAAAGCTTCCGAGCATTCTAATTTCATTTTTCCGTGCTCTTCGTGAGAGTTTACTTTGGAACACAATCTCATAAAATTATCTCCATCAATAAGCAAAGTTTTTTTAGTAAGCTTACCGTTGTATACTCTCTGTCACACCCCTCGACTGGACATTTATACATGACTCGATTGTCATCATGGATTACTTTGTGCTTGTTCAACTACAATATTGTAAAAATTATACTATACTGAGATAGCTTAGCTACGATAAGCACTGCTATTTAAAGCAAACATAATGCAGTTGCTCACTATACAAGCTATTTTGTCTCATTAATCGAAACAAAATTAATACCATTTCAAGGTAAATAGCTACGAAAAGTTATATTTTCAATTTCTATAGAATAGGTTTTCTATGCTTTCTAAAAATATGTATTGATACAAAAACAAGATGAAACAGAGACTGAAAATGTCTATGGATTGCTGCCAGATTCTAGATAATTAGCGATTTTCCTTTTTTAAAACCTATGATCTTTGAGACTTTCGTCTTCTTATAGCTAGTTAGTTTTCTCTTCTTTTTATAAAACAGTATTGCTTCCAAGAGAGGATTGGCATTTGCTGGATAGACAAGCTTTTTAGAGCTGTATTGCAACTCATAAAGGTAAAAATCATAAGAATAGATCATTCAATTGGGTTGGAATTTGCACTTGCAGATCTTTAAAACACGCGCCCCCATACACTTGTGCATCTCTCTGCCTCCTGCATCAATATCCGCCATACATGATAAGACTAGGTCTTTAGTTCCCTGTACAGCATGTTGTAAATTGATAAAATCGAAAACCTCACGAAAATCTAATAAAATCTGAATGAAACGAACCTGCCAAACAGCTTTAAAAATCCTGCCACATGATTCACATTTTAGCACTTCAAAAACACAGAAAGACATGTTCAGAAAAAGTAAAAGTGCAGAAACTTTTCGGACTAAGCCTTAAAAATGAAATGTGATTTCACAGAAGTGCAGGGAATTGACTTAGAACAAAGAATCGGCGTTTTGGCAAAGGGGCATAAAGGCTGAACATACTGAGCAACACATTTACGAAAATCTAAAAATTTTGGAGGATAGATAGACTAAAGATGGCCTTTACTATGCAGCTAATACACCCAAACCTGGTGACGCACAGGTCTACTGAGAAACCAAAAAATATCTGGGCTCCTAATTGATTAAAGCCAATCGCTCTTTCCTAGAGAGAAACGCTATTTTTGGTTTCTTCCTACTCTATTTATTTTTATTCCATGGACAAACTATCGCGCAAAATATTTTACATTAATTATACTAAAAAAGTAAAGTAATCATTAAACGAAAAGACATGATGCTTTCTTTTAATTTTGCCAGTAAAACAGAACTTTAACAAACCTTTGCAAGCAAATTTATGTTTTTGTAAATCTGACCAAGTATAGAAGACTGCACCGCATTTATCATTCTTGCAGGGATATCCTAAAGTAAAATATATCTACAATCACAAAATTGGCCTCTGCTGACACAAGGCAAGATACATGCAATAAAAATAATACTTCCAGCCTACTCTCCGTTTCGTAATGGCCTATTTTGAACATTTTAGACAAAGCTTGGTGACAGCTATCTTTAGGCAAGTTTCCTAGATGTATCCTCTGAGAAAAGCTGGAATCTTTAGCTTGAGGCGAGGCTTAAATTCAGCCAGTGTAAAAAGATCTAGCCTTGAGTCTAGATGCATCAAAAACCAATAGCCCAAAAATTAACTGACAAATGCGAAAAATTGACTTCTGAACGAAGCTATAGCACACCGTTAGGACTTATTAGGGTTAACCTAAAGCGGGGATGGCAGTCGAGCTCGATTCGCATTAAAAAGGACAAACTTTGTATCCTCAAATGTTGTTTCAACAAAACATATCAAAACTGGAAGAAAAGAAACCAATTCGGGCAAAGACAAACAAATTCTTAGAAACAAAGCAACGTTTCTTTTAGGTAAACTGCAACAATAATTTAACAACAAATGTTTACATCAAATAAATTTTTTTTGTCAATTTATAGAAATGTTTGTGGGTTTACAAAAGTGATTTGCAGGATTGAAAAAAAAGTTGTCAAATTTACAATAATACGGTATATAACACGATATAAATTAGAATACTCCAAAGTTTTTCTGCAATGCCCTTAGAGCTTGGAATGAAATCCATATAAACTTTAGAAAAAGGAACTCCTGACACCAATTCAAAAACACCTTGAAGCAATTGATGAGCTGATAATGAAAAAACACGAAATTCTTGAAAAACAGAAAACCGTTAGGCGTTAGGCGTTAGAAAACCGTTAACAATATAGTAAAATTGCACAATCCCTGTATTGATTCAGTTTAAGATTATTGAATAATTTCCAAGCTAAAGAGGTGTTCATATAAAACTGAATAAGAAACATGGAGATTTTCACCTCAAACTGCGGGCCTGCTTATATGAGGGTTTTTAATTGTTTCGGATAACCGAGATATTTTGTCAAGCTGGATTGATTTTCCCCGTGCAGAATACCCCGGCATTGCAAGATGAAAACAAGACGTTTAAGGGCGCATTTACAAAGTAGTAGGGAAAGTGATAGGAATCTGCCTGATTTGTCGATGAGATTTTTAGGGGCCTACCCAAAAATGTATCTTTCAATTTTACAAAACTTGACGTCAAATTTTGGCTAAGGGGAATCCTGTCTCATGTAAACTGGCCCTTAATTTAACTTTACATAACTGGCATGCTTAGTTACATAAGTCTAGGCGGTATTATGCAATAAAAAACAGGAGAAACCACAAGAGTTTATGTTTGAAAAACTAAAAACAGCAAGTCTGCAAGCAGATGAAAAACCTTACATAACTGCCAGCATATTACAGATTACATAATACATCTAAATTGGTTAAACACCGGAGATGACGTCATTCTTTTAGTTTTATGTAATAGATTATGCAGAGTTAAGGAATATTACTGGGATCACAGGTTACCAAAGAAGCAGTTCCACATACCCACAAAACATTATTCTTTGAAAAACTTTCTTAGTGTAGGGAAGGGGAATAATATTGTGAATTTCTTCACTACAACTAGACCAGAGGGGCACCGCGCAGCCATTGGGCTAGCAGGGGCTATAACCCTCCACCTTTTTGCAATGACTTTCTCATTGAATTGTATTTTCTAACTTCGTTAACTTGGTGTTCATCATCCTCAACCTAATTTTACCTATTTTTAGAATTATTGCTCTCATCTCTGATTCAGACGGTTTATGACAAATCAGTGCAAATAAGCAAGTACTTCCTAAAAGGGTCGTTTTCTGGAGCTCTAGAGGGGGTGGCCTAAAAAGTTTTCGGTCACGCCCTTCTCAGCCCCTCCAATTTTAGACTAGTGCGTGGTGCCTGAGCTAGACCAGTGCGGTCCATTATTAATTGCTCTATCAATTCAGTACAGAGTTATTGACAAAAGTTGCCAGAATCAGCAAAGATGAATTGAAGGCCTTAGGGAGTGGCTGGCAAGTGACTTCCTATTTAAGCTGTTCATAAATGTTTTTCTGAGCCTTGATAATTCACAAAGACAAAGCAATTAATGGAACCATTTACATTAGGTTGACTTACAGCAATAAACTCATGCCTTAAGTTTATGTAAAGTGTCTGAGGTAAAAGTTTTTCAAGAAACATGTGTTAAATAGGTTTGCATTCAAATTTATTATGGAAAAACGTAATCATTGAATGTTAAATAAACTTTAGGAAAGAGAAGCGTCTTCTTCTTTCTCGACTCTGCTGGGCAAGCTTAACCGCTGTCTTCAATATATTCTCAAGAAGGACTGTATTGACCATCTAAAACAAGAGTTTCAATGTGGCACAAGCTACTGACCAATTCATAAGCAAGGCTCCACAGTTACAACAGAAACAGAAAAATATCCTATGGAAGACTTAAGGTAAAAAGTTGGAGTTCTATCAGGCACCAAAACTAGCAAGAGGAGAAACATACTTACTAAATTGTGCCAGGGTAGGGATCCCTGAAATTTTTCAACATAAGAAGCATAATTAATTTTTCATACCTTTCTCTCTTTTGTGCACTTTCATGTGCTCTTTTAATGATTTATTAGTTGGATAGCATCGGCCACATCCTTCCATCTCACATCTAGAAAGACATTTAACAACAAATATTAGTTAAATGTATATCTTAAAATGAAACTAGATCAATGAAAAGTAGTCTCTTTTCTGATCTTGTGTAAGTTAAATTAAGATCTAGATTAAAACTGCTAGTAAGGTAATTAAGCTGATGAAGTCTTGTTACTGATTGACTGGGAGTGAAATTGCTGAAAATATTATAAATGTAGTGCACCAGAAGACCTTCCAATTGAGGGAAGACATCATAAGTTTGCTTTTTTGCATTCTATAAATCATATTTTGCTTCAACACTTGTCTTCTCTTTTCAGTGTTGGCTTTCCCTCCCCTTTCCCTATACTTTGTTATGAAGATGAGTTGTATTTGAAACAAAGTAATAGTATTAATTTTGCATAGTATCTTATCTCCTTAAGTTAAACTGTATCTTATCTCCCTAATTGTTTGCTTACTTGAATGGACTTTCCCCCTTGTGCAATGCTTCATGTATGGTCTTTTCCTTGTGTTTTTTAAATGATTCTGAACAGTTATCTACAGAGCACTGCAAAAAAGTTAAAACAGATAAGACTAAGAGGTCACCAGCATTCTTACTCGCTATATGAGGATATGGGTTTGATTTCAATTAGCTGACAGTCTATGGGTAGCGTCATGGCATTCACTGCAAAAGGGAAGGATTTTGTCTAGAGGTTTGGCAGGACTTTTCAGTTGCCAGGGGTTGGAGAGTTCTGGGCTAACCTAAGTGCTTTTCTAGTGCAGTTCTTAGGATACAGAAAACCTGAAAAAAACATGTAATCTCCACAAAACTAAAGACAGAAATCTATACTTAAGACTCAAGGACAGATCTTTTGGTGGTGATTACCCACAGCAATATGTATAAAGTCTGAACAGTTACCAAAATAATTGTGAACAGAGTTTAGTTGGTTTCCTCCATAACAAAAACTTATTTTCATGTTTGTAAGATGTTTTGTTGGTTGCAAGGCATAAGTGGCAATGCTATTTGGATTTGTCCCTCTACCTGATACTTTTGAACTATCTTCTCAAGCGAAAGCTATCTTCATACATAGAATTCTAATAGATTGCAGCCATGGTATAAAGACAAAAAAGTTCTCATTATGTAAATGTGAAAAATGGAGAATCTACCTTGAATGGCTTATCAACTTCATGGATTCTTTTTATGTGCTTTTTCAAGTTTGAAGGAAACTTGCATTTGTAAGAGCAGTTTTCATATTCACAGCTAAATTTAAAATAAAAAAATGATTACAGTTAAGACGTTTTTATTTACAATAATTTGTCCCTGTAGTCTATTTTCAATGACCATAATGGGGGGGATTGATTTCAATACATTGCCTGTTTTAAAGTGGTAATTGTTACACTGAGCTCTATATTTTCTTTACCACAAGCTATGACAAAAATGTTGGGTACATTTCTTAATATTATGGTTACAGTAGCTAGACAAAAAAGCTTAGCATCACAAAATTAGCCAAAATTATTCATATGCATAAACTAATGGAAGACAGATTTTTGAAACATAAAAACCTACTTGAAGCTTATATCTGTAGAATGAATTGCTTTATGTCTTTTAAGATGGTAAGGTCTTTGAAAACATTTTCCACACTCACTGCAGCTGTATGGTTTCTAGAAGTAAAATCAGATTAAGGATTTACACCAGACCAGATTTTTTGTCTTTGCATGGTTAGCAGTGACTCACTTGCCTGATTTTTAGGCAAGGTAAATTAAATAGCATATTCATGTCTACGTCTAGGTCTACCAAATAATGCCAACTTCAACAAGCTGAAGGTTATTGCATATAACAAAAAGAAGAAAAGAGAAAATAAAGAAAAGCTATAGTGATATGATCTACCCCTCTGAGTGAGAAGTCTTAGACAGGGAATACCATCAGACAATCCAACAATCACACGGACCCCTGACCCAGTGCCCCACCAAATCAAAACAAGGAGACCAAGAGCCCACTTACCACCCCCCATCAAGAAAGGCACCGGACGAATCCCTAATCCCCACTGCCGACCTGGCAAAAAAAGCACAAAAATCAATGGCCAGCACGACCGCAAGACCATTATACAGCACTCCCAGCCTATTTAAGCACAGATTGGCAAATGTCTGTATTGATCCCTTTTTGGAGGGTATACATCAGATTTTTAACAGGCCATTTACAAAGGCCCTGGAATAATTTACCTCTGGCCCTGCCCTGGAATGGAATTTACCAAAGGCCCTGGAATGGAATAAATAATTAATGTATCTTCAATTGGGTCACACATGGATCAAACTCTTAAAACTGGGAAACCAAAGACACAGCATAATTCAGAAAAGCAAAATGGCAACTTGACGTCTCAAGCAGCTTCCGAATTTATCTGACCACAAGCTTAGTAGTTCTGAAAGTTCAGCGACGTAAAAAGAAGGAGAAATGATCTTAATTAAAGACCAGACTGGCTGAAAAAGTGGACTGCAATAAATCATTGCAAATCATTTTGCTGAAGTGGTCCAAATTCTCGCCACTATTAAAGCAGATCATGTTCAACAGAATGATCATTCAGCCCACTGAGGCTCAAAAATACATTTCTCTGTAACACCATGGGATAGCTCAAGAATTTCACTCTCATCAATATGGAACGCCATTATTCAAATCTTGTTCTAATCAATGATACTTAGAAAAAATTGATATATGTGGTCCTTGGAAGAGATTGTATTTATTTTAATCAAAAATCAAAAACTATTTACTAATGTTGTAATGTTGTTGATGAAAAGTTGTATAAAAATGCATATGTATAATATATTTGTATGACATTTGTTGAGGTACAACTTTTTTGCCCCATTTCAATTTCAGAGTCTGCACGCAGCAGGCTAATTAATCACAGGTCATGGGGTAGAAACCACTTAACAAACAGAAATTGCATTTTGTATAACAAATACAAAGGAGCTTCATTTAAACATTTTAATATAACTTTTGGCACAAAGACTTGCATATGCTCGCAGGGACGCTGATCTTCTTGCGCTCGCAGCTCAAACTTCCAGTGACCAAAAATGTCAATGATTTTATATTAGGTATTAAAGCTATTATCAGGGGCGGACTGGTTGGTGGGCTATTCGGGTCATCGCCCGAAGGGCCGGTCAGTTTAAGGGCAGGCTGATAAAAGTACAAGAAAATAAATTAGCTTAAAAAGTGAATGCGAGGCAAAAAACTATATCATGCATTGATCTGTTTGCCATGAATTTTCAGAGATTTTGTGGGAAAGAATAAATATACAGGCGAGTACTCCAAAACCATCAAACTTATGAATTCATTATTGTCACCGCAGCCCAAACACACTTCTTCAGGAAACATGTTATTGACATCTTGTTCTATTTTCTCTTGACAGTATTTCCTTTTTGGCGACATATTATACTGTAACACCCCTGTTTCAATGCGATACATAAGATTTTAACCTGCCCTGATGTCTTTTTACTTAGCCTTCCCTGGAATCTGGTCATGTTTTTCCCTAAGCACAACCTATTGCTAAATGTAATAAATTTAAAAGTCCAAAAATTAGAGTTCACAAAGCAATTTGCTCTGTGATGTGAAGCAATGAAGAGGACATACATAGAACAAGGGAAGAGCAAGAAGACTTCAACCAAAGGTGGTGCACAGAAATTTTGCAGGGAAAAGCTGCGAGACTTAAAAAAGGATTCAGCTACGATGGAAAGCTTTTTTTATCAAACAAAAGCAACAAACGTCACAAAAAAACAGCAGGGTCTTGCTCTTGCTCCTCTTAATAAACTCATACAAGTTATGATAAGTTTATTAGGCCTATACTATCATAAGTCAAATGCACCCCCCCCCCCCTCAACAGGGGTATGGTGCTACACGATAAAATTTCAACAGGGGTGCCCATGTTTTCTTTTTGAGGTCAGAAATTGACAAATCGATATTTTTGGGCTGCTGAATATCATTGTGGTTTTCCGGAAGATTAGAAAATTATTTTTCACTATATCTGGAGTGTGATAGAAGCTTTTCCACTTTAAATATATAAAGAACAGATTACGTAGTAATTTTTCGCAGCCAAACGTGGAGTCCTTCATGCTAATGTTCTTAGAAAAACACCTGTTAGATGACATCCAGAACGATCACGTTATCAACATATAAGTTAGTGTCTTTAGAAACAAAGTCAAACAAATGAGTTAAAATTTTTGTTTATTTACTCAGCAAATGACATACATTTAACATGTTCTGTTAACCATGTTCTGTTAACCAGCATTCATCCATGCATAAAATTACTGAATTTAAAAACTTGTTTTCCTTACAGACTAACATTTACTTGCATTTTCCGAGGAGTTTTTTATTTGCTATTATTGTGGGCCGGTTTGATCAAAATTTGCCCGGGCCAAAAAAATTAGCCAGTCCGCCCCTGGCTATTATGTACAATTGGCATCGTTGCTCGTAGCTCGAATGCAGTAATAATGGGCCGTTGGTTGCAGCGACGCAACGGCAAAATTATACATGTTTTTCAACCAGGTAAAGCAAATATAATCTTTTTAAAAATGTGTCGTTTCTATTTATACCTCTCCAGTATGCGTCCTGCAATGATCTTTGTAGTGTTTTTTGTGCCGAATTATCTTATTGCAACCAGGGAAATGACATTGGAAGTTGCTGGTCGGATGAGGCTCAACAAAACAGCTATCATCAACTTCCTCTTCGCCATTTTCAGTATTATTTGACATAGTGCTTGTCATCCAATCTGCCGCCATTGCATTCGAACATAGCATGCTCAATGAGCATGCTAGCCTCGTGGCGAGAGCCTTGTCCTCCTATTCAGTTTTGCTGACGACGTATGCGATTTGATTGTTTGAAATGGGAATTAATCAGTTAATTCGAGTTAATACCCGCGGGGAAGGCACACATCCTCTCTCAATGGGCATGTCAGTATGCACGTTCATCCTTTCAAGGCTGTCAATTACAGTTAGCAACCTATTATTATGCAAATTACATCATGGTGCCATTGCAAGGCAGTGCCCTAGCATATCCAGTTGCAGGCCATTACACAGCACGTGGCTCACGCCACGTTGTATGCGTTGTTTCCCCCTCCCAGTCCCACCCCTCTCTTTAGTTTTTTCTCTACCTGCCCCTATTACACTTCCTTCTCCCTCTCTTCCAGCTAGTTCTCACACAGTATTCACTGCGTGACAGGTGTATCAGTCTGATTGGCGGGTTAAAAAACTGAGATAGTTTTTTCCCTGAAATCAAACACCGACCATAAATTACGTCATTGCTCAGGCAATACAAGGGCTGATGCACCGAAAGCCCAAATTGTTTTTCCTGAGATAGGGATTTAGTTTTAGAATTAATAAGGGGCCCCGCGAAGGAATTAAACAGGGTTTGCAAAAGATGGGCAGATGGGTGTCAAAATCAGGCCAAAATGCACATGAAAAGGCCAAATCAAATAATTTCCCTAAAACTACACTGTGCAAAGCGAAATATATATTCCCAAGCAAACGCCTGGGCCAATCCGGCAACCCTGATTTGAACTGAAACATCAAATAAACTTCAATTCTAAGTTGCTTTTTGTAAGCGGTCAGACGATTTTGGAAATTGTATTGATTATTTTGTTTACAAATTATGATAGAAATGCCGAGTTTATCGATCTGATCTCTCTTCACAATTTCTAAGTAAAAGTTTCAATGTTTGCTATATACACTCATGTGACAAAAGTATCAGGACGATCGCCTCAAAGCAAAATGTGGTTAACCCTTTGCTCAAAGAATAACATAGAAAATCAACAATGGAACATAACGAGATTGTCGGCTGGGATCTTCGATTGCAATTTCACCCAATCGTTAGAATAAACATAAATTGAACAAATCATTAAAATATCAATTTTTTAGACAAGTACAACTTATTTTACTTTATATTTTGTCGAATATATTTTATAACTTTGCAACGAGATATCTTCGGATACAGAAAGAAATCTCAAGAAAATTTTAAAGAAGCTAAATTTTGGTCTTAGAAGATTGCATTTCTTTGAATTTTTTTAAACCATTTGTTTTCAATCACATTAAGGCTTTGACTTTGACGGGGTTATTGAAAGACCGCAACGTCATAGTTCTGGAAATTTTTGTCACAATAGTTGCAACATAACTAGATTTATTGTCTTGCTCCAAAGAAAATGGTCTTTGCATAGCACCATTACTTGTTTTTGCACTTGCCTGGAGGCTCTCCATAAAAATTCAGACAAAATATTTCTAGCATTGATTGACTTCGCACAGAACGCCAGCTTCCCGACGCCATTAGGCCCGACCAATGGTCGTCAACCAATCCTTTGCGTATTAGTCGGACTTGTCAACTTATTGGTCTTGTAAATCTTGTAAATGTGTGACAGACTTGCTGCAACAAAAATTTCTTGTAATTTCAGTAAACGAATGACCTGCTAGACCCAAACTTTAATCACCTTGCATTCTCCTTCTGGACTTTTTTGTGTTTTCAGCAATGAAACAAAAACTTTGGACGAAGGGCTAAACTGAGATGACCAATTCAGCAAAGTGAAAGGAAAGATTAACGGCGGTCTGAAGTCGCTAAAAAAACTGAAAAATCTTATTTCACAATCCCAGCTCGACCATGTGTACCGTGCACTTATCGAAAGCCATCTGAGATACGCTAATGTTATTTGGGGAAGTCTTCCTAAATCAACATTGAATACACTCCAACGTCTGCAGGACAGAGCACGCTCGATTATTGATAAGGCCAGACTAAAAGACAACTGGTCTCATAACTGGCTGACCGTTGAGCAACTAGCAAAGTTCGATCGATCAGTTATGACATACAAAATAATCAGCAGACAATGTCCGGAAAGCTTTTGGGATAAATATCATCATAGGACCCAGCACTCCAACTACAGAACAAGGAATTGCAGGGACCTACAAATCCCAAGAAATAACTTTGATACGTCAAGAAAGGCTTTCACTATTCGGCTCTGAAAACCTGGAACGATATTCCCATCAATATCAAAGAGCTCTCTACACTTAGTAACTTCAAAAAGCAATTGAAAAGTTATTATACAAGATGAACACAACATAAAACACGCCTCCCTGGAAGAGCAGCTGCTATAAGATAGATTATTGTGCGTAATTTAGCTTTAACTGTTTATAAATTATATTAATGTAACTAGGGTATTCATTTTCTTATTTGGTATTTAGTTGTAAGCTGAAGGGACTTTTGTGTATAAAGAATATAAAATGAAAATGAAAATGAGCTTTGTTTTTTTTTCAATATCTCCGTGACTTTTTATATCTTTCTTTCACAGAAAGGTAGAAACTAAATTGAGTTTACTAGGAATTTCGTTCTTGCTGAAACCATTTCTAGAGTCCCGCCACAACAGCAAGATTTTTTCAAACAATGTTAGATTGCTAGTTTAGGGGCCGCCATTTTGTTTTTATCGTTCTAATACTTTTGTCGCGTAAGTGTAGATAAAGAACCCGAATGATTTGCAAACTCGCTTAGAAATTATGATTAACTTTACAACTGTAATTTTATCAATAGCTTTACGACTGTTATTTTAGCAAACCTTGAAAGTTTCTCAGTGTAAGAAGTCTCTCGTGTTTAAATTCTATGGCAGGGAGACAGTCTGAGTTTGCTTCAAACAATCCGTTCCCCAATCTCGTTTCGTAGAACAATCTGCCTTTGTCTGGATGAAACTGTAACCAACTATCTTCATTATCAATTATTATCAATTCTGTAGCCAATTTATTCATACCCTTACCAGCACTATATCATCAGAAAGGAAATTCAGGTCATGCCTATATATAGTATCACTTTAAACAGTTTTAGATGACTTATTGCTAAAAAACAAACAGATTTTGTATTCTAATTGTTTTAAACTGCACGTGGAGATTAAGTTATTCAAGGGTCATCAGTAGACCTAATTTTTATCGATCTATTGTAAATGGGTTTCATATTTTCATGCTAAAAAGAAGTCAAAGCAGAATATCTGATAGGTAGGTAAAAAAGTTCATGCTACTTGCCATGCGGAGTAGAAGATACAGACAGTATGCAAAATATTACTGGCTTTATTAAATATACAGTACATGAGCCATGATAGCTATTGCATTAAAGTTCTTGCTTGTGGCCAACTTTTCTATCATTTTGCCTTAAGGAAACCATTTTCATATAGGGAGCCTGTCAGATGAGAGTCTCCGTGGACTTTCTTAAATTCATTTTTGAATATTTAGAGTGCAGACATTTGAAGTGAATAAGAAACCGTTATTAACGGTTTTGGCTGCATATCGTACAATACTCTAAGTCAAATTAAAATTAGATTTCGAAGACCACTTTTTTGTTTACTACCAAAGCTGTTTTTATAGTTTTGCATTGTAAATAGCAATAAACACTGTGGAGATTCTTTCAAATATATATAGCTAGTAATTGTTGCGTCAACCGTGGTTAATTAGACAAGAACGTTTAATATATCTGTACAATTAGATATATTGCCATGCGTCATATGTGCTCGTCATCGTCGAATGTTTGTTTGCGTTGATGATGCTAATTAAGTTACAAGACAGAACTTTTCTAAGAAACTTCGAGCCAAAGATAACAATTTGCTTCTCGCTACGTGGTATGATGTATTTTTTCAGCAAGCCTTGATACCGAATCACAAATAATGATGTAAACGTGATATATTTTCTTCTCTAATAAGCATAAACACGTGAATAGCTCATACATCTAAACCCAATATTTGTACGGTAAGCACTAAAGCTTCTATCGATCTTTTTTCAATAATGAACTTCGAAGAAGCCTGTTGCAGATTTAGACTAGCTGAATGGCAGTAAATTTATAAACTCTGACTTCCGATAGCTAACACATCAGCAATTTTTATTGACAAGGCAATTCGAATTCAAGAATATAATATTAAAGTCACAAACAAGCCCTGGGTAGTCTTTATTTAAATGCAGCCTGGACTAACACAAAGCTTGAACTCTTGAGCAACAGCTAAGACACTTTTGAAAGCTGTTCAAACATAAATCAACGCCAACGGGCAAGGCATAGGTAGAGATCATACCTGAATTCACACTGAGGACGGCAGCATCAACTAGAAGATTGCCACCATGTTTTCTTTGTGTATTGCTATTCTTGTGCTCTCATTCCTTGGCTCATCTGATGGCAAAAGTAAGTAATTAGTCACGATGAATTTTTCAACAAATCTTAGTCTTAGGACTAGGTATAGTGGGCACACGTACTTTGAAAAGACTATCCACATTGTCTACATTTAATAACAATTATTTTAGAAATATTATCTTTATGAGAAAATCTTGACAAAATACATCATCCAATGATACGTCGTTTAGAGAAGATGTTTCTGAACCAAGAGCGTATCAGTTTGATTTTTGCTTTAGCTGTGGCTATTCCCTAGACAACAAGGAAATAACATATGTTTTTGTCACTAGCATATCAGCTAAAGGTGCGAACATCCAAGCATATTGGTGCTGGTACTGGTGAAAATGTAAAAATCACATTGTTTGGTTCAAACGGCAAGAAGGTTTTTAAAGAATATAATGGATGGGGATTGCATATGTTCGACTTTGGAATGTGAGTTACTCCTATTCTTTTTTAAATGAATAACTTTCTAAGACTCAAAGCATTGACTGTATGAAAAAAGCAAAGAAGCATTTGAAAAACACGACTTAGCTAAAAAAAGAATTACAGAAATGCAAGGATAACCTTTTGATGCTTGATAAGTTCAGGTTTGGCAGCAAAACTTTTTTGAAAATGAAAAGTGATGGCAACTAGCAATGCTAAATGCTTCTCGTGGTCAGTAAGATTTCTCGTGGGCGTTTGCATATAGAATACTGTAAAATATCTTTAAGTAGAGTTCGGTATGTTGTTCAGCTAAGGGAAAAGTCCAGCTTGGCTTTTAAATCTTTGTATAAATAGATTTTTAATCATCCCTAAATTGTCTTGGTAACGTACGACTGTAAAAAAAGTACTTAAGTAAAAGAGAATCTTTTTGAAAGAAGAATTTAGTCATCTGTACCTTAATTCTATCACATTCCTTGTAAATGATTCTAGGACGAATGAATTGGAGTTAGAGGGAGAAGACATTGGATCAATCATCGACATCCAGGCTCAGATCGTTAAAACAGGACGGTATCTTGACAAATGGAGGTTGTTTTGGGTAAGAGATACCAACACGAACGTCATATCGGCATTCAATATTCTATTTCTTTTACACAAACAGTTACTTTGCTTTTCTAATCAATAATTTATTGGCTTTTTTAGATCAAGGTTTTTGCTGATGGAGATGCCTTTAAAGGAACATTTGAATACACATTTCGATCGGATAAAGAAACATCCAACGCTAAACTCTTCGAGATTCGTATGTACTATGAATAAGATTGTATGGGTCTGATTTTTAGTTTTTGCAGATAACGATTCTAAACTGGAATAATTCAGTAAAACATTTAAGAGATAAGAAATTGTGGCTTCAGTAAGTTCTAGGAAAAGAAAATTTTTTTTTTAGAGGTCCAGCAATACACAGAAAAGAATGCTATCTCCCTTAACAACTGTGATACTTTGCTCTTAATATTCTTTGACTCAAACGATTATCTAAAATTTATTAGATGATTTCTTGTTGATCTAAAAATAATCTTAGAGCGAGCGTACGTAGAATTGAAGGCGACTATGATCAAGAGTCAAATTAGCTGTGCATAGATACATTACTGACTTTACTTTACTTAGACACTTTACTTAAAGGGTTCTAGAGCCCCTTTCTCTGGGCTCTAAAGCCCAATTTACAGACATAATGCAGTACGAAATTTTATTTATGTTCTCCTTACAATTAAGTGGGTTGCAGAGAAGGCTATGAACCTACAGAAATCGGAGGACGTAAAACGTGTGCGGGTGAGTGAGTCAGTAATTTTTACAGACTTCCTTTCAATTAAAAATCGTTTCTATTGAGACATGTATTTGCAAACAAAGATAAAGAAATGCATTTTTCAAATACGATAATGTTTATTTTCTTATTACCTGCGATAATTCAGCTGCTCAGTTAATTAATATCTATTTCTATCAGATCGAAACGAATGCCTAGTGACCTGCAAAGGACCTGGTCAGGAATGCGTAAATATTCCTGGCTCTTACCGATGTAACTGCAAACCTGGATTTTATTTCGATGGTTCAGAATGCCGAGGTAATCTGCTTTTTATAATAGATCATTGCTTGGCTTGCTAGAGCAGGGTTTATGAAGATAAGATAGTTAACGCCTGGTTCCCTCTGTTTCTTTTCTTTCTTCTTTTGATCTCTTCTACTGATTTCTCTATTTTTAGTCGACTCCCACTCTGTGCTCTCTACATACGAAATACGTCCGTATGAAAAAATTCCGCTATGCAATTTGTTGCTTGTCTGAACATTGGTAATAACTGTTATTCACGAAGAATGTACTCATGCAGGGCCGCCGGAGCCAGGGAGCCACGGGGGCACAGGCCCCCCTGTTTGCAAAAAGTATAAACAAGTGCCCCTTTTCTATAAATAGATTGCGTGTATTTTTTCAATGCCAGATATTCTGCCCTTAGAAACCAAGTAAAATAACATAACTCTGGACGCTGTTGGGGGACCATTCACTGGAATTTCCTTAAATTTTTACTTGGCCTTGATGCAAAAACACTCAAGCTTCTGTGATGAATAATATCAACTGCGAAGGAGACTGTTATTTTTACGAGAAAATTTCCGTAGTATGTCTTCAGCAACAAATGCATTGGTGAAAGGTCCGCATCAAGTACCCGGCGGGCACAGTCAGTTGGTCCAATGTATATCGCATGTGATCCTGAAAGTAGAAACTGGATCCCTATCTCTGATTTTGCGTTGTGAAAATTTACCCTATTTTGTGGCTTTGCCAAAATTTTGTAAGCCTTTTTACTGAGAACATTCAAGCTTGAGCAGGGATTCTTTATACCAAAATTTGAATTTGATTTTAGCAACAATCCCTTATGGCTCTTGATGTATATTAACAAAACCAGACAGCTGTAAAACTATGGTTACAACATATTGCTTACTTCACAACATTGTGTTAAATTTTTTTATGGACACGAAAAAATTGTATCCCTGCAATGAGTACATGCTAGCAAAACCTTAAGCAAAGTCTTCAGTTTCTCATCTAGGATTAGAACATTATACAAGACTGGATGCTAAATTTGTTGTACTTTCTTAATTGCACCGATTTGCCTAAAAAATCATCTGTAACATCATATCAGTAAATTCCTGCCCTTTTGTGTTTTCTCTGACTGATTAAACAAAACTTTCAGACCGCCCTTTCTCAGAGTTTTTCGGAAGTCAGATGTAATAGTCTTGACCAACTGACTGAGGAGGGTTTAAAACTTGTTTCGTTTATAAGACTGATAAGATACAGGGGCGGATCTAGAAATTATTCTGAGGGGTGCTAAAACGTAAAGCTTGGTAACCAAGGGTGTTGCTATGCACAAACTCCGTACCCCCTGCTAATAAGCCATAATGAAATGAAAGTCTTCCATAAACTAAAAAGCCTGGATGCCGCGATTGATATAGTAATTTTTGCTACACTTTGATCAGAACTTGGAACTTTGGCTTCAGCTTTTATGCCAAACGCAATTTGCAGCTCTCCCCCTCATATTCACTTAGGGTACAAAAGTATAGAAACTGTAGTCAAATATGATATCATTGCCCGCAGTGGCAAAAGGCCCGAGCCAACAAATTTCCAAAGCAAAGTTTAATTTTTGACTCTTTGCAGCCATTTATTAGAACTTGATCATGGCTGGTGGAATGAAGCCCTTGAACATGAAGTGCAGTGCACGTCATTAGAGACAATAGAACAATAGAAAAAAGTCGGACAAAAGTTGAACACAGGGATTCAAACACAGCATGCATGGCATGCATCGACATATGATACCAAACCAAACAAATGAGGCCCTGAACGTTTCGCTATGGGCCTGCCGTTTTGAGTATTTTTATGAATTTGAAATCTTTAGAGAAAAAAGTATTCGTAGGAATGTAAGCAGGAATAAGAAGAAAACCCCTTTTGGTCAAGAATACTATGGGCAAGTTTTTGAGATGTTTTGTATGTAGTTCTTGAATGATTAACAAAAGAATAACAAGGGCTCGGGCAAGCTTTATCCTCTGAATATAAATCATACCTCATGGTCTATGAATAAGACGTGAAACACAGAGTTGAAACTTGAAACCGTTCTGTTATATAAACCAAAGCGTTTACAATTTCTGCCGTTACAGCATCGAGCACCAGGTAAAGATCGTCAAAAGACCTACGAAAACATATTGCAAATTTGCACTTCACCTAAGCATTCGTCGCGTGCTGTATCATAATTCAACTCCCCCTGGTCAACCTCAACTCCCCCTGTTCAAGCTCAACTCCCCCTGGTCATAAAACCACTTATACATTTGACTGTAGATTGAAGCGAAGAAACTCCCTCTGGTTTGGTCGGTATTCTTTGATGTTTTGGATTTTGAAATCCATGGGTTCTCGCGCCAAAGTTTAGAACCCCTCGACCTGGCACCGTGATTGGCTAGATTCACTTCCACGGGTGCAGAAAATCGTATAATTTACAGGCCACGGGTTCCTCAAGTGGCTGGTTATAAGAGGAGACAATGCTTTCCGAGTCTGTAGAATGCTATACAGTAAAACCAGGGGGAGTTTGATAACACTTCAATGCATGGACTGAAATAACAATGTTGAACAGTTGTGAGACGGGGCATTGAAGCGGATATAACAATTTCAGGAGATGTGCATACTTCTCGGTAAAAGAGATAATAAATGGTTTAAATAATTATAAACAAAATTGCGATAGAATAAGCTTTAATCCCCAAAAAGTTTTTCCTCAAATCTGAGGGGTGCTCGAGCCCCTTTCGCACCCCTCTGGATCCGCCCCTGAGATAAACCTAATCAATGATGCAAATTACATTTTCTATGACAGTGAAAAATGTGCCTGCATCTACAGCCGATCGCGTAAAGATGACTTGAACATAAAATTGTGTAGCTTTTAAAAAGTATTCCATGGAGGCGAACAAATTATGTGCTTTAGTGGCGATGGGAAGGCGCAAGTACCAAGGGGGGCTAAATTGTTTAAATATACAATTGAGAAAATTAAATTCATTATTCGAACGAGCTTTCGATAATCAAAGAGACTGAAACTTTGCTTTGGAAGGGAGAGGGATTGGAATTGGCATTGAAATATATAAAGACTAAGAATTCAAAATTCCATTCAGTTCATATTTTGGGTTAGATTCGTTGGCATGTTGCAATAAATTTGAACATTTGTTGAATATAATTCGCCTGCCACAAGTATGAAAGAAGGATGTGTGCTTGCTTCTAACCCAGGGCCAAATCCACTTACAATGCAAACTTTAAGGAAAAATAAGTACAGTGTATTGTAATAGAGGTACAAATCATACATGGAAGAAAGATATACACTCTCAAAAAAACTTTGAAGGCCATGAGATAGGAAGCTATATAATTAATTATGATCATAGTCAATAGAAAAACTATTGTCAATTGTTTCCATTGACTGTGTTATGATCAAGAGTGCGTGGTCCCTAAATGGAGTAAATAGCCATGTCTACTTTCAGCGAAGATAATTCTCACTATGTCCAACGTGTGTCATTTTCTTATAAATTTTTAAATTACCATGAAATCTGTACCATTTTTGGCACTTACTAATCTTTCGAAAAAAAGATATTCGTGCCTCTTTTACTCGCTTTGGCCCCCCTGTTTAAACCTGCGTCCGGCGACCCTGTCATGGAAGAGAAGATTGGCGAGGCCCAGTTACAAGTTGCCTTTTGTAGATTAATGCTAGATTAGAAAGGAGATAGCGATACAACAAGCTAATCTAACTCGTAATCACTTGATTTAAGCTCAAAAGAGTAACCTTTTTACCTTGCAGATTACGATGAATGTCTGCAACACGATCAAGATCCTTGTAGCTACCCTAATGCTCACTGCAAAAATCTCCCTGGAAGCTATGAGTGCCGTTGCAATAGAGGCTACGAAGGAGATTACCATTCCTGCCAAGGTTTGTTAGCGATTCATTCCCTTTGAATCTCATCTCGCAACCATGAGTGTTTCTCTAGGGCCGTGGCACCCTTTTTGCCCTCTTCTAACAACCACTGGCTGCACATAAGTAGCAAGTAGGTTTGAAAATACACAGGAAAAGCAGTATACGGGAAAAACTCAAACTAATTCAATTTTAAGCAGAGGGGCATTTTCTGGTGGGGAATCATGGGTCATTCTTAGGGCCTGGAGGCGAATTTCCCCACTAGTCTTTATGTTAAAAGATCCCTTGATTTCACATAACAAACAGCATGTCTGAATGCTTTTTCCTCATCAATATAGATAAGGATGAGTGCAAGCTGAATCTTCATAGCTGTTCGCAGAAATGTGTAAACATTGTTGGTGGCTACAGATGTGACTGCAACACTGGCTTCAAACTGGCTGTTGACGGAAAGACATGTTTAGGTAACGCTGTCTTGCAACTTTTTCGGGGAAACAGCTTTTAGGTCTCATAGTAAACTTCTATTTGATTATCGTGCGTTGACCTTTTGGGCTTTTCAGTCTTATACAAATGAACTTCAAGATGTTTTCTATTGCATGGTCAGCTTTCCAGGAACCATTGCTATTACATGGTCAGCCAGGAAGCATAGTTCAATTATCATTTACTTTGTTCCATCGAGTGTTGAAATGTTTTTATCCTTCAAGTTCAAACTAAAATGCTATAATTGTAAGAATGTAACCGATTTTATTTTCAATTGATACTTTGTACAGTGGTGGCGCCAGAGGGTGGCAGGGGGCTATAGTCCCCCCCTCCGTTGGAGCTGCTTAGCCCACCCGTCGGAAGATATACGAAGAAAATCTATAACTATGTTGGAGCAAGATTTTGCTACCGCTTGTAAAGTTTTTAAGAAATAGAATAGTAACGGTTACGATTACAGAAATCCCAACTCAATATAAGTAAAATTCCCATAAAGACCACTGAGACATTACTTCAAAAGACAAGTATGGATCTGATATTCCTGATCTAAAGAGCTGCTCTTTCTTGTTTGTTGAATTCATGTCCTGTCATAATCTCAATGTTTGTGCGTCTGGGATTCCATGTTTTCACTCCGTTTTCCTAGCCCCCTGACGGAAGGTCAAGCCCCTCAGTCGGAGATCTTCTAGCGCCGCCACTGCTTTTGTAGCAGGCTCTAAATTTCGCAAATTGATTATCTCCTGATTATTATGTATCATCTTTCAAGATATTGCACTTTCTATATACCGTGTGCCTGCTAAAGTCTGACCGTTGATCCTAAAAGAAAAGATGGATGTCATAAATTGTTTTCATTTTCATATTGTAAATATCTCTCTCATCTTTCTGTCACAACCTCCCACAACTTAACGAACCGCGTGTACCCCTGTTCATTTGATGGAATTTCAAAACTCCTTATAACTGTTCATAAGTACATTATAACTGTGAAGCTTCTACCTCTAGATGCTGATGAGTGCAAGGGTGCACACTCCTGCAACTTGACAACATCAGTTTGCTACGACGAATACGGGAGTCATCGTTGCATTTGCAAAGCTGGGTACAAGGAAGACACAACAGACCCAAAGAGAAAAACTTGTATACGTGCGTATTTTGAAGACGATGCCATGTCTACGTACCCTGTATTTAAGTCCCCACTATTTAAGGTTTTTTTTGACTTAACAATCGACCCTTAAAAGATTTAAAAAATTATCAAAACTGCCAATTGAAACAAAATTTGGCATCTGTGGTAAGTTTGCTCTCGCTGAAACAACACCCCCTCAAGCCTTAGGACCTCAAAGTCAATGAATTCCCTTCATGGTAACTTTACAGGTATTAATGTTTTTTTATAAATTGCTTAATTATCGCAAAATCTATTTTCATCAGCGATAGAATGCCAGCCATTAAGCAACATGGAAAAAAGCATTATTTTGTCACCACCAAGATGCATGAATGGCAAGAACATCTACGGGGACGAATGTTCAGTAAAATGCGCGCCTGGTTACGAGCTGGACGCAGGCTCTGCTAAAACGCTACGATGCACGAGCTTTGGGTTCGTGAACATTAATGGGAACATGCCCATGTGCAAACGTAAGAAACATTACTTAGTGCTCTAAAGCGTCTCTTTTTCATAAGTGGGATTGGCTTCGAAAAAGGCAAATATCTTACAACATACTTTGAGCTTCATTCGACATAATTGACAGGGACGGAAATATGTTTTTGAGTGATGAAGTGGATCATACATTTACGCGTCATACCACACAATAGGGATGCAACTGCCCCCAAACTCCCTGTAACCCCACCATTGTTTAAAAGTACAAAGTTCTATCAAGAAACAAAGTTTCAATTTTATCCTTGCCTTTCAAATGACTTCAAGCTCATGGACTTTGACACATAAAAAACAACATTTAGTAGAAGTTTGGGCTTCTGTTCCATGAATGGATGCGGAATTAAATGTGGATATACACCGCTTCTCTAATTGTTTAAGTTCCCAATCGGATCACAGTTCTTTTTAACTATACTCCTAACTAATACAGCGATTGATCTTTTTCAACATATGAAAGTATCAACTTATGTATAGAAACAGCAAAGGTCTCAACGAAGAAAAAGATTTCATGAAGAATAATTTAAACTTTAACAACTAGATAGCCCCAAACTCACTACTGTGCTGCTATATACATCCACAGCAGTTTTGTTGAATATTTAAAGTATCTTAGTTTTAGGGAATTCATTGTAAAGAGCATCTGGATTCATATCTAATAATAACAAATATATGTTACGTTAGATTAATTTAAATTAAAAAGATAAAAATTTGTGCTTGTAAATGTAATGAAATTGATAATGAAAAAGCAACAAAATTAATACTAAGAATAATTCTTCACTAAGTCAGGAGTCTTTTAAGAGCAATAATGCTTGCTCTTTAACTGCTAATAATTAATTATTGATTGTTCAAGACATCTTAATTTTCAGCAAAGCCATGCGGAAAACTGGCGGTGCCTAATTTTGGCTTCACTGTTCCACCAAGCTGTTCCTCAGTGGGTGCGACACAAGGAAGCCAATGTTACATTTTCTGCGATCACGGGTTCGTCCTTGCGGGGGAGAGAGCATACACATGTGATCAGCAAAAATACGACAAAGATCCTTCAAAAACAATATGTGTTAGAAGTAAGGATTGGTTTTCTTTGCGCAGCACATTGGCTTATAAGCTCATGTTCAAGTGTAAAACTCTGAAAACTAATCCTGGTGAAGCGACATTGAACCTCCAGGATAAGCTTAGTTGTATATTACATCTGTATAGAATAGCCTAGGAAATACATATTTATTTGTTTGCAAGTATTCTGGGTTCAAATTTCTATTCATTTGTTACAAGTATATATATTGATATAAAAAAGCCAATATTCTCAACACAAACTTTTTCAATACCGATTCTGTAAAAATCAGGCAAAGTTTAACATAATTAATCAAAGCTATTTAGAGAATGAATCAGATTACAATCAGTACCTTAAACTTAAGTTATGCTTCACTAAAACTCGGGTAAAATGTCACATTTAAATTTTCTCGTTTCAGTCCCGAAGATAGAATGTCCAAGCGATGTGACAGTTGCCTTGCCACAAGACAGTTCTCGCGTAGCCCTCGACAACAATTTCCCTTATTTCAGGACCAATGTACGACGGGATCAGATTTCTTCCAACATTGCAGGGATTGGCCCTAGCTACGAATTTCCTCTCGGTCACAATGTTGTTGTTTACAAAGCAACAAATGAAGTGAACCAAACAGACAAGTGTTCATTTGTTGTCTCGGTGGAAGGTAGACATTTTGTTATTAAGATGTTACAAGCAATGAAACTAAACCTACAATGCCTTGAAAACTAAAATGTGCAGGATATGATATGATAAAGATATCACGGAGCAGGCCCGTAGACGCTGGGGGCAGGGGGGCAATGCCCCCAGTAATTTGCGAAAATCAAGTTTGAAGATCTTATAAGCACAGCTTGATCTGACAGTATTTCGTAAGGTAGGTATAGAAAAAGCTATATTCCTATCCATGCCCTCCTTCCCCCCAATCCAGTTTAGATGTCTACAGGCCTACGGAGAAAGGGAAACATAACATATTTAAGTATCCATTAAAGCTTTGCATGGAAGGCCGGAATGTCCGTTTAGATCAGTTCGCTATTACACAAATTCTAATCAGAAAACACATAAATGTACTGTCTTTATCTGATTGATTTCAGATCGAAGTCCTCCTGTTCTCGAATTCTGCCCATCAAGTTTTACGGTCGTTAGCAAAGGTGCTGTGCCAGTTAATGTCACTTGGGAAGAGCCTCGTTTCAAAGATAATGTTGGTGTACAAAGCGTTATAGCTAGTAGCAAAAGTGGAGAGCTACGATCTCCAACAGATTTCACAGTTCTATACAGGGCATTTGACGCAAGTAGAAACATGGCTACCTGCAAGTTTACAGTTTCTTTCAAAGGTTTGTTATTGAAAAAAGCAATTTTCATCATTGGCACCTTTCTAATTTTTTCGTTCTAGGCACATCTAGAACACAACGCGGTTTGACAAGATACCATCTAATCTATAGCTTTATTCGCATAATTGCAGATATTGAATTTTCACAGGATCTACAACTTCAATTCACAGCATTACAATCTTTTTTTATTAGAAAAAATTTATAAAAACACGAACCTCAAAACTAAACAAAAGTTAAGAACAAAGCTGTGGCTGAGCTACTGTAAAATGTAATTTTGAGCTATGTTCATCTCATAAACGAAGATTTTTAGCCATTTAGTGGTGCTTTTTCGGTGTAGTTTCAAACTCGTCAGCACATAAAGAATATCTCACTCACTTTGTTGGCAGACGAGGCTTGAAACCTCCCTAGAGGACAATACCTAACAATTGCACTGCTTACACCCTAATGATTTAAGAACAAATTAAGAACATCGAGCCTCAGATTTTCGAAAAGATTCAGAACAGTAAGCCTGAACTTTAATTTACCGGTTCTTATAAAAAAGAGAGTGCAAAACAAAAGCTGATAATTTGATGTAATTAATTGCAGTGCTAAGATGCGATTTTGACTCAATTCCTGGAGGGGACCAGCTTATTCAGAAATCTTGCATGAACATGGGAACGTCACATCTTTGCATGGCGCAGTGTGTTCCTACAAAAACATTTAACGTCATCAACAGTAAACACATGTTTTTGAAGTTCATGTGGAGTTGTGTCAAGGCGGATTTTGAAGTTGATCAAATGCCTGACTGCGTAGGTTTGTGTGTTTATTGCAATATAATTCAGTGCCATGTAATTTAATTTAGTCCATGCAATATAATTCAGTACCTAGCAGTATAATTCAGTACTAAGGCCGTGCCTTTGCTCAGACAAGTAATGGGTTTTGATACAAGTTTCTATAAAAACACTTTCGTGTAAAAACGTTTGTTAACATTCAGAGGAAATGACAATTACCGCAATCTCATAAATATCCAAAGATAAAATGCAGAAAATAAGGTATCAAACTAAGAACAAGTCACTTGAAACCAAAGTTCCCCTTATTCTGTTCTTAAAACTATTTTATAAAAAAAATTATCGTTCATCATTCCCTTCTTTCTTTGTCAAACAAAACTTCTAGCAACACCGGTTTGAATGTAAAATTAAGAATAACTTCTTCATTTTGATCAACTGGAATTTCTTTGCTTTTTTGTATAACTTCAAAAATTTCTTTTTAATGCTTGAAGTTTGCTGCAAATTTTCACGTTATGTTTGATAGATTTTCAACCAAAAAATGGCAAGCCTTGCCCAGCAGGTTCTACTGATGTCAATGACTATAGAAGTGGCCTACCAGTTTGTGGTAAGAATCAATTATATATAGCTATAAAATATCTAAAAAACAATCATAACCAAATGTTAATGAAAGATAAATGTAAACGCTTAACAAAGTCTTAAACAGTTTAAAGTTACCTAGTAAAATTGGCTTTGAGTTTGATACATCTGGGAAATATAACTTTATCTGTGAAAGTCTCATTATCACTGAACATATTCCTAACATGGTCGATAAATTTTGCAGCTAAGTGTGCCAGAGGGACATACTACGTGAATGGAAGTTGCACTGACTGTCCCACAAGTATGTACCAACCGTTAGAAGGATCATTGTCTTGCGAGAAGTGTAAAAGTGGTTATGGAACATCTACTAAGAGAAATAAGCTCTCTACTGATTGCAAAGGTATGAAATTTCCCAACATCGAAAACTATGTAATAGATTCTCTAAGGATACTGTTTCCGCAAAACGCTAGATCAATGCTTTGTCAATACTATGAAGAATGGCCTAACTGCCATGATTGAAGAGCAATATTCAAAAGTTCTACATTTCGCTTTTCACTTTCCCTTTCCAAACTTTTGCATCGTGTTATCGATTCATGGAAGATGCTTTCTTTGAAAAGTCCCTTATTTTTTACAGAACAGTGTCCACTTGGCTACTTCTCTACTGATGGTTTAAGTGATGGCCAAAGCAGTTGCGAAATGTGCCCAAAGAACACGTATGCCGACAAGTTTGGATCAAAATCTTGTCTAAGGTGTCCTAATGGAACAACAACGGACGGCTCAGGACGTACCAGCATCTCAGCATGCAGATGTAAGTTTTGCTTTTAGATAAAGTTAAGTTACTATTTCATTTTTTCCGCTGCTTTATCATATTCTTGCTTAGTTACTCCACACAACCCTTTGTTTTGTATGTGTTTTCTCAGTGACCTTCAATCTTCAGACGAATTTGTAGCAAAATGGAGCGCCGCCAGGCCATGGGGCAAAAGCCTTGACGGGTCCCCAATTTGCACCGATTTAAATTAATAATTAATATTTAAATTCAGACCGTTAGGGGCCTTACACGAGAAAACCTTATCTGGATGATGCATAATCGTTAAGAAAGGAAAACATACCTTGATACATAATCGTCAAAAAAGAAAAATATTGCTTAATTTCGAGCATATTCAATGCTACTCAGATTCAATAAAACGCCAATCGCTTTTTTCCATCTATAAGCCAAAACTTTTAGGACCTTTCTCCTAAAATTTGAAGAATTATTTTGGGTATTTTAATATAAATAATTATCTATTAAGCACCTTTTTTACTTTGGAGCAACCCCCACTTTCCGCATATTTTTTCAATAACAATATGATTTTCTAGATGCCCCCAAGAACATCAGAATGGTCCCAGGTGGCACGATTGAAGTTTCCGCTGGAGAGAAAGTCCATTTTGATTGCTTTGCTGATGGAAATCCAATGCCTTTCGTGCACATCCGGAAACAACAATCACAAGCCAACCGTAAGGGTCTATTGCCCTATTCTCTCTCTTCGGCTTTTTCTTTGTTGATATTGATTCGCTTCAACATTCAGCCCCTAACTTACTCTAAGAAAGGAAGTATTTGACCCCCTTTCTGCATATGAAATTTTATTTTGCTTAATCTCCTTCATCTTTGCATGATATGTTAGCATTTGTTGGTTTTTCCTTCAGCTATGACCCACAGTCTGCAACCAGTTGCTGCACCAAACAGTAACACGAAGGGCATTCGTTACATGATTAGTTCAGCCTCGATACATGATTCTGACTACTATGTATGCAGAGCTGAAAACAATAAAGGGATTATTTACAACAAGATTCAGCTCGTGGTAACAGAAGGGTCTGGTAAGTTTATTCAGTTAAGTGAGAAAATTGCTCAGCAAAGTAATCTTTCTGCAGGGTCTACCAATGAGAAACGAAGTTGCATGCGTAACAGACCAATTGGATTATCGATTTGTTTTGCGCAGCAAATAGGTTGATTCTCTTCAATCACGTAATAGGTGTTTGGAAAACTCAGGAAGGGATTATTTATGTAGCAAAGCAGAAGGCTTTTGCAGAAAAGTCGGTTCCGCAGGTTATGCATTCTAAGCTCCAACCTGAGAAGGAGAAAGTGTGAAATGTGAACACATGCTTTCAACTTCACATATCGAAAAGAGGCTATATCACAATCTAGGGAATATCATTATTTGAGTAACTAACAAGGACTAAAACTTCAAGGTACAATATGTAAGGCTTCAAACAAAATCCTTGCGGAACAGCAAACGAAACTTGTTCAAGAAATTATTATCAATATGGGAATACGAGGTAAACCAGACTGTCTTTGATAGGGCACCGAATAAGATGGTTTAGTGCCATTTACTAAAGAGGGTAGCAAATAAATGAACAACAGAGATTTAGGCAGAGTTTTCCATTAAATTTCTCATCTAAGAACAGTTGAAGATATAAAATCAAAGCAAATTCTATTTTCATTTAAAAGCTTTCTGTGCATGAGTATTGGTTTACTTGAGTCGAGAGAAAAGTATTTACTTGGTTTATCTAACTGATGAAAATCCATTCCATTCTTACTTTTCTTCATTCTAGGTATGAGTTCAATAGGATGAACTAATGATGTGGCCTCGAACTGATGATGGACCTCGATTGAGGATTATCTACTGTTTATCAATATTTCCTATTCTTGTCTATTAAGCATATCCATTTTACTCATGTAATGAAAAAATTAGAAAATTTTACGAGTTGTGTGTTTGCGAAATTCGTTTGGAACATTGAAGTTCTTTAAAACTACACATTTTCACATCCATGTTTTGTTGTGGTCTTAACTCATTTCGCCTTGAGATTTAAGCCAGCCTTATCACTTTTTGTGAATCTTATTCTTATCAGAAATTAAATGATGCATGCCTCGAAAATGATTGGTTGAGAGGTCAAACTGTACGAGTTCCGTGGAAAAAAATGCCTTGACTTCAACTTTCAAAAACGGAAAGCGGTGCGGTAGGTCTACCGTTCTAGAATGTCAAAATATCTTCTGCGCATGCTTGTACCGTATACCGTTTACCGCTTTTTGTTTTCCGTCCATACCGTGAAGAGAAAATCCACCTCCAAATGTTATTACATAGCGTATACAAGCGCGGTTTCAGGAATTTTTTTGGGGAAGGGTGCAAGTTCTTATTTACCGAGTACATTTTGGCAGCATTACGCTACGTTAATACAATCAGAATATTTTAGTATTGTTGGTATAAAAATTTCAGCTATTACAAAGCATCTTCAGCTGTAAAACTATTAATTTTATAAAAGTTCTAAAATAAGCTCTCATATTATCTTTTAACGTAGTTACTAAATCTTCAGAAACAGTCATCGAACTCTTCTGTTCTCCAACTGGAGTCTGGACCCACTTCTTGGTAACATAGCAAATCTAAGTTTTGTGAAAAGTTTTACTCGCACGAAATTAGCATAAGAGATTCCAGACAACCCTGAAGCATTGTGCTTCACAGCAATGACATGCTGGCAGGGGGGCAAGGAGGGGCAATTGCCCTGCCGATCAAATATCAAGGGCGTAGCGAGGAAGATTCACATAAAATAACAAAACAATATTAAAGGCAAAAAGAACAATAATCACCTTGCAACATACCACCACTTCTTTCTTACTAACCTTGATGTGCTTAACAACGATCGTTAAACACCACCTCAAGATTGCACGATAAATCTAAATGATTTTTACACAAGTAGATACCAGGGGCGTACCGAGGTAGCGAGGAGGTTTTTGAGGAACCCCCCGATAATGTTGGGCTTTTTGATATCTTTGAATGTTTTTTAAAAATTACATGAAGGACAGTGTTTTCGTCTGAAAATTTTAAAAAGATTTATCTACCCGTCAATATCCCCATTTTACCAACTAAATCAATTTTACCGACTAAGACACAAATGCCTATTCTTGTATGAAAAGTAGCAAGGCGTTATGAATAAAAATCGAAAACTGCACAGAATTCACACCATTTTCGGGTACCCGTGTATGAATTTAATGAATAATGCAATAAGCGATATTGAAACTCCCAGATCTGTGATAAAGAAGTGATCCATTATTCCCAGTACACAAATAAACCATGTTTTGTTAACAATATGCGCTATATACAATTTAAATGTTTCTCTGTGATTCTGACTTGCCACATTTCCTTCAGGAAATTGATACCACTAATCTTAGGTTACGTTAATTACTTCGGTGTTTATAAAATGGCGCTTCATAAGCAACGTCCTGAGATCACTTGAAAAAGTTGAGAGAAACATCTGCTATTCTTTAAAAAATAAATACAATAAATTCTATCTTGTGGTGTTAAAACAAAGGGATAATAGAACAATCAGACTTCACTTTTATTGAAAGCAACGACGGCTTTTTATCAGCGAATAATACGATTTTCGATTGCTGTTAAAAAGACCTTCATGGGAATTCAAATTCAGAGGCATTATTTTATAAACTGAGATGCTGTTTATTCGCAAAGCTCAGGATTGAAAAGAAAGCTGAAGTTCTGAATAATTACAGTCTTGAAGTATCCCTGGTAACAGTGGTAACAAAAGACTGTATACAGTATCGGAGATAATAACGAGAATATTGTGCTCTCCAAGGGAAGATAAGGTGGTGGTAGAGAAGTTTTCGCAAGCAAGTGGACGGATGTTCAGAACACCAAAATTAATCAGCTGAAAGGCTTTACAATGCAATGGTAATTCAGATTTCATAATTAATTAAATTGACGAGATTCCTCTACTGCGACTTGACTTTGACGATGAGTTGATCGGATTCAGAACAATCTGACTTTTGACAATAACTTTGCGACAAGATCTTTATATATTGCTGCCTACTTCAAACTTACAGGTATTTTGGGATATCCAAAATCACTGAATTGTTCTCCCTCTCTGCGTTCAAATCTCAATTCTACAACAATTGCTTGCGGGTTTGATTTACAAAGCAGCTAAAAAACCCTTAAGAACATCTCGCTTTCATTCGATATACGGAATGAAAAACAAGTCGAGCTGGGCTGACATAACATAAATTACGGAAATCTTAATATGCGGCATACTTACCTTTCTTAACGATATCTTTATATTACCAAAATGTTTTCATGTTTGGTAAACTATCTATGTTAAATTTTGTGGACAACAGAGCAGAATTGGAAGAAAAAGGCAGCACGAGTGCCACGATGGTCCCTTGGGCAGCTCCAGCAGGACCTGCTGCCTACTTTTATATAATGTAAAAATAGAATAGAGAAAATTTGGAGTTTGTAAAAAGACAAAGCCAGGGCTAGAATAGGAGTATTCTTATTGTCCGACATAAAAAGGTTAAGTTTAGTACAATCGTGCTAGTACATGTTAAGTTAACTTTAGTACTTTTGTGTCTAAATTTACAGTGTTTCTTGAAAGTTCCATGCCCTAGGAAAATCAGGCAAACAATTTCGTGCTTGAAGACAAAGTTGTTTCGACAAAATCTTGTTATTGTCAAAATCTTGATTGTGCAGGTGTCATTCTTTTCTCCAATATGACCAAAAAAGGCCGGAGAGGCATTTCCCTGACCTACTTGTACTCAAACATATTCTGATGCATGTTGCCCTATCGCACACACAGGGCTGACCAGGCGCGGCTCTAGGCCGGTCGCACAGGTTTAAAAAACCGGTCAAATTTTAAGAGCTATGTTTCTCTGTAAATCTTTAATTTTTGATCTAATATTTCAATTGCAACAATTGCTGCATTTCTCCCTGACTGACTACAGCTCTTCTGTTTATATACTGAAGTTGACCCCTACAAGGTGTCCATATGTTTCCCTTATGCGAGAAAAACCGGCGACTAAAAAGCATGTTCGATATCCATAGCTCGAAAGTGTGGACGCTTTAAAACAAAATGATACAAAATGGAATACCGATGCAAAATAAGAATCTGAGGTTTCGTAGTGAAGGGACTAGACTTTCTTTCTCGGAAAATTTCATGAAAACTAGAATCGAAGTTGCAAGAAGAGGATCATAGGCCATGATGAACCGAGTAAAATTGTCATATTTTAGATAAAGTATGGGCAAATTAACCACATTTTACCAACCTCATTAGCAACTTTTAGCAATATTTATGCACCAACACACAGGGCTGTGACGGGGTAAAGCACCCCGAAACCGGTCGAAATTTTGGCTAGATCCGCGCTTGGGTGAGGGACCTTTTATATGAAAAACAGTTTTGTTTCAGGCTACTGTTGACATCAGTGTATTCTTATCTAAAATTTTGGTTTTCCATCAGAATAGGTTTTTATTAACAGGGACTGAACGGACATGAACCTTTTTAGGTTCTCAAATTGTTTCTTTGTATTCCATTTTTATAGCCTTCCCGCAGATGCAAATGTAGGAGTAATGGTAGAATCTTCACGCAGGCTAATGATTCATAACATTTTCTTCATGCAAAGTTTCGCTAATTTTACTGAAAATAGCCATCTCGCTATATATATTCTTGAATCAACACTGTCAAAGCATCTTCTGTAAGATCTTCAAACGAAAAATGTTAATATCAATGCGCACTGCTCAAAACTGAAGTTTCAAACCTTGTTTATTGTTGTAATTAAGTAGCCTTGGATTAATGATCAGTTGGGTGCCTAATTCTACAAATAGGCCTATCGATTTTTAATTCATTGAATATCATAAATATGTTAACTTTAGAATTGCGTTCGTTTACTGACTGTTTCCAACTATATCCAGCAGAAATTAATTCATGACGTGTGTGATGAAATATTAACTAAACTGATTCTACCCCCCAGTGAAGAAAGAATGTCTAAGGAAAGCGAGGTATACAAAAAATCTGTGATCGATATTCATATCAAGTTTGACCCAGAAAAAGAAAAGGAGTTTAGAGCCATTTTGGGTGAGAAGTTTGGGCTGAGGCCAGCGTGCATTAAAAATGTACCAGAAATTTTGGATAAAGAAGGAATTCTGGAAAAAGATTTTGAAAAAAGATCAACAGAGGTAAAAAAATTTCGAAAACAGTCTCAGAGTGCACTCATCTCACCCTTGTTAAACATGGCCTTGGTGAAAAAGACAAAGAAATTTCTCAACTCTAAAAAGGTAGGCCTATTTCAGTATTTTGAAATCCAAATAATAGCTTTCATTGACTCATTCTACTTTAACCGAAAAGCTATGAATAAAAAGGCAAGTATGATAAACCAGTTCCATATCTTATTAAGCTTGTGATGGAATATAATTTTGTTTTATTATCAATTATTAAAACCCAGACATGAAAAACCATTTGGCACCTACGACCAAAAGCATATCAGAGATTGAGACCTCGTTTACACGGGAGAAACGGGATCGATCTAGTTTGGGATTGATCCCAATCTGGATCGATCCGTAATTTTCGCTTGCGTTTACACGGGATCGATCCCAAAACATTATGTGTTTACACGGGATCGATCCCAGACCGGCCCTTAGGGAGGAACGCACATGCGTATTGCTTATGTCATTAGCAACACAAAGAAAATTGCGTTGATAGCGGCAAATTTGTAGGAAGATTGACAACAAAATTGCTTCGAATTCGAGAAGTGGTAACAAAATGTTTATTTGGAGCTACAAATTAATGGCCCTACTCCTGAAGATCACGCTGGAGTACAAAACTTCGAAGTTAGCCGATGGCCAGGACTGGGAGCCTATTCGTTCTAAGTATGAGGACATCTATAGAAACTTTATAGCGGCCTACCCAAATGAGGAGGAAGAGGGTGAAGCGTTTCCAACAGGCGACGCTGCCTCAATCTATGTCGGGAATAAATCATTCCCTTAAATTAAAGCCTGTTCGCTAAATTTGTCAATAAAGTTGTAAACAAATTCCTCCAGATTGTTTCGTTTTTCTCTTCTGGTGGGCGAGAAACGAGAATGCGCGCAAAATCTGATGGAAAAAAGCTCGAAGCACCTCCAATTGGGTAATTTATTAGCCTCGTTTCCTATCCGTGCCAATTTGGGATCGACTTCACCTTTTCAAGCGTTTACACGAGACGGGATCGATCCCAAACTGGATCGATCCCAAACTGGAACGCTTTCCAAAGCGAACCCAAATTAGCACGGATAGCGGATCGATCCCGAGCGTTCCCGTGTAAAAGAAAGGCCGATCCGTACCAGTTTGGGATTGATCCCGGCCTGAATCGATCCCGTGTAAACGGGGTCTGAATGAGGAAGGCTACATAGCTTTTTAGAGGACTAAACATTCTAAAAATCAAAAGCAATGCCAATTTGGTATGGTTGAAAGTACATTTGTGAATTACTTTTTGGGGGCTAAGCAGCCACACCCCATCGCTTTCTCGGTCACTGTATTACTGCTGGCAATGCCCAGATCAAACAATAAAATTCCGATATCTCTTGATGTTCACTTTTGCATTGAAATGTTGGCCTGAACTTCGTGCTTGCTATCACATATGTTTTTATAGCTATTGCAAAAATTCACCTTTTTGCTAAGGTAAACTGTGATAGACTGAAGTTATTTAAGGTGATTTCAATGAGACTTGCTCAATGCTGTGGCAATATAAAGAGATAATTTTAACTGAAGTTTATCAAGGTATAGTTTTAAACCACAAAATACAATAAGAATTATCTAATGCACCATGATAGACATTTCTTCTCTCTAATTCACTGTTCTTTTCTTGCTCATCAGACACATTCAGATATCGTTTTGCAACTTTTGTTTACTGTTTGCAGTGTTCTCTGTTAGACTGAAAATTATCGCTTAGCTCTTTTTCTCTCTCCTTTCAGCTTACCAAGCAGGAGTTGAAGGTAACAAATTTAATCTTAAATCTATGTAAGGATTTTCGAAAGAAACCGAGGCTAGCAAAGATTTTTCTTTCAACACCAATTTTTGCAATTAATATTTTCAACATCTTACTCTACAGATAGTGATGACAGTAAAAAAGGGGGATTTAATCACCTTTTCAGTATACTAAAACGTTAGATTAATCGTTGTTTTGTACATTTTTCCTTTCAGCCTATTCAAAAATTTCGCTCGGTTGCAAGGCTAGTCCTTGTTTTTGTTGCACTGTCAACTCGTTGGAAAAGGTTTGTATGTGTTTTGTTATTATCAATATATCCAAGTGCGTAGGAAACATTTAGAACATTGAAGGGAAGAAGTTTGGAAAGGCACTTTGCCCCCCGTCACCAAGAAGTTATTCCAAATATGGGCACTGTGACAATAACATTTTAAACTAAAAGGGGACCTTTCTTCTCCCAAAAGGTCACTTGCAAAAACTTTAAAGGGAAAGTATACCTTTGTGTTGCAATCAAAACCCTGCATCTCTACATCAGAGGCATATGAAGCATTAACTTCACTTTGAAATTGACCTCGATATGATAGAGAGAATGGATGCTACGTGTTCGGGTAAGAAGGAAATGATAGGGGCTGGTGCTAGGGATTCCAAGATGCCAGAACATCAAAAGAAGCTAAAAAAGGGATAAATGATACCATTGGAAAGAGAAAAGAAGGGATAGTTGCTTTCTTCCTGTTTTGCTCATTTAAATTTTCTGCTTCCTTCCTTTTTGATGTTCTGGCCCTTGTATCTAGGATGTAAAGCAAACACCTTGTGTAGAAATCCCATTAATTCATCTGACAAATGGTAAAATCTTTTACGTTGTTGCAAGAGTGAAATACCCCTCAGCTTATACAAGGACTTTATTGTCTAGCCATATAAGAATAAATAGGTCGTTCTAGCAAAAATCTTATGCAATCACTAATGTCCCGAATACCAAAACTTGAAGCTCTGACAAATACAGCTGATTTTTCTGTATTTCTGCTTTTAAAGAAAGGAGATCTTTTCGTTTTTAAGATATAAAATTTCTACGTCAAAAAGAGGAAGAATAAATTCAACTGAATCATCATCAAGCAGATATTACGAAAAAGATCTGATGAAACCCAGCGAAGAAAAATCAATTGGGAAATTAGACTCAATCAAAAACGGAAGAAACAAAGGAAGGGTGAGCTGCTACCGTCTTTAAATCATGAATCGCGGACAATACTCACAGTTGTTCCCTAATTACCTTTAAAAAATAAAGAACATTCTCAGGAATCACTTAATCGAAATTTTCACAACAAAAACTATTAAATTCAAAATAGAAAGTGTGAGGTATTCACAATTCGGATAACCTTTTCTAGGATAATGTACATCTTCACAATATTTCATTTCCTTACGATATTTCAGCCTCAAAGGCTGAAGACTTTGTGATACAAAACGAGTCATTCAGAAAGAGGGCATATAACGGTAGGGTAGAAGGAGTGTCTAAACAGTTCTAACTAAAGAAAGTTGCAAAAATGACGATAAAAAATTTGATTGTGCAATTTTAGGTGTCAGATGACATCCAGCTTATATTGCGAAAATCACCGGACCAGAGAACAAACGAGGACTTAGCCAAGGTAACAATTTTAACTGTTTGTACTTCACTTTATTTCATTTTCATTTTATTTAATTTTAAAATTCCAATACATGCAAACATCATTGAATATACAACAGGTGACTAAGATTATATAACAAGAATTCAAAAGATGGAAAACAGAAAATTGCTATAAATGAATACAGAAAACTGATATTTGTAAGGAGGGGCTCTTTTAATAGATCAACTAGTCGAGGAGAGAGCACCCTCTTTTCTTATTCTTGGTATCATATCTGAGTAAAAAAACACAATAAAAGCGCAAAAGTACTTCATACCACGATAGGTTAACAAAGTCAAGAAATAACCCATAACCATATTATCATTTGAATGTGAAAATTTTGATAGCTGCGTATCGCAACCAAAGGTAAAAACTTATGTTTATGTTCGTCAATTGATTTTTTTAAAAAGGTGCAAAGATTTTGCAGAAAGATTGGCGTCTTGTCGATTTTTCCAGTGGAAAGGCAAACTGAGGTTGCTCAAAGGTTAGGATATGAGTGGTAAGTGTTAGAAGAGAACTTTCGACTGATATGAACGTTGGGCGGCAGTAGGTTACACGTCCTTTTAAAAGAAGGTATTTTAAAATAAAGTTATTCTCGGTTCTTCAAAAAGTTAAGAAAGTTCAGGGCTGGGTCTTTGAAACGTATAAAAGTTGAACAATTTAGATATTCAAATTTCAGTGGAAAATCAGTTCAAATTGGTGGATTTTTTCATGAAAAATTGATCTCTGTTTGTTGGGTTTTCTTCGATAGTTGATGTTACGACATAGGGAGTTTTTTCGAGAAATACACTGGGGTCACAAAAGTATGGAAACGGTGGGGCAAAATGGCGGCTCACAGTGACCATGGGCCTAAGTCGACCAATTTTAAAGTCAGAATTATGAGGCGAACGGGCTTGGAAACGATAGGTTTTGTCGGGAAAATGCATTCGCCATTCCTTCGACTTTCGGTTTAAATAAAATTTAATGATTTGAAATAATTTGATAATGATTCGAAAATATTTTTCCAGAAATTTTGAAGGCAGCGTTTAAAAAAACGTTCTTACAAAAACGTGCATTGTTCATATGCATGTGCATAATTTAAATTCGCTATCGTTCAGTCCCCATGTTCGTTATCATTTTATGTTTTGCGTCATACTCCCGTCATACATAAGAACCTCTTCGAATTATATCAGTGCCACTTAAAACTTTGCAGAAAGCAGAGTATCTCAGACTCATCATTTCTGGGCATTAGCACTTCGACCGTTTTTTCTTTAAGCTACGATAAAGGCAGAGTGCTTAGCATTCAAGGACGGGATCCAATCCGAATTTACTACATCCTTGGTGGCAAAGGTAATTCTTTATTTTATTCTACTTAAAAACTTGAAAGCAAAGGTTGTTGTAAGCAAAAGGCAGACATAAACGTGCAGAATTACGACGACCAACACTAATATCGTAATCGAGGTAGTGAAAAAATAATCAGTATCTGTTGCTACACATCTGTTTTTACACGAAAAATAGAACATAAATATGTATCTTGGGACTGCAGGGACATCCCTAGCCTCTAAGCTCCTCCATGGTTCCGAGGTCCCCATAGGAATAAAGATTCCATCCGTTCAGGTAACATATGGTCATCGTGACGACTTTGATTGTCAGGAATATTGGCATTTAAACTTGGGATTTCTCTACTTATCCAAGCGTCAAGGATGTTATTCATTTTCTAGTCAATATGATAAAGTCAGTGGAATTAACAGATGGAATAAGGAAGCGTTACTTTGGGGAAATTCGTCAAGGAAACTTGACTGAGGTGAATATGGTCTTTCGATTATTTGCTATACTTGCCCATTTATTTTTACACTTGTCAGGCGCTTGTCACTGTTGTTTTTACATGTATTAAAGTTGTTTGACCCAAACAATTGCTTTTCCCTTTTAGGCAAATGAAGTGGAGCTAACGAAACCACGAGCATGTAGCCTCGTTGCGAAGTGTTTTGTAGAAGTGCTTGTTATTGAAAAAGAGGTATTTGTTATTATACAAGTAGGAAACGGTGGGGTTCCGCTTTTTTTTGGACATTGAATGAAGGACAAGGAAAATGATATGATACATTTGTTATCAAAATATCTCTCTTATACAGCTTCTATGATGCATTAAATGTTAACGGTTAAATCGGCTAGGTATCAGGCCAGGCAAAAATTCCAGGCTTGGATCAAAAGTCCTGAGTGGATATGTACACCTGTGATAGGCCCATTCCTGAATCGATAATGCAAAGTACACCTCTATGGCAAACGTGCTTTCCTTGATTTAGTTTCCCCACGAAAATATTGGGTCATTCTTGATTAAAAACAACATACTTGAAAAAATTATTTTAGTTACGACGTATTCAATTTGGTGAAAACCTGTCAGAAGATGATCAATGGCAATGTCTTTATTGTCACATTTTACTTGAAAGATCTGATTAGAGTTCGCTTAATTCTGACATTCTTTGCTTTCCAATTATAGGATTTCATGGATCTTATACACTGTAAACCTGAATTCGAAGACACAAGTGGTGTTTTTCTAAAGTAAGATGACAACCATCCTTTATTCAAGTTAGTGAGTGAATATATAATCCTCTCCATAACATACAGAAATTGCATGTTATTTTGAACCATCTAGACAATTTTCACCAATTGAGCGATTTTCTTTGCATTTACCTACTCTTACTCAAGCATTCTCTCAACTCTTAACAGGTCGTTGCCGATTTTTGAAACATTTCAATTTGCATCTATAGAGAAAGAAACCATAAGAACAAAGTATTTTCCGTACGTATTACAATACTGAAAACGTATAGAATCAAACATATAGCTTTATATACAATTGTCTACTTTAACCGTGAAACTTGGAGTTGCAACTTAGAACCTTCCTGTCCTGTAAGCATGTATACCTCTACATACCCAGGGGGTACTCTGGTTAATTTAGGATAGGCATACTAAGGGTCCTTTTAGGTCTTAAATTTTTGAAGAATCTACAAAAATATAGTAGGGCACCCCTCTCCGGATATCTAGCACTGTATGTTAGACCGCTATATATCAACGTTAGAAATACAAAATATAATATATGTACAGTAATAAATAAACAAAATAAATATACACTTTAAAAATATTTTATGAAATTATAAATGGTCAGAAATGAAGATACTATCTACATTAAAACCACAGTTGAAGATACCGTGTAAGCAAAAGGTGAAATACCCTGAAACTGGTCAAGAGGCAAACACAGTCGAGGTAGCGTTAATTTCAGCCTTCAATGTAGAAAAGTTGAAAAATATCCTTATATCTGACAGATATAAAAATAAAGAAACAATTACATGTTAAATATGAGTCTATACTTGTGCTTTCTCTAGGAAAGATACCATTGTTGTTAAGGATATCGAGAACACGCCATATTTCTATGTTGTAAAATCGGTAAGTAACTGGATAATTCTCAATTTGTATGCTACTAGTCTATTTTGATAGGAAACTGCGTTTAAAAACTCTAGTACACATTCTTCAGACAAGGAGGAACAAAGATCAACAAGAATTCAGATTTTGTTTTGTGAAATTGACAGGGGCCACGCCAAAAAACTGGGAAGGGAACCACAGTCTCGCATCTCTCTGGAGAATGCATTGTCAGAAATGGAGAATTAAACTTTTTCTACTCTCCCCTTTGACGTTCAAGGCGTGGTCCCGGCATTCCTACACCCCTGCTTCCATAAGAAACCGGTCGGCTTGGCTTAGGAATTAGGCCCTTTTCTTTTCTTGGATTTAAAAACTGTAACTCTTGCAGGGTGCGTGCAAATTGCTGCAGAGGTACAAAATTGATGAAGAGGGTGTTCCATTAGTCAAAAAAGGCTTTCTTCCCAAAATGGACAGGGCATCGTTTTGTCATGGCAACTTGACATCAGAATCAACAGATGAACATGAAACTCTTAAAGGTATTTCTGTATGATCTGAATGAAGCATCTGCTTTTACTCGAGGGAGATTCGATAGAGGTTGCTCCTTCAGAGCACTTGCTTTATCGGGACACAAACTTTAACACATTGTACCCAGAGCTCGGGCGGTCACTATTAGGGAGGTTCCAGCAGAAAGGGGTGCGAGTTTCTCTATGGTGATTGCAACACCTTGAAAAGCAAAAAAATTATTTAAGAGTAATTCTTAGAATGCATTTCCTTTTCATTTCAATGTAGGTGGACTTCTTTTAGTAGAAGAAATTTGACTTGCTTCCCCAAGTTCCCTAGGTTGCAAATCCCAAGTGTGGTTTCGCGGGCGAAAAGGACAAATTTAAGTTACATAGATCTGAAAGTAACATAAGCAAGAACTCATAATTGCTGACAATATCGCCTGTGCTTATTTTTAGAGGCAAAGAAACTGTACGAAGATGTTTCAACGTTTTTGAATGGCACAAAAGAGGTAAGCGTGAGTAAGCTGCTTAGAAATTGTTTGCACATGTACGGTGTGTGTGTTGTGTACTATGTTAACGCGAACATGGCAGTTTTAATAAGAAACCCACCCAACTTACCTCTTTCTTTTGCTAATTTCTTTCTTCAGTGGAAGCAAGAGCAAGCAAAAAGAGCCAGCGTTTCAATTGGATGTCCACCGAAATCGTTACATCTTACAGGTGAGGGGTGTTGTTTACCAAAGTCAATTAGTTTTCAGCAAGGAGTGCCTCATTCTTTTTGATCAGCAAAATCCACCGGTGTAATCCAAACAGTGTCCTTTCTATCTACCTTTGAGAAATTTTACCAATTTGCCGACCAACTAAAAATTTTTGGAGTATGGAGTTGAGGTTATCACAATGCCCAGGCCTCCCTAAAATACGCTCCTGTCAGTATTCATAAGTGGGCAATAATCAAAACAACGTTTTTTATAGCGCTGCAAAAAGGAAGAGATATATCAATTCAGCGCAGTGGCGGAAATTATGGAGGCATGGGGGGGGGGGGGGGGCTCATGGGTGGTCAAATTCTCTAAGGACTCAAAGTATAAGGAACCTCATAAAAAAGAAGTCGATTTAAAGAATTGAATTAATCAAACATAACAGAAGTATGGCTAGAAATACTAAACTATTTGAAACGGAAGATAATGACTGCAAGAAATCATTCTGAAATGTAACAATGAAACTTAGCAAAAAAATGAAAGAAAAAATATACAACAGAAAATGAACTAGTTACAATTAGTTATAATCATGTTGTTATCACCAATTTCCTTTTATTAGATATCAATCGTGGTTTCAAAAATTATTAATGGATTGTTCTTCTAGCTAAAAGTGCGTGGTCAGCAAAGATTTCTTAAGGGCTCTGCCCAGAAATCACCTATGTTCATCAAAATGTACAGTGATAATTTATGATAAAAGATGTTATCTTGTCGGAAAATCGTGCGCGTGAGCCAAATGAAAGCCTGAACTTCCGTCACTCATTCAGCGAGTATTCACTATATCGTTACATTCCTTTAGATGTAGAAGATATTTTCCTTGGAACCAAACAAAATTTCTTATATTCTGTGCCATTTCTATCAAAGTACCGCAGCTGCGAGACCAAAAAGGAAGAAGGAAAAGAAAAGCCCTTCCTACACTTGGCGAGTTGGTCTTTGGTAGACAGGACGTTGATTCTGGAACAATCTCGAGTTTAGAGGACAGTAAGCAAAAGGTATTTGATACACACCGTTAACAACATACACAGCTGGAATATACAAATGATCCAACATATCCAATTCTTTATTTTAGCTGTAGAGATAAAATGATACTAAAATTCAAGCAATTACAAAGCCAAGTCAATTTTCTGAAGCACAAATTAGCCCTGCTCATAAGCATTATCCATCCAAATTATTTCCATTGTTTATTCCTTTTATTTTGTTTCCTAAAAGCATGCTCACAACAGGTGCATACATTTTAGGGTGAGATGGGCCTCAAACTTCCATTTATAACCATGAACGCTTCAACAGCATCTTCAACCTCATCGGCAACGAAAAACAGCCCCAGAAATTCTATTCAGCTCACGACATTGCTTCCTCAAAGAAAGCGGCAAAACAGAGAAGCCTATTTCCAAGTTGGTAGTCTGAAAGCGGGAGACATTTACGGTTTAGAGTCAATTTCTGAACAAGCTGTGAAAATTATTCAGCCAGAGATTAACATGCATGTACCTCAAATAACCAGGTCGAAAGCAATAGAAACTGTCGTCGTGAGTGAGGGCAGTGAGTGCATCTTAGTCGACAAGAAACTATTTTTAAAGAAAGCTGACTTCTTCACACTTTCTAGAATTGCAACAATGGACCAAGAAAATTCACCTTCGAACGATGCAAGTCTGCAGATTGAAAAAACGAGAGGCTGGGAAAGCTATAAAAAGAACCTTTTAGATGACATATTAAATCAGTCGAAGCCAAGGAAGAAAAAGCTCCAAAACCCATGATTAAAACGGCTGTGTGAACAGCAATAGCATAAGCCAAGAAAAAAGTAATATCAGTGCTAAAAATAATATTACCAGGAAGAAACTGCGTTAAGGTGGTTTATGTTCATGGCAATGAAATGATCAACCATCGATGCATTATGCAGGCTGTCATTGTAATTCTTATTTGATTCATAAACGCAATTGGGCTTGAGGTATCTAGCTTGTATCTTCTCGACGAAAAACTAGCTTCTATACGATTTTATCGATTGTGAAACTTCATATAAAATTTTATCATAACTCTAACGCTAATTTATTATGGTAACTAGTAGTATACGCATTAAAAGGTATTCAAAGCATCATTTTATGAAAGTAACAGAGCTCAAGATTGACTATGAAACATTCGTTGATATAAAATTGCTGCATGTTTTAGTAAAGTATACTGATAGGGCAAAAGGCAGCTTTCATGCAAAGACGACAAAAACGATCCAAGATACGAATCTTTCTAAGAATTACATCTGAAAATAGCTTTGAAAAAAGCAAACATTTTACGACATACTAAAAGCTTTTTCGTCTGACACTCCTCAGAGCAAAAACGTCAGAATAAGGTTCCGAAAGAACACGATGGAAAATATATACCCAGTTGTGGATCGAAATAGGCCAATCAGAAAAACGCAAGCACAAGACCGGTATAGTTGACCAATCAGTGCCGCGAGCCTAAAGAAAAATTACCAATGGAGTCCAAGAGAGAAAACGAACTCCTTTTGTCTACACAATGGCGGCTTTTTCATTTTTATGTAGATTGACTCCAAAACTGCTAGATGGAAGGACGACCGGGCTCTGCCAATTATCCGAAACATGTCGTCATTATAGAGTTTTGCACAATTTGGGTTGTCTAAAAGATGTTGACCGATGGCAGAATCACTTGTTTTAACAGTGTTTCTAGACCTACAAGATCGAGGAGGCTGTTCTCTTTCTGCTTTCTAAGAATTACATCTGAGAAAAACACAAAAGCAAACATTTTCTAATTCAAAGATTTATTGCATTAGGCTGTTCAGAAGCAGAAGGGTTAATGTAATGGCAACTATTCAAAAACAGAAGACAAAACAGCATGTCGAAAGATCCTAAATTGGGCAGTTTATTTTGATTCATAGCTCACGTCCTTAGTTCAAATAATGTTGAAAATCTTCTTCATTTCAATTATAAGCTGCCAGTCAAGTTTGGTCATATCATCTCTGAAATAACTCTTAAGGACATCGATGGATTCACGAGAAATCTAAAATAGAAAACAATTTATAATACATGGGTTATAATAGGCGAAGAAATTATACAAGTGAACTCAGCCAATTAAGAAAGGAAGATACTTCTGTCAACAAATCGAATAGAAACCCAAATAAAAGTTGATTCTTCTTTGCTCAGCTATCGCAACACAAAAATTAAGTTTAAACAAGGTCAAACAACTTTGATAAATTACTTTGATTGACGACAATTCACAAACTGTTTAAACTTCTATGTGTATTATAAAGAGAATTTGCTGCCATATATGTGAGATGGATACGCCATTAGGGATCTGAACGAAAAAAATGACACAAATCTAAACAAAATGGGAAAATTCAAAACAAAATGGGGCGAATAAAACAAAATGGCACCTTGCTCATAATCGTGTCCTCGTAAGTGAAATGTCTCCCGTACATTCTAGGTGCTTCGCCTGTCGGTTCAATCTTGACACAAACTTCTTGGCCAGCAGTTGCCTTATCCATGTTCTTGTGGTTAGCCTCAATGCCGGTGACGACCCCAATATCACAAAACTGAACAAGAAAGAACTGGGAATAAACATGGGGATATCCAAAACAAGACCCAATAGAGGTTTCGTTTTAGAGTTGCTTCAAGAAGTTTAAAAAGAGGTTGTTCTCTAACAATCGCTGTTTGTTAGAAGACCCTTTTTAAAAAACAAATGAGCTTGCATGGTGTCTGCTTTGCCATGACGTGAAATCGTGTGACATGTATGATATTTGCCTAAATTGTCAACATGGTTCTGGAGAAGTACGGAAGCCGGGTAGAAGTAGTGGCATTGGGGAAAAGAAATTGAAAATATAAATACATTATACAAGCTGCTAGGTGTTCCAAGTAAATGAGTAAGACATTGTAGTATTTGCGAGGCTGTTGACCTCGACGAAACGCTTTTGTCACCATTAACGGGAAAATGTGCCAAAAGCTCTCCAAAGTACTTTACAAACCTCTTTTGCGGGTACAGTTAGCGGCATTCCAAGTCTAAGAGTGCCAGCCTCGATGTGAACCCCAATAACAATAGGGTCTCGCGAATTGAAAATATGTTGAGGTAAGACGCGTAGTTTGCATGGAAATACCGCAAGATTCTTGTGTTTCTCCTTTTGTTTTTGCCTGTAATCCTGAAATTGCAATACAGTAGAACTTTGATAAATTCATTAACAAGTTACTATTTATCAAAACAGGACTAGACTACCATAACAGAAGTAAAAGAAAAAGAGGAACTCAAGGTTTGAACTTAAGGTCATGTCAAGTGCTCATATTTTCTCTGGGTGAATTTTCACATATCCTGATCTAGCATCGCTTACTCATAATCTTAAGATTAGTTAGAAACTTGATGGACAAGAAAAAGACAAAGAATGTTAGATTAGAAAATAACTTTATGACGAGAAAATGACGAACCTCTGTGTATGCAGTAAATTTGTCAAATAAATGATAAATAATATCAGCCGTAAAAATCTTGATTCCTTCCTTGTCGGCCAAATCTTGGGCGTCTCGCTCGACTTTGACGTCAAATGCCAAAACAACCGCATACCTGGACAAAGCAGTGACGATAATTATCACTAAAAGAATGGTTAAACTATTCAGCTTGCGAGCTAGCAAAAAGTGAAGTAAAACCTTTCATTGCAATTTCATAACAAAAATTTATATCTAAAATATGCCTCACATCATTGTTTCAATAGGCCATATTTATCGCTAAAAATTGAAATTTATCTGTGAACGCATAAATTCCAAGTCTCTGAAAAGTATCGGGCAGTTGGATCGGTCCCAGCAACATTCATTGATAAAGCATAGCCAAAATCATGGAGAGTCGAACAACGTATGCACAGACAGATAATACGACCAAGATATGGCAATTTAAGCATCGGAACGCTGGTTCTCCAAGCTTGCAGCTTAACAACCACGCTGGGTTTCATCAATGAGCCCATATCAGCAATCGTACTTGGCCTATCTATGACACCCAAATACTTTCCAACAACACTTTTGTTCAAAACTGTAAACAATTATAAATATAGGCTTTAAATTGATTTGATTAATTGCTCAGCATCCCAAAGAGCTTTCCATTTATGAGAGGAGCACTTTAAAAGGAAACAACAGGATGACAAAAGTTGAATGACTTGGCTTCAGGTCTATTGAGAAAGGCACTGCTGCAAAAATCAAATAAGGGGGAAGGGATACAATTTTGGGGGTTCTGGTTGGGCGTCTGATGTCAGCAAAGGCGTCAACTTACAGCGGTTCGTGTTCCAGCATAACTGACGTCTTCATGACATCCTTCTTATGCACTGGTCCGATGTTTACACCGGAGTACTGCAAGGCAAACGGACATAATATTGAAAGCATGCGTATAACTATGCACAAACTAGCGAACAATTATTGTCACAAGCATGAAATGTAGGAACGAATCTAATCCATTTACTAATAAAAATGACATTAGGTGCCGCAAAATTGCTAGTAAATATAAATTGATTTAGCTGAAGGAACCCCAATGGTAGCAACCTACCGGGATTTTCGAAGTTTTCAAAAACTCGAGAAGAGCTTCCAGCGATCCAAGTGTGGATGCTTGCACGTAAACACCGCGTTCAGATAGCTTGATTGCTTTCAGACTTGAACGAACAATTTCATTGACTTCTTCCTAAATGAAGGGAAAAGCCAGATTAGTAATCAGAACTGCATCTCTCTGCTATCGAATTTCTAGAAAATACAGTATTTAATCGAAAAAATTGAAAACAATACCTTGAGGGGTTCAATTTCATCTGGTTGCTCAGCAACAAAGATAGGTGCTCCAGCCATGACCTTCTCTAAATCTTTACCAGTTATTTTACAACCTTGGGCTGCCAAGAGTTCTTTGTGTTGAATGTAATTACTCTATAGGGAGAGGTATATTCTTTATTGCCTAATTCAAAACTTGAAAGCTGACAAATCAGAATATAAAACAGTAAGTATAAAACAGCGTGATCACAAGATCCTTGAGTACAATAAAGGATTTGGAGGTAAAAAACGAGCCACGCTGCAAACACAACAAAACTTATGCCAAACATTAAAAGTTAGGACAGGCCCATTATTTAGGACACGATGCAGCCAATTAGAGGTTGAAGATTCTGTGTGATCCAGTGCTTACGTCAAATGCCAGTAGAATGCATACAGTTTTTGCAGGGGGTGTCAGTTTCAGTCCCACATGACGATTAAATACGGCCCCTTTATGACGATCAAATATGGGTATACAATTATTGACAAGATCTGCGCATGCGTACTGACTTGAAAAGCACGAGCAAACGAACCTTGATTCTTAGCTCTTTCAGAGGCTGTGGCGTGAGGATGGCTCTAATCTGTGTCACAACTGGACCGTCAATGCCACCAGTTACAATCGTGTCACCTTCTCTCAGCTTACCATTTACCAAAATGACATCAACAGTAGTTCCTAATCCTGGCAACGCTTTGACCTGAAAAAGAGCAACTTTCATTTAAGGGCAAACCACAACTTCTTGAGAAATTCTGGATCACTGAAAGGAGCAGAGGCACTAAGAGAGTAGCCTAGAACTCTTGCCCCTTTTGGTATTCTTTCTAGCTTCTATTTCACGCGTATGATCATGCAATTCGGTACCGATCATCGAATTTGCAAATACCAACTTATAGAACAGACCAATGTTCAACTTATCTAAGCGAGTCAGCAAGGTCCTTGAACACTCTAAGCAACTAAGAATGGACCTTAAAAAAGGATAAGATATTTTTCTTAAAAAGATGCTACTTTGGATTCACGGCTCGTACAAGTTCAGGCACCAGGGACACTTTGCTAAAGCTTTTTACTCAATAGCAATATTGTCTTTTTAGGGATTGAACTATGACTTGTTGTGGATCGATCTCTAAAAAGTTGCCTACGGCTTTTAATTTTGTTCGCATATCTCATAATTGCATACCTAACGGTTTTGCGAACCACTTTGACAATAAAACCTTGGGTTGATATATCGTAATTCATTGGCGACGATCTCCGATGGCGATTCCTAACGATCTAGGGCTGTTAATGACAGTCTACAATGGCTTACGATATATGAAAAACAGAACTTTATCGGCGATAATCCTCCATCGAATTACGCTAAAACCAGGCAAAATTATTATGCAGTGAGTTTAAGTTTTAAATATTAAATATGCAACCATTATCTAGCAATGATTAACAGCTCTGAGGAATTTCTCAAAATGCAAATATATCAAAATGCAGCAACTAACCTCCATAACTGTGCTTTGAATTTCTTGAGAAAATGCTAATTTTTTGGCCAATCGAGTCTGAGTAAGTTTGCAGACCAGTGATATCAGGTCCCCCATCCCGTCTCCGGAGTGTGCTGATGTGGGAACTAATGAAATATAGCTCTTCTCATCAACATTCTTGTAAAACAACTCAGCATTGAGTCCCTAAAACAAGCGACCAGATAACTTTTTATTTCAGAATGTAAAGAGTACACAACAATGTAAAATGCAAAATACAAAAATGTGTGAATACAAAGAATAGTTGAATAAAAAAAAGCAAACCTGTTCAGCGAACTCTCCAATTACTTGCTGAGTCCTTGCTTCGAATTCCAGTTTTGTGTTTTTCTTCTGCTTCTTTATCGTGTCATCGACTTGGCTAGTTGGACCTCTTTTCCATTCAAAGAGACGATCAATCTAAAATTCGATATTTCTTACCTCAATATTGAATCTCTAAAACAACCTAGAGCTTATTTGAAAAAGTACATCAAAAACTAACTTGAAACAACTCAAACTAGCTGAAAGTATTTTCGAAATAAATTAGAACTTCTATAAAGGTCATCCCTATTGATACAGGCAAATGGTCACCCCCAATGTACGTTTCCGCAGCCAAAGCTTTGCACGGCGGATATCTTCAGAGAATGGACGGTAACTTTGGTTCACAAGTGCATCTTACTTCATTGTCATATAAACTAGAAAAACCTGATAGTAACCTGAGGGATCTCGCTACTTTATCATAAAAATTAGGGTCAAACATTTGCAGGCTGGCTTTTTTGGAAAAATAACAAGATAGCTTTACGTTTTTCTAAAGATAGCTGTTTTTGTGATTCAGAGTTTCATACACTACATTTTTAAAGTTTTTGCAATGCTTTTAATCGACAGAAGGCGTTCTGTTACCTTGTTCAGCGCAACAATGAAGGGGGTATGTTTCTTTCTCAATAGATTTATCGATTCAATTGTCTGAGGCTCCAAGCCATGCATAATATCAACAACAAGAATTGCCATATCACACAGACTAGAGCCACGTGTTCGTAGGTTGCTGTAAATGGAAAGATGCAAAAATGAAATACTAGGCATTTCAGGTAGGAGACATTCCAACAACGAGGAACTTCAAGAACGAGGAAATTGAAAAACGAGGCATTCCAGCAATGAGGCATTTGGCCCAAAGTGCGCACATGTAATAGCATTTTCACTGATGGTTGCATCTACTATCTATTCTGAACCGGTTATGGGTTTAAATAATCACTAGAAACAAGCAAACGGCAGAGATTGTTTTCGTCAAACGATTCATGTTTATGTCTTCTTGCCTCTAAACGAATGAGGAATGCAAAACGATGGAAGGACAATATGTTTGTCACATGCGTATAGTGCTGTCTATATGCGATACTTCCTATTATTAAATTGCATTTTTGATCCGAAGCTAAAAATTAATCTTAGCATCATGCGACCTAATTTGAAAGGTAAAAAAAACAAACCTGAAGGATTCGTGACCAGGTGTGTCAATGATCAGTAAGCCAGGTAGCTTGAGGTCGAACTTGAGAAACTAAAAGAAGGAATGAAATATCCATGTTCTTCTGAAACTTGCTGTCTAGTCGGCAACACTGAACAAACAACGTTTATATTTTCACAGATCCTTTTCTCCTATCACTTATTCCTTTCAACCCTATCCATTTGTGGTGACTGTAATGGCTCATCCGGTGCAGGGAATCCTTCTTTTGAAGGAGATCCAGCGTGCATAGCGATGCCTGTTGCGATAGGTCCCCAACACACCTAGTGAAGAAGGCGGGGGGGGGGGGCAATCTGTGTGTGAGTGGTGCGGCTCTGGACTTGGGTTTGAAAATCTGGCCGGGTAGTTTAGTTGATACACAACAACGTAAGTATCATCGGTCGCAGATTCGAGCCCTGTCACGGCCGTGTCACACTTTCCTCCAGTAAACAACACTTGCTAAACGAGAATTTCCTTTGTACGAAACCTCCATAGTCAGTTACTTGTTTTACAGAACAGTTTTACCCCGTTATTTTTATTCAAATTATTCAAATAGTTGGCCCGGTGCTGATGCGTATGCACGGGGGCATATGCATACTATTTCAGGGACCCGCTGCTATACCCTGATAAAAAGGCATTTCTTGATAAAACACGTACAGAAAACCATTGAAGGAACGGTTTGAAATGACCTTGTTTATCATTTTAAGATTAACGGGAATGGAAGATGAAAGACCCCAACACTGCCATCGCATAATAAAAACTAAATAATGTTTTGAACAACTGTTGTGACAACTGTTATTATCAAATAATCGCTTTAATGATTATATCGAAATTAAAACATTCATACAGGTCGTATAAATACTTAAAGAATCTACCTCTTTGATCATTTTTGTCTGCGTTCTAACAGCATCCAGCGGTACCATTGTTGCACCAATCTGCTGAGTAATCCCGCCGGCCTCGCCATCTTGAACATTGGTGTGACGAATCTTTAAAAAAATTAAAGTAACTGTTTACCGGTCTGTTATGAAACGCTCGATGTCGTATAAGCAGAGCTGTACACATTGCATTAAGCGTGAAACTCGAAGTAGGAACTTAGAACCGTTCTGTTCTGTACCACAGAATAGGAATTAGGCACCGGGGAACTCCTGTCCATCAAATGAAGCCTGAAAATTCTAGCGTATGCGCTAACTTATTCGAGGCTTAGCATGTATCTGTCAGGGAAATTTAAGAAAAGAATGAAAGTAGACATCATAGTTCGTTTACTATCTGATTAATGAAAGATAATTTGTCAAGGCTAAGTTCCGTCATATGAAATCGAGGTTAAAGGGGAATTAAGGAATTCTAATTTTGACTCCGCTGTAAAAAAACAACAAAGGAACCGTCCAAAATTAGGCATAGTTTACCCCCCGAGAATCAGGGAAGGTGAAGGCTCGAGGCTCGCTCTTGCGATGTCATGGTATCTTACTTCCTAAACAAGATCCTAAGTTCCTAAACATTGCATAAATGTTCTCCAATAAATAAATAAAAACCTTGTCAAGAATTTTAGTCTTTCCAGTGTCCACATGACCAAGAACGCAGATAACAGGACATCTTAAATGGTCCGTTGTTCGCTTTGCTTCGGCCTCTTCTCTTCGTTTCTATCGACAAAAAAAGAGTCTTCCATTTACAACGTTTCTGAAATAAGCATTAAATACTTGAGAGGTGGGCTTGGTTTTTTAGCCATAGTTACTGGCTAATCTTCGGAGAATATCAATGAGTATGATGATTTAAATATTTGTGCAAAGGTAAGATAGGCGCTTTAACAACAACGAGTCGTCGAGGTATTGTACTACTTGTCGAAACACCATCTTATTTTATGTCAGCTGCAAAGAGACGCTTAATCTGATTGTGTTGTTTGTTAACCTCGCTGGATAGATTGGATTTTAATTATTTTACCGCTGTGCCATTGGATGTTACGCTTGATCCATATTTAGAGTTTTTGCTCGTTGCAAATGCACGCTTTTATCCTTTCACAAACCCTATACTTAATACAAATGAGTGTCAAAGAGCATTCACTCGTGTAGGAGATAGAACAACTCGTCTACTGTGCCCTGTGTGTTTCTTACCATTATCCTTTCTCTGGCCCTTTCTTTGATCTTCTCCGGCGTCAACTTTTCGTACTCCTCCTCACTGCTATCCGATTCTTCCTCGCTCTCATCGTCACTTTCGTAGTCGCTCTCATCTTCTTTAGAATCTGACTCGCTTTCTTCTTCACTTTTCTCTTCTTGCTCCGTCTTCTAAAATATAAATCACAATTGGAACAGGGGATCGCTGCACTAAGAAATTCGATCAGGTAAAAGCAAAATTCATAACTTAAGATAGTCTTGAAGAGTATTTATGAAAATTGGTAAAATTAGTTGGAAACCCGCAACATTTAAGAGTAACAGGCTTATAAACAGCCTATAGCAGTCAGGTCTTTAGTCGCAACAACAGTATACATTGAAATTTAGCTTCATTGGAAAAGTTTGTAAAAATATTCGGAATCAGGTTTAGCTGTCGAGAAAGTTTCGGGAAAAATTGCAAGTTCATTTGACAAATATTTCCTGTTTGTCCGCCATAGCAATATATTGCAATTAAAAACCTTTTTCATGCTTCTTATTGAATTTGAAGGTTCCGGCTTCTCTTTCACATTTTCTTATTGCAAATCACTCCTAATATTTCAATGAAAAACTCTAACATACAATACAATTTTGTTGACAGAAAGAATCTAATTCTGAAAACAATCAAAAATAATAATGTACTAGGCACCTTGGTTGGCTCTGCATTCTCTGGTCCACTTTCACCTATTTTAAAAACAAACGACGAATTTTAAACTTTAACCGACAAAAGGAAATTATAAAAAATTTAAAATAAAAAAGGAAAGGAAAAGAAAAACAATTTTGTGTGAAATCTACTGGTCATCTGAAAACTAGAGCCAACATTGTCAAGAATAGAGTACGCTAAACAAAAACACGAAAAATAAAAAAATTACGAATTATTGGAAGTAAAAATACGAGTTCGAAAAAAGTACCTTTCGTTGGAATCTCTTTTGTTTCAACGACCTTCTCTGTCCCCTTCGGCTAAAACGTTCAATTTGATTAGGGAAAATATTACAGTATTGAAGAGCAGCTTGTGGCAAAATATTTGTTTCCCGCTTATGCAAGAAAGGCAAGATGGTACGAAGGAGCCTTGCTTGTGCATGCGGTTTCTCTGACACTTGATACTCTCAATAAGTGAATGCAGCCTTCGACGGCTTCTTTCTTTTGGGATAGAGATTGACCTAAACTTAGCGAGTGACTCCATGTGTAGAAAAGGGATAGGAGACGTACTGACGATTGGGTATTGCCAACAAACCGCGGCATTAATTATTCCCTTACATTTCTCTTTGTATTGGACAAGGATGCATCAATCGTGAATGCGGAAAAAACTAAGACAAGATCAATAACTATGGAGCTCATTTCGTAAAAGCAAATTCCAAAAAAATCAACTCACATGTTCCCGGGTCTCATCTACATGTTCTTCCCATGAATCTACCAAATCTTCCTTTTTCAAATCTTCAGGAGCTGCACAAAGAATTTTCAACTATGAAACACTTTTTGTCAGATGGTATTTCACACCATTAAGAAACGCATCAGTCTTGTCTCTCTGATCTGAGTTAACTTTGAAAGCCAAGCAGAATCAAATGAAAGAAAGATATGGAAACAGGCATATTGCTAAGGTATGAAGAAGAAGTGACAATATTACTTTGTCACTTCACGCCATTATACCTGGAACCTCTCCCGTTCAAAACAAGAAGTGACTATTTCTGAACTTTCTAACATCACCGATCAGTTTTTTAACAACAGCAGGCATATGCTGCAACCCACGTATAACAGTAAAAATCCTTTTTACATAAGAAATGAACCAATCGCCTTACTTTCAACCTCTTGCACCAATTCTTCTGACTTCTCGACAATATCCACACTGTCATTTTCATTTTCTATTTCTTTCTCACTTTCTTTTTCGCTTTCCTTTTCACTTTCTTTTTCGCCTTCTAAAATAAACAATTTCCATTAAATGTTAAGTTTTCATTTTTGTACAACAAGTAAGGGAGTAAAGGTAAAAAAGATAAATAACAAGAAATCTAAGAAGTAAATAATGTATTTGTAGCCACCACTTATGCAACCATAGCACAGACAGGCTTGTTTATTCACCCAGTGCTTCCCTAAAAATCAACACGAATTTTTCAAACTTTCCTTTGACCTATGGACATGCGTAACGACAGATAGCAGCCTTTTGCTACAATAATTAGCTCGTACCTTTGAATGACTCTCAAATACACTTGGTGTGACTGTAAAAAGTGCTTTAAGGTTACAACGGGAGCTTTAAAAGAAGCATTCTCCCACTTCAAACAACATAATTAACGACAATTCATCACCACTTCCGATCTGAATGGACTAGAATAGACCAAATAGACCAAGCATGTGCAAAAACAAAAAATTCAAGGTGACGTCACAAGATAGAATAGTAATCCTTTGATACGAGCTGTACTACTAATGTGGTATCAGCAAACTGGCAAACACCACCAAACTTTACCTGTCACATCTTTCGACGAGTCTTCTGAAGTTTCTCTTTGAATCGGTTGATTCTTCTTTTTCTTCACGTACTTTACTTTTTTCCGTTGTTCAACTACTTCTTTTGTTGGTACTTCGATTCCTGTTTGCAAAAAAACAAAGTAAGCATCATACTGTCTCGCCATAATGGTTTATCTCCTGCTTAAGCCCTCTTGAATTAACCCAATTCCCTGGCATGAAAATTTCTTTTCACATTTTCAGAATTTTAAAAATATCTTGTTTTCGAAATTGCCTTGTAAAATTTTTTGTTTCTACATGTTGAATACCTCTTTTGGCTTGGTTTACAAAGTTATGAACCAAGACCAAATTACAGAGGTTTGATTGGAAGAGAGCCTGTTCTCATGTGGCCATATCTCAACCAATTTGGAACACATTCAACCAACTTCACGCACCTTTAGATAATCTATGAGGCTTTCTTTGGTCATGTGATCAAAAGTATAAAATTCTTAAAATATATATTTGTGAGTGCTCATTTAAGAACTCTTTCATTCTGATTGCTACATAATTCAGATCAGCATTTCCATAAAGATTAAATAGGACAATGTATATGAATTTATGTCCGTAATATCGATATAAAAGACATCTAGCAAAGGGCTAAAACTTTCAAAAATAGTGACTTAATCTGTGCTCGTTTAGTGGACTCTATTGAACACGTAATTCTTGATACCTGTTCCCTCATAAAAATTGTGGTGTCTGTTTGGTGTTATTTATATTTTGTAGTTTGCGCTTCAATTTTGAAATGGTTTTAGATGTTTTTTTACTTCTGTATCTAAAAAGTGCCATTCGGAAAGGGCATTTTGACAATAGATATTTGAGAAGCAAAAAGCACACAGTAACTAATTGAACTTGGTTTGTTGAGCACTGCATAAATTATAGAGAAGCATTACTTCCTCCTTTTCTGAAAACTACTGAAACCCGAAAGTAATATAATCTATGTGTTGGCAAATAGAGACTTAAAGCTAACTCGTGGTTACCTTGCTGTTTCATGGCAGCTAGCATCATCTCAGCTCTGCGCTTTTGCTCTTTTTGGGCAGGAGTAAGCAACTTTCCCTCTTTCTTCAATTTCTCTTTTCTTTCCTTTAGATGACAAGATCAGTGAAATATGAAAACAAAGGTAATAAATGGCATTTTTGCCAGAGGATTCTGGTTGTTTAATTACGATTCTTAAAGTTCATTGTAACATTCATTGTTAACAGGCATTCTCACAGTAAAATTACAGATTTAGGAATATTCAGATCACAAACCTTTTCCTTTTGCTTTTTCCGTTCTTTCTTTTCCTGTTCCAAACGGATCTAGATAAAAGATTCAGCTATCACATCATTTTTCTTTTAAGGGAAATAGTTACAAACAAAATGGACGTTCAAACCAAGGTTAAACTCTCAAATTGGAACCTTTCCCGCTGTCCATCAAGAGGCAAACTGGCCTATTATCACATAATTAGGGAGATCAACTACAGCGTGGAAAAGAACTGGCCATTCTACCTCATCCTCTGATGACCCAAAGAAGTGTCCACTCTTACATGTATTTCATAATGATCATATAAAGGACTCGCCTTACCTAAAATTTACACGAGAAATCCTGCTTGAAAATACAAAAATATTTATAAACCTGGCTTACTTTTTCAAGACGAAGTTTTTCAGCTTCTTCAAAAGCTCTTTGTTTTTCTTCCTCTTCCTTTTTGAGTTTCTCTTCTTCCAGTTTGAGCTTTTCAAGAGCTTCTTGCATTTGCTTGAGGGCAGCCTTTCCTGGCTTCTTCCCTTTTTTCTTTTCATCTTCTTCCTTTACTTTCTTCTTCTTCTTTTTCTTCTTCTTCTTGTCTCCTTCACCATCATCACCGTCTTCTCCAGATTCCTCCTCCTCTGCTGCAGCAGCATTTTCTGAAAGGACAAACACAAAAATTCACTCACTTAATTTTTGTATATACATGTTGGTGACTCTACGCATTTTTTTGATTGAATCATAAATCTTCTGCAATCACCAATGGCTTGAAGATGTAGGTAACTTGAAACGAAATATTCTAATTACAGAATGCTACAATAAAAAATTTCTAACCAAGTAGCCTCATAGTATCTGGCACCGCTTGCTTGCCAGGCATATTTGCAATTTGCCAAGATTATCACAGTAAAGTGTCTCTCCAGCCAAAATATCCTTAAGGAATTCAGTAAGCTGATCATGAGATTGTAATACTTTGCATAGATTTTAGGTACTTGCATTTCGAAAGTACTTGCATTTCGAAAATTGAATTGAATTATGGGGAAAGAAATTTTCGGTTTTGCAACACTGGTGACAACACAGTGTAATTCAGGTGAATTCGCCTCAGCATGTGAAGCCACTGATTTGTACACCAGCCATTTGCAAGAGGCCATCTGTAATCTGTTAGCAGAGGTAGTAGTTGCAGTTTGAATGCACTTGAGGGTTATTTTTAGCCCAACACAGTTATTTCAACAAAAATAGAATTCACAAGTAAGTGAAAGAGTCAATCAAAATTGCAGTCGAAATCAATAAAACTGATTAGCATAGTGGCATCCAATTGATTTATGTTCATTTTATTTGCTTTCATTAAGGCCTTGGAATGCAAAAATATTTTCGAGCAAGAACCCAGTTCACAGCAACTTGTCACAGCAACAGGTACATTTCAAGAAGGTACAGCTTTATTAGCCTTATGACAAATAATTGGAAATTTAAAACCATAACAGTTTTATCATATTATATAGAGCAAACACATTTTTATGCATAAAATGAGGCATATCTTTGCAAAAGATTCACTTCCTCAAAGTATGGAATATTAATTAAAGACAACAGACCTTCCTGCACTGTGACTGTTGCACCACTGCCTTCCTCGATAGTCCCAGGCTCCTTCACCTCTACCATTGCCTCTTTTTCATTTGCCTGTGATCCTGCTTCCTTATCCTGAGCATCATCTGTCACCTTCTTCTTAGTCTCAGCTTTCTTTTTTGCCTCTTTCTTCTTTTTCTCCTTTTCACGCTCTTTTTTCTCGGCTTTCTTTTGAGCAGCAGTTTTAATTGTTGGTGCGTTTTCATCAACAATACTTTCTTCTGTCTTCATAACAGCTTGCATTGGTGGGCTAACTTCTTCATTGTTTTTCTTTATTGACTCATCAATCTCTGTTTTGGTTTCTTCATGCCCTTCTTGCGTACTGTCTGGCTCTTCCGCCATCTCTTGCTGCTTCAGTTTACCTTTCTTCTTTCCTTTCTTGCCAGTACCCTTCTCTTCTTTATCCAATCCACCCTCAATATCTGCAAGGATAGCATCAAGGTCTTCTTCATCTACCTTCTTTTTCCCTTTTTTCTTCTTTTCTTTGCTTGAAGCAACATTCTGGTCCTGGTCTTTTGGCTTGTCAGATGTTGGTTTTGGTGGTTCATTTTCTTCTACATGGTCTTCGTTCTCAGAGGAATGCTTTTCATCATCGCTTGACAAGGTTTCTTCGACCATCAATGCTTGAAATGATGGTTTTGCAGCCTAAACAGGAAAAGAAATACAAAAAGTTATCCTCAACATTTGGATTACCAATGGATATAACATTGCTCTATAACTTTGATTTTGAAATAAGGGGAGAATATTAATCTAACTGGTTGCATTGGTTCAAGGGTTTCTGAGCATTTCAGGCCAGGTATTTAGGGCACTTACTACGTATTTAAATGATAAGTTTTGTAAACCATGGCATTAAAGATGAATAACCTTAAAAATAAGGGAAAATAATATGATAGCCATACTTCAAAAATGTATCTTCATGAACATTGCATGAACTGGCAGTTTTATATAATCTAATTGCCATATTTCTTTTGCAGGTCAAGTAGATTTTGAAAATTATTCAGGAACAAAGCAATACAACAACAAGAATCAAATGTAACCAGGTGAAATTTTCAAAATAAATTAAATTTAAGGAGTACTAATACACTCTTTTGTTTCATTTACTCTGATGAAGCCCTGTATGCCGGGACAAAATATCAGTATTCCTTAAATTTAATTTATATTGAAAATTTTATCTCGTTACATTGGATTCTTGTCGTCGTATTGCTTTGTTCCTGAATATCTTTCGTATTATTACTCATTGCAAGATTCACAGAATCCGGCAGACAGCCTATCCTGCGGTTATTCCTTCTTACACAAGTAGACTATGCCTATTACTTAAAGCATGATGTTTAGTTTAATTGTTATATATATGCTTTAATTCTCAATAACGTTTTATGCTTTGAAAAATGACATTGAAATAGGGCCTAAAAATCCTTTGCATTAAAAGCCCAAATGATAGCCTAAATCACCAAAACTTCTTAACTTGAAAAAATGCTCTGTTAAAAAATGTTCTTTTGCAGCTAAAAATTATAATTTTGACTAGAACAATGGCTAATCCCCTTAACCTATCTATATAGCCAAAATTTCTGGAAACAGTTCCCTGAAGCAACCCACTCAAGATGTTACAATTACAATAATAGAATTTACTAACTCCAAGAGGTAGGGGGGTGTTTCCACTGGTGGAATGGATGTAGGGAATCATGTGTTTGCATTCTTTGTGTAGCAGTTCAAGTTAAAATTAGAAAAAGACATACACTGATATCCATATTGGGAACATCATTTTCTTCATCATCAGAATCTCTAGAATTGATAACAGACTTGGCATGAGAAAACTGAAACAGCTAGCAAATAACAGGATTCAAAATGATGTAAAGTCTAGTTGGTTATCAAAAGGTCAATGGCGTGGCTGGATCAGCAAAACTCTAGATTAGCAAACATTCCTCATAAGCTAAAGAGATTTCTACTTAAATGCTACTGCTTATTGCAGTGATAACATTTATAAAGACAAGCAAAATGTCCATGTTTGATTGAAAAATTGTCAAATCAGGTTTCCAGCAGGCCTGAAGCAGACTCTTATTGAGAAAAGTCTTACAATAGCAAGCCCAAAAAAGTTATTATTTATGCAATAAGTGATGATGCTTTTGTTGAATGCAAGGAAAGGGACCTAAACAGCAATTCTAGCGTCTTCTAACATCAATAAAAGCAGGTGACCAGACATTAATGAGAAAATTACTTACTGGAAAGGGAATCTTTTGGGTTCTGGGCAGAAAAGACTGCTCAGTTAGATTTACCCATTACAATCCTAAGTCTATTCATGGTAAAAGTTTCTTTAAATTTTCAAGGACTTTAAGGCAAAAATGAAGAGAAAATTGAAGTCAAAAGGGGAATCATCCAAAACCCAACAACCTCAGACTAAGCATACTATTATCATGAACTGTTTTTATTGGTCTTAGTTAAATAAACTGTCTTCAATTTGTGATTTTTTTACCGTAAATCCTCAAATAAGCCCCTACGCTCAAAAAAGCTCCCACACTTAAATAAGCCCCCACACTCAAATAAGCCCCCCCCCCAAAATAAGCCCCCACCTAAAAAATCACAATTGTAGAAAAATATCTTATTTCAAAAAAGCCCACACAGGACAATAGCTATACAGTGTAACTCCCTTTGACTTGGAAAGCAAAAAAGTGACTTTTGTGATAATAAAAAATTATAATATTTGTTAGATCTTCACACTTTTTGTAATTTTTCAATTCATTGAGAAAATTATGTCGTTTTTATGTCGACATTTGAGGAAAATACTAAACTTGGGAATAAGCCTCCCTCGCGAATAAGCCCGCAACCAAAAATTCATTTTTGCAAATAAGCCCTGGGGCTTTATTTGAGAATTTACGGTATATAGGATCATACTAAAATTATGATTTCTGACAAAATTTATCATTTTAGCTAATCATTGAAATAATCTAAGCATTTGTAAATAATTGAGTTTAGTATATACAACATTGAAATAATGGAGTTTAGTATATACAACTCCATTAAAACATGCTTTACAATTTTCATTAGTTGTTTCATTGCCCATGTGGATATCTGTACTTTCAGGAATCTTGCAATGTTTTGCCAAAATTGATAAATTGATACAGCTGGCTAGAGATGTCATTGGTACATGAAGAAGCTTTGTCTTGAGAAGCCCTGAACTCAATTCTAATGTTTCGACTTTCTATCAATAGATTGATGATAATACTTCACTCACTTTCTGGCTAATGCTTTCTCTTTCTTCTTTTTTTGCTTCTTTTTTGTTAATTTATCATCTATATCCACATGCTCCTCCTCTTTTTGCAAATCTATACCACTTTCCTTTGCAATTTCTGCTATGTCATTTTCCCTATAAGTAAAAAAAACATATATATACATAACATAAAAGACCATGAAATGAACATTTCAAAGTGGGAAAAAGAAAATTCATAACAAATTCATTTTGGTCAAAATACTGAAGGGCAGGGACATCATTTTGACACAACAAACTTTCCAATCCAATGTGTCATTGCTTTTAACGTGGAATTGTTGTGACTGCAAATAACAGAATTCAAAACAACATTATTTGAAAAATATTTACCAATCATCCTCATCTTTTCGTTTCCCTTTTTTACCTTTACCCATGGCTACAGGACAGTTGCCTTTGAGACACTTGTTTGCGCAGCGTCAGCAGCCAAATTATATCTTCAGTTTTCACTTTAAAGTGTTGAATTCACTCAAAGAGATTGATAACTCTATTACAGCGCAATCCCAAAGATTGCTAGAGTCACTACAAGTTCTATATTCACTTTTCCTTGGTTTATTCAGAACTAAACACTGTTTAAACTTCCCTTCATCCAAATAATCTATCATGACTAACAGGCACGACTTTTTCTAATTGGTTTGTCAACTTTTTAGTTCTTCTCTCGAGGCCACGTTATAGGCCTAAATCAGCTTAGGACAAAACTCTGCATTTTTCCGATTATTCCGTGTTACTGGTAGTCAGTGCTGGTTATCTTCATAAAAGCTGTACGTTGCCGCCCGTATGGAACCAAAGGCAATTAATTGCCAAAGTAACTACATAAATTTTCTTTCAAAACTTTCTCGTGTACTTTCTCAATTCTCACTACCATGAACGTGCATGGGGTAAGAAGGCCTCCTACTTTGGATGTCTTTAAGCCCAAAGGAAATGTATGGGAAAATGGCAAGAACTTAAGGAGCCTTCAAAAGTCTCACTTCCGAGCTTAATCAGACACGAGGCAAAGGTAAAAAGAAAAATTTGTAATGACGCAATCAGAGGCCTTCTTAGGCTCGGGTAATAGACCTTAAAATATTTGGAGGGCGGGGTGGGATAGATGGGCAGGCAATTCTTTTCATTATCTCGCTTCAGTTTTTGGAGTAGATGATATAGAATTGCTGAAGGATTGCTACTATGGAGCGTCGTTTGTTTCTATATTATAATTGTACTTTTTGTAGAGTGTTATTTTGATTTCACATGCCATTCACCCTCATTTTACATGTGCATTTTACATTTTACATGGAATTTATGTTAATCTGCGGCATCTAAATTCTCAGTATAAGCAGTACCGCCGAGAGGGGGGTAGCCGGGGCAACTGCCCCGGGGCCCGGGCCTTTTCGGGGGCCCGTAAAAAATTGAAGCTGCTTTATTCTGTTATATTTTGTAATGATATTAAAGTGAAGACTTAAAGTTATGTATTTTAGTGTGTAAGATATTTTAGAACTTCTCAGCTTAGTCAATAGCAAACTTTTCCGTTTTTGATAATCTACTTGAAAGGCCTGTCCTAGCTCTCGGCGGCCCTGAGTATAAGTCTACCATTTCTTGTGAATTTTCAAATTCTCTTTAACATATCATATTCCCACTGCTTGTTCTTTCTGCGTGGCATTACTTACTATCAGCCTTTATACTCCGAGTGGTGTCTCATTTTGTATGGCGTTTCAAATTTCGTATGGCGTTGTTACACCGATTTCACAAGGCTCCGTTGAGTCCAATACCTGCTTGCAAATCAGTCTAGATTGGTTTGTCAGTTTGTCTTTATGTTAAAATATTTTAATGTTAGTCTTTTTGACTGCAAATTAGGGATCTGTATCATTTTTATCCCTTCTCGATCCGAGCAAATCTTCGAATTTTTGAAATACAACGAAGGAATGGAAAGCGCAATTACTCAATTTTTATAAGAATAACTAATTATTTGCTGAGCCTCTATATTTTTAAATTTTCAAGATTTTGAGCCTTAAATAATTCTTAAGCGACACAAGGTGTAATCAAGATAAATTAATCTTGGTGTACTGGAACTGAGTCGCATTACAGTGTTAGCAAGATATTTTATCTTGGTTTTTAATGCTTTCCAAAAAACTCAAATAAACAAAAAAAATAATTCTTAATGAAGCTTGAGCCTTGCATTATTCTTAAATCATTCTCAAGTTTCAGCGATTTTGAGCCGTAATGTTTTAAATCGCTGATTTCATTCTTATAAAAACCGTGTTTGAGTTTTGACTCTGTTTGAGACCAAGCTGTCGGCTTGACCCTTCATGTATTCATTCTATTGTTTTCTGACCTGCACGTGCTTGCACTCTGTGTTACGTAAGAACGTAGGAATCGCCTTTTTCTTATGGCGATTTCCAGCAAACAGTCTTTCTTGCACATTTCTTGTGGTTGTCCTAAGCATTTATAACGCCGTATCTGTCCTTAAAAGCGTAAGGGTTATCTCAACCACACGAAAACTAGCAAAAGATCTGGAATAATGTTCGGTGAAACACTCGAATCTTTCCGGAATGAGCTACGAGGACTATCACATAAAGAGATAAGAATATTTTTAGCTGACATTTCGTGGCCAAGAACAGTGGAATCTTTGGTTGGCAGTGCAGTTTCTGTGACTGCTAAAAGATCGGAAAAATTTAAAATTTGTGACTTGCTTTGTTGTCCATTTTGCTGTAAAATTCTGGAAGATCCTGTAACTTTGCAATGTGGATGCACTTGCTGCACAAGCTGTAGACCAGACAAGAACAAGAGCCAACTTTCAAATAACAAATCTTGTGCTTATTGTTGTAAACCTTTACCAAATTTGTCTAGGAAACTAGAAATCAATGTGACGGTGAAAAATGTCCTTACTAAACTGTTCGCAACTGAATCTGAAGGCATCGAGTTGAGGAAGGGCGGTACCGAAGCCTACAAATGTGGTGAATTCCTAAAGGCCTTGAAAATCTACGACAAAGTTGTGAAATTATGTAAGTATGCAGCATACTTCAACAATTTCGTGTCATCAGGTAAATCATGACATAAGCGTTTAAAATTTCGTAAATAGTTATTCCAGTCCCGATAATTGGTCAGGATCCCTCCTAGAACATCAAGAAATGTAAGCGTTATGATTACATAACAATGTCAATGGCCTAATCGTTTCAAAAGTTTATTTTGACGCCTTTTGATACTGTGATTAATTTTTCAATGTGATGTGTCGCTGGCGTTCCTTTCCGGCATGTCCGTATTCTGAATTTATTCCTCACTCAAAAGAAATAGTGTTTCATACACTTGGTACTTATGGGGCTTGAATTTGAATCCAGGCGAAATATCCTTTATCATGTCAGCTAGAGTTTCATTTTCTAGAAATGCTAGACTAAATTTGAAGAGAAAATTGAAACTTTTTCTGTCATGTGGATTCAAAACTTTTAAATACCTTTTGGATATCTTTATTTACTAAAGCCTAAGACATAAATTATAATTCCATACACAAAATACTTTTCTGGGTTTACAATTTTTTGTTATCTGAACACCCCTGTTCTAAGGCAGAAAAATAACCCAGAAAAGGCAATCAAGCTTAGCTATAAGATCATTATTTCTTAAATCAAATTTTTACATTGCAATTATTTCCGATAAAAACCACGTGTATGCACTCTTTCTTTCTCATCCATATTAGCCAAAAAAAGTTTATTTCAGAGCTCCCTCGTATTTTCCCCCCATATTCCCCTTAAATTTGAATTAGTAAGACAGACCTCAAATTCACCACCCACTTTCTGTATTGCAAGACACGATGTGAATTTTTGGGTAGGGCACCCAGAGACTCTTCCCCTCATCGAATAAGTGTAACCAAGATTTTTTTTGATGGCCTTGCGGTCTAATTTTAAATGCAGAACTTATATAATTTAGTATTAAGAAGTTTTGCCTTTTTCTACAAGAGTATGCACCTTCCATTAGAAAGCATAACCATTAGAACCGTTTTGCACAGCCAACTGACATGAAAGAGCCCTGGCGCATCAGAAATAAGAGTGCTCAACACTGGCCAAGATAGCTATTTCTCTCAATTCTAACGAAGAATTACCCAAATCGGAGAAGATCGTCATGCAAAAATATAAACAGATTTACTTTGGTGTATTTTTCAGTTAACAGCGAAAAAATTCAGAATAAGAACAGCTTGAAGTTGTCCCATCTTAAGATTTCTACCTACTGGCTACTCACCAACCAACTGTAAGAGAAGAGGGAAGAGTGAAAATGTCAACCATTTCCCAACACATTTTCTTCTCCCGAGGGGCGCATCTACGACTTATCAGAATGATCAGTCTTCTTGCATTGAAGTAGGGCCTAGGTAGCTGAATGATCAGTTAAAGATTTCTTTATTGTGTATCCTGAACAGAGGCGTAACCGTTATAAGGGCTGTAACTGTATATAAACGAGAAAGGAAAGAGGCGCCCGAAAAAATGAAGTTCTCAGGCGCTGTAAGGATCGTGGGGACGCCTTGGGGCATAACCTCGGGACTCTTTCAAGCGCCCAAGTTCTATAAAAGTCCAAGCATTTATTAGATGCATATGTTTTTTCCTTGCTTGACGATATGTTGATCTTGTATTAACAGGAATCTATTCACGTGGTAGTGAAGAATTTCCAAGCAATCACATTTTACCTGTTTCTCCGGTCGAAGAACGCTGTAAATTGCTTTTCAAAACATTGTTGCGTGACTCAGCCTTACAGTTTCTGTCACGTTGTCGAAACAGACGTAGCCATTTTAGCAAAGTACATTAATGCATTACATAAGAAGAATCGTTTCGCAACTAGAGTTACATAATCAATGCTCAGCCAGTGCGCAAATCGAAAATAACAGTGTGGGAATAGGTACTTTCAGCTTCAGTATTTTAATCAGAGATTTCTTTATGCTACACGCAGTGTTTATTTGAGACAAGCCTGTTCGTTCAGTAAGCTAGCATACTTACTTGTATCTCGATATTCTTGGTTTTGCAATATCGTGTTTCGTCGGATTTCTTCGTATTTTGTCGTACTTTTCATATTCTGTCGGATTTATTCGTATTTCGTCGGCTTTTTCTTACTTCGTCTTCTTTTCTCGTCTTTGTGATGAACGACATATGAAAATCAAGGACTTTCTATAAGAGTAAAGCATTGCATTTCGTTTCGTTTCGTTCTGTCTCGTTGCTATGATCCTTATGAACCCAGAAGATGTTTTCCAGGACAAGTAACAATGAGTTCTGAAGAAATCCAATCGAGGAGTTTTTTGAAAGACCAAAATCTTGAAATAAAGAAAACAATGTCGTTGGAAATCCGCTAAAATATGATCATATAAAGCATCCTTTATATTTGTTATCGAAAAGTTCTTATGTTTTAGACCATTAAACCTATTTATGTCACAACCTTTTTAGGGGAAAACGTATCAGTGAAATATCCTAAATAATTTAAGAATATTTCACATGTACTGACAAGATGTGTGATTTTGTAACCTTTAGAGAATCATAGAAATTCATGTGAAACTGAAATGAACTTCGGGAAAAGGAATGCTCCTTCATCTTGGACTATTCGGAGGAAATCTGTTTGGTGAAGTGAAGTTAGTTTACTTGCATGTTACAAAGTATGCTGGTTTCGATTGCTATTGCTTTGCCAATCCTTTGAAGCTATCTCACAACAGACTGTCGATACCATGGTTTTTGCAAGTTTAAGTTTAGTTTAAGAGCCTCGTTCAGAAAGATAAAATTCCATTTTACGTTTCTCCTGTTTCATTCTGCTAGATTTTTTACTCTAAAGAGAAAAGATATGTTTGGAGTAGAAAAGATTTCCTGAAAGCCTCCGCCTCAGAGCCACCGCTTTTGTGGTCTGCCTTGTTATCATACTTTGAAGTACATTTTTATTTTTGTTAAGTTTCTAGGATTACTCGTTCGTGCATAATAAGTGCAGTCCAAAACTTTAAGCATAGGATTTAAAATTACAAGCTGACTAATCATTTAAGTATAACATTGAGATGTATTGTTAAAATTACTGTATTGTGACTACAAGGTTTAAAAACTCATTAAATGTTAGAATCAAATGATAGAATCAATTGAGTGCTTGCGCTCTAATGTGTTTCGTAAGGGACTGGATACATTTCTTGATTACTGAATGAGAGGCTATGATTAGAATCTTAACGAGATATTCTTGAAATATGTTTTGCAGGTGTTTCTATTGTTAATACATTGTAATTATTGCGCAAAAATGCAGGTGCATTGGCCTAAGGTGTTGGGCGATACCTGATGACGACTGTGAGATTTCAATCGAAAGTCGTTAGACACGCATTTCCCTCTAAAATCATATTCTCCCTCACCAGTGGTAGAAAATGATTTTGATCTGTATTTAAAATCATTTACTCTATGCTAGGAAATATATATATACTCAGTTGTGGAGCGAAATATTTTTGGTCTGTGTTCTGATGTTTTATGCTCTGAACAGTGTCAGACGAAAAGCTTCAGCATGATACAAAATATTTGCTTTTTGAAGCTATTTTTAAGATTTTTAACGCCAAAAGGTTGTTTCTACAATGCTACATCTATCCTAAACTGGCTCAAGGCAGCGAGAGCTGGAATATCTCCACTGCAATGGTTGATTGCAAACTGTAGAAATATGGTTCATCAGAAGGATGCTTAGGATATCATTGAGAGAACATTTCAGCAACAAACATGTCCTGGAAAGAGCTAGAAAAAAACAATAAGAAAGAGTTAACTAGAGTTTTTCGGACACATTATAAATATAATTTTCTGTCTGTGTTCTAACGTTATCATTTAGCATGCAGATGAGGATTCCCTTCAAGTTTCAATTCTCAACATTGTTTATGGCGTGACAATCGTAATGAATATTTCATGTACTTGCCCATTCTACCTTACCTCTAATTTCAGTCAATATATTGAAACTTATTCTTTACATATATGTTTGCCAGGATACTCGGCATTCCTTTTTCTGTATAGCTGCTGTACACTTCTGTTCGGATGCAAAGTGCAGCGGCAGCTTAAAATGTTTAGTGCTTATTATTCTTAAAGTATTTGTAGTTAGAAATACCGAGGAATGTTACAAAAATGTCTTTTGGTTATAAAGAAGTGAATAAGCAAGCAGACTAGTCAAGCTCTTACCATCCATTTTTCGCGAATACGTCATATGAAATAGGATGAGCGATGATTATTGAAACAATTAATTTTGCTATTTGAGTAAAAGGGGCATTTCATTTTGCTATAGAAGTACGATCTTCTTCAAGGCGTCTTTTTCGCCTGAAACTTTGACCTAGTACTCAACAATGCAGACTCTAGAAAACAAGGTTGGATATGATAACTTTTTTCCAAATGGAAAGATTAAAACATATGATCATATTCTACTCGTGGCACTGCATAACATATTCAGCAGGCCTAAGGCTATAGGATATCGACCACGATGCGAACAATGTTAAATGATTGACAACGGATAACTGCAGCCTCAGTGAAGGCATATTCAGTCGTTATAATGACCAGTGTCCATGTCGTAATTTGTCGTCTTTTCTCGATAGGCCCTCAAGACCACCTTGCCTGGAGGTACAGGGCTGAAATTCTGTTGGAGTTGGGAAGAACTGATGAAGCACTGGAAAATCTCCTAGAATCGCAAAAGATAAACCCATTTTGGGATGAAGTAAGTCCTCCTTTGATTGGCCAATCCGTTTCTGTTTGATGGTTTCTTAAACTTTTGAGCCAGTTAATCGTTTAACCAGTTTTGAGCCAGTTTATCTTTTCAGATGTGGATAGACTTGCTTTTGGAACGAGCAAAATGCTCTTTTCAGATGTGATGTGGATAGATTTGCTTGTGGAACGAGTAAAATGCTCTTTTCAGATGTGATGTGGATAGATTTGCTTGTGGAACGAGTAAAATGCTCTTTTCAGATGTGATGTGGATGGATTTGCTTGTGGAACGAGTAAAATGCTCTTTTCAGATGTGATGTGGATAGATTTGCTTGTGGAACGAGTAAAATGCTCTTTTCAGATGTGATGTGGATAGATTTGCTTGTGGAACCAGTAAAATGCTCCTTTCAGATGTGATGTGGATATATTTGCTTGTGGAACGAGCAAAATGCTCTTTTCAGATGTGATGTGGATAGATTTGCTTGTGGAACGAGCAAAATGCTCTTTTCAGATGTGATGTGGATAGACTTGCTTTTGGAACGAGCAAAATGCTCTTTTCAGATGTGATGTGGATAGATTTGCTTGTGGAACGAGTAAAATGCTCTTTTCAGATGTGATGTGGATAGATTTGCTTGTGGAACGAGTAAAATGCTCTTTTCAGATGTGATGTGGATAGATTTGCTTGTGGAACCAGTAAAATGCTCCTTTCAGATGTGATGTGGATATATTTGCTTGTGGAACGAGCAAAATGCTCTTTTCAGATGTGATGTGGATAGATTTGCTTGTGGAACGAGCAAAATGCTCTTTTCAGATGTGATGTGGATAGATTTGCTTGTGGAACGAGCAAAATGCTCTTTTCAGATGTGATGTGGATATATTTGCTTGTGGAACGAGCAAAATGCTCTTTTCAGATGTGATGTGGATAGATTGCTTGAACGAGCAAAATGCTCTTTTCAGATGTGATGTGGATAGATTTGCTTGTGGAACGAGCAAAATGCTCTTTTCAGATGTGATGTGGATAGACTTGCTTGTGGAACGAGCAAAATGCTCTTTTCAGATGTGATGTGGATAGATTTGCTTGTGGAACGAGTAAAATGCTCTTTTCAGATGTGATGTGGATAGATTTGCTTGTGGAACGAGCAAAATGCTCTTTTCAGATGTGATGTGGATATATTTGCTTGTGGAACGAGAAAAATGCTCTTTTCAGATGTGATGTGGATATATTTGCTTGTGGAACGAGCAAAATGCTCTTTTCAGATGTGATGTGGATATATTTGCTTGTGGAACGAGCAAAATGCTCTTTTCAGATGTGATGTGGATAGATTTGCTTGTGCAACGAGCAAAATGCTCTTTTCAGATGTGATGTGGATAGATTTGCTTTTGGAACGAGCAAAATGCTCTTTTCAGATGTGATGTGGATAGATTTGCTTGTGGAACGAGTAAAATGCTCTTTTCAGATGTGATGTGGATATATTTGCTTATTGACTCGGAAAAAAGTTGCCTTCTCTGCCTGTAGATAGGAGAATATTACCCTGGGTGCCAGAATCTCAGCGAAAGAGTGGGTCGGTGAAAGAGTGGGTCGGGGAAAGAGTAGGTCGGGGAAAGAGTGTGTCGGGGAAAGAGTGGGTAGCAAGCACTAATCAGTTCGATCATCTCTTTCACTGAGGTTCTTGTAAGATAATATTTATTTCTAGAGAGAACTGCGCTAAACTTTTTAATCAATAAGAAAAATAAAATAGTATTTGTACTTAAAGATGGGCAAACCTTTCTTTATTGTTGATTGGGGACCTATTTCCTCATAGATAAATAGATCGAATAGCTCCTTGTGACTTTAAGACATTCTATTTCATGTTACGATTTGGTGTTCCTAGAAATTGGCTCTTGATTTGATGCTTAAGAATCCCTGAAGAGACTGTTAGCACTGAGGTCAACGTAAAACTTAAGAAAGTGATTGCTTATCCTGAGCTTTGTTTCTTAAAAAAATGAGTGTAGTTTTTCTAATTCCCGTCTCGTTTCCAAGGTGTTCCTCCTAAAGGCAAAGGCTTTGTTGAAAGGCAGCAGAAAATGTGACGCTGCCGTATCCCTGTTGATCTGTATCATGATAAACCATCACAACATAGATGCAATCACGTTGCTCAACGAGGTAGGATTATATTGATTGTGATGCCTTGCCTAGTATGATTATGATTATGATTATGATTATGTCAACGTCTATGACTGCTTTCTTTAATTACTGCTAGTTTGATTATAGATAATCATTTTTTCATTTCTCTTGTATCTCTTTCGACCAGGTAGTGCTTGACCTGTTGACGCTTCATTCAACCACGTACCAGCATGATTTCAATGGTAGTGACTTTGAGCTGCAGTCTACAAGAGATGAATCGGACCAACTGAAAAAGGCTGAGGAGGAGGAGTCACAACTAAACACCCTCACCAATATTTTCCAACAATTCAGGCAGGAAACAGATACAATGAACAGTTGAGTATAGCATTTCCTAGTGATAGGCTTCATCAGTTCAAACATTTATTTCCTTCGTCTTGTGATCTTTATAAAAAAGTTCAAAGTACTACCCATTTTGTGGAATCTGTTAATCTTCCCTCGTCCCCTTCAATTTTCTGCAATTTGGGTAATATTTTGAAGGTTAACGTCAAAGTGAGATTGCAAGCTAATTCTCAATGTGAGATTGCATTCTCAATGACTTTCAGAATTCGTTTTTTTAGCCCCTTAGAAGTGAACAGTGGATAATTTTTTTACTAATCAACTAGAAAACTGTTTTTGAACAAAGCTTCCACTTTTCCTCATAAGTATCTGATGGTAGTGAAGAAAATATAATTCATTTTTACCTTGTAATTAAGAATGTGACGTCACTAGTTATTAATAATAATTATTAATAATAATTAGTCACTAGTAATGACGTCACTAGTCATTAGTTATAGCCACTGTAAACAATGTCTCGTTCTATGCAGAAACATTGCCACAATTGAAAGCGACTTTATCCAGTGAGCGACTAAAGCAATTGGAGTTGGAACTCGAATGTAATCTGTGTAGCAGGTATTAAGAGTAATTTTGATATAATTTTTTGAAGACTTAATCTGTCAAGCAAATTTGAAAATGTCAAGAAAAATAAGTTCGAAACAGCTCGCTATGTATGTAGAAGTATGCATCTTTTTAAAACACTAGTTAATCGTGTTATAGTTTTTGTAATGGTAATATTGGTTTTGATAGTGGTCGACTTCCTAAAGTTAAGATTGATTGATTCGTGTTTCAATCACGTAACTGTGCCATGTCTAGTTATTTATTAAAACGATCACTAACTACTTACAAGAAATAGAAACATTAGCACGCCAACCATTTCAAAGCAAAGAAGACCTTGTGAAATTACAAACACGATGTGACTAAAATAGGTTGACTTTTGCTTCATTGATTTTAATGTGGTGCACGAGGTTCTGCTTGTTAATCAGGCTCAGGGACCTAACTACTTCCCATTAAATTTTCAAATGAACCTGTTTATGACAAATTATGACTCGATTGCTTTTATACCTCAGGTTGATTTATGAACCAGTTACAACTGTTTGCGGTCACCTCTTCTGTAAGGATTGTCTTAGACGTTGGCTGGATCATGATCACAGATGCCCTTTATGTCGCTTCTCACTTTTCGAGGTTAGACTTACCACAGATAGATTCCCTCTACTTGTTCTTTCTTTTGTTTCGGGTCTTGAAATTGGTTTGAAACTTTTCTTCTCAGTATCTTCAATGCAGAACAAAGTACTTGAATTAGAACACCCAAGCAGTTTCAATCAATTCTCTGTTTTCAACTCACGCCTATAGAGATAGCTGAGTTAGTTCATTTCCGCAAAAAACAATGTTCGAACTTACACTTCAGCCATTCTGGCTTTAGAAGTACTGGCTACATTCGAGTAGTGTAAATCTATAAAGGGAGAGGGAAAACTGAGCATTCCAAGACTTTTGGCAGGCATTGCTGTTTGCAAAAGCCTGTCCTGGTAGTGAAACATTGTTTTCATGACAAACGTTATCCAAGAAGTCTTGCTTGGCACTGTAGTATATGAATAATTCGTGAGCCTTCTTTCAAATTAATTTTTAATATTCAGTCTCTTCTTTTCCAGTTCATAGGCTTTTGGGATCTCGTGAGTACCTATTTCTTACTTAAGTGTATTTTAAAGCTATCAATTTTTTATTCAATTGTATCGATCACGCCAAAAATGTTTCCAGGAACGTTAGCTGTCTGTTGCCTTGCCTTTAGGGAGAGTCTTCCACCAGACATGGTTACTTCCCAAATATTAAAAAATAATTGTTCCATGATACTTTGATGGAATTCTTGGTTTTACATCTATGACTAAGCCTTCCACATATAGAACAATTCTCTTTGCCGAGCCATATCTACCGGATAACAAAATGGATGGCTAACTACAGATAGTATTTAAAGGTCAATAAGTTATCCGGCAAGCTATTGGTAGTAGTCCGCTGAGCAAAAATGGTCAATGGGTTAAATACAGAAAACCCAGGCTCCTTGCGAATCGGCTCAAGACCCTTGCCTACCGTAAAACGCTCCGTGTGATCCAATCCTGTCCACTTGCAAACCTGGCCAGGACTTCTAAAGATTAAAATTTGTATAAACAGGAGAACCTTACTTTAAGTGATAAAAAATTTCGATTATCAAGAACTATTTGAAAGATCTATCACGACTTCTATAGAGGCAGCTTCTTCAATATTGTGAATAGATGGGAAATAAGGTTACATTGAATAATCGGTCATTCTTGTGATACATTCGTAGATCGAAATACACTTGTAATATCAGGCCTCATATACAGCAAAAGATTGTGAAGGTACACTAAATTTCAATTTACAAATAAATGTACCTGAATGTATTGCACTTTTATTTTGCAAATATTTTTTCTCTTTTCAGGAAATAACAACTCTTGTCGACCAGCTTACGAAAGAACTTTTTCCAGAAATTGTTAAGGAGATGGCTGATCACCGTTCTTCAGAACTGAGGCAGTTGGCCAGGTATGTCACAGCTCAAAAATGGCGGGCAAAAATGATATTTTGTGCTAATTAGCATGATATCTTGTGAAAATGCCAAACAGCCCTTAGGCAAAGTAGCAGTTCACTTTAGAATCTACTAGTGTAAGAGAAGAGAAGAATTGTCAAATTGAAATCTTTATTTCCCGCATGGTTGCTACTTTAGAGCTAGCTGATGATCTTATATCCACTGGCGGATGCCTGGGGGGAGGGGCGTGCAGGGGGGCGGTCGTTTGTTCTTTTGCTCTAAAACAATGGGAAAATGTGACGTCATCTTATCAAACCAATAGACTTGCCCCCTTTCCAATATTTGACCAAGTGTCAGCCCCTGCTGACAACTTATATCTTTTCTCGAACAAGAAAGCAAGCAAGAAATTAGGATATTGCAGAAACTAGCAGTTGTTCCAAGGAATTCAAAGCTTGCAATATCAAAGAAAACACTTAAACTTAAGTGAGTTAATATAAAATTTGGTTCCGCTACACACAAAATTTACCCACTACTGTGATTTTTTTCTGATAAACTATTAAAACAAAACTTTTGGTTTTTGAATTTGGATATTGTAAAAATTTATCTTCATGTTGACTTGGCACGATGAGGGCTCGACTTAATTATTCAATTACAAAATTGAGAGAGGCAAAAAGAAACTTATAGAGTTTCGAAGCTTAAAATATCAGAAATTTTCAGAACAATTATACTTTTTACAACGAAATTCACTTTACAAAAATTATGTTTTCCACACAGCTTGGAAGTTGGCACAGTAAAAAATTCTGTTGATGCTACCAAATTTTCAACTTGTCCAAGATAAATTTGATAAGCATAGGCAAGGAAGACAAATTTGTTTACGTTCATTCCAATCTATTTTATGAGCATGAACTCGCTAAAGCATTTGGGCGACTTTTTTGACGTTCAATCTGTTTCCTTCATACAGCGTCGCAACTGACACGGCAGAGTCAATACCTATTTTCGTATGCTCAAACTCATTGCCAACCAGACCCATAAGACTGCAAATATTCGAACCACGCTACCGTTTGATGTTACGTCAATGTATGGAATCAGGGTCTAAACAATTCGGAATGTGTGCCTATAGCAGCGAAACAGGGTATGAAATCTTACTCATTTTTGCGGTTTGCAAAATTGCGAAACGGCAGAAAAGTATGAAGGCAAATCCAATTATATATCAACATGCTCTTTTTCATGAAATTATTGTTACCGTGTAGAACATTATTTTTACCATTTAAGAGCTTTTGATATGTAGAACAAGAGTTTTAAGTTGCAATTCTGACTTTCACCCATAATGTTATCATGCGGCAAAACCCATTACGATAGTTTAATTTCTAATGGGAGATGAGTCTTTCATCTTTTGTTGTCATTCAAGATCAGCATAACAACAGAAACAATACTGATATAAGTAAACATATTTATAACGCAAAAGGACAAACTGTCTCAGAATAATTCCATCGAAAGTATAACACGATCACTTATCTTTAGAATAATTGTTATTATCCATGAAATAGTTTGCTATAAAAACAGTTCACATTTCATCATTGAATTTTAAATGGAGCAACTTTGATGAAGTTTAATATGGACAATGGTTTGTTTTTCAATCATTTAATTGCACATTTATTTGATAGTTTTGCTGACTATGGCAGTATGGTGGAAGTTAAGAACGCTTATTTTGTGCCGGATGGGCGAGCTTTTCTTGAATGTTGTGGAGGAAGACGATTTAAGGTATTTTTTCTTTAACAATTAATCCTTTATGTAAGGGTATAGATAGTGTATCATACGTTTCTCATCAATCATATATATATTATATATCATTATGTTAGTATTCCTTTATCATATAAAGATGCCATCAGTCAGTATTGACCATGGCCTAGAAAGCCAGCTATTTATAAAGAAAAACTGTTCACTTCATTAGAACACCCTGAGGTTCGTCATTAACACTAACAAAGAGAACCATACATGCAGAGACAGGAATATAACGGCCCCACGGCCTGTGGCCGGTGGAAGGTTGTAAAAACAAAAGGAAATTGAGGAAAGTGACCAAAAATTTGGAGACTTTAGAAAATTGAAAAAAATCGTATTACCTTTTGGCTTTCAAAGTCCAAGATAAGGAAAGTTTTAAAGTAGGATATACTTGGCGAGAGGAAAATTGACAACTTTTCTAGGCTCTGCATACCTGACTGTTATGAAGAATAGGTTTAAATGAGTTAAATGTCATTCTTTTGCTAGGTCTTATCAAGGGAGATGAAGGATGGGTACAATACAGCCAAAGTTCGATGGTTAAAAGATGCAGCTGTTACAGATAACGATCTAGGTATCGTTTGAGGCATTTAAATTAAACTTAACATTACATGGTTATAGTTAAGATAAAAGCACCATAGTGTTACTTGTTATTGTAAACAGGTTTTCAAAAAAAGTGCGACTTTATCACATGAAAAAAAAATTCTGTTTATGAATAACTGTGCAGGTCTGATGCCTGCAATGTAATTAAGCCACATAGACATATTCCTCTACGTGTGCACTTATGTAAATGAAATGACAATTCTTCTAAAGAATCCCATAGCTCCTATAAACCTATGATAATGACAAGATTAGTTTCATTTTTACAATTTAAAATGTGAAGCAATGAGTTGCTTCTAAGAACGGTCACGTTTTATTTACCAAAGTGGTTATGATTTTAAATATTTTATGTATGAAAAAATCATGAAACTATGTACTCTGAGTAGTGTCGGACATAAAAGACTTTTGTGCACTGACTTTATCCCTGCAACCCTGCAATTGGTAGAGCAGAAAGTTGGATACCGTATTTCCTCTGATAAACGCCATCTTTTATTAAAGGCCGCATCAAAAAGTTGCATTTTGTAACAAACGCCGCGGCGTTTAATAGAGGAATTACGGCAGCTATTATAGCTATACGTTTAGCAAAGGGTACAGTGGCAGTGTTGCAAAGTTGACGGCAGCTTGACCCTGCCCTGCCTGTTTTGAATGCTGCAATGCTTCAATGCATTAGATAGGGAAATTTGTCAGTTTCTAAGGTTCCACGGGCAAATATTTGTTCTTCAACTAAGAAGCGGATTTCAAAAGGGGGTAGGAGACTGTTAAATCATGATTCTTATTTTGGAATTCTAAAAGAGGAAAACATACCAGCAGTGCTTGCTGAATGTAGTCAGGACAATGGCCACCTCACAGGGAGCTCATACTTTTTCGTTGAGAGATCGATTTTATTTATCCGGACTGCATTTACTTACTATTTTGCAGGACATCGCTGACAGACTCAAGCGACTATCATACTCATAAATCTCTAATTTTGCGAGAGATGATAAATAAGAAAATAACAATTGCATTTCTTTGCTTCACAGAAATGTTGTCAAAGTTGAATTCTGATGTTTACGCTGAAATGAAGACATTCGTACTAGAGTTCCTGAAACGGCAGAATGTGAGTAACTCAGCCTTTGATTAGACTCCTTTTTATGACACCAAGAGTACACATTATACCGAAGCACTTTTCTTTAAAAACTGAGAACAAAAAAAGAGTATGCCCAGACTAAGAGAGAAAATCTATCAGATAATCAACCGTGCTGCTAAAAATGAAACGTAAAACTGTTATTTTGTGGTCTCAGAAACAATTTATGTTATGTAAATGTAGAAAGGTCATGTTGAAATAAGAAAGACATAAAGAATGCCCGAGTCTCAAATTATCAAAGAAAATGAGAACATCGCGGCCTGGCAAACAGTTTTCTGGCTCTAGTAAAATATATCAGGGAAGAGAGACATACGAAGCGAATTTGTGCCATTACGCTTGAATTTATCCTTTGGTGACCAACTTTTCTCTATGGATAAAGCTTGGCATTCGTGCTTATTGTTAAATATTAGGGATTCACCATTTTCTTTTTCCTTGCAGCAAAGTGTTTTGGCTAGCCAAATCCAGTTTCCTGCATTAGAAAATGACAAAATTGGAAGCAGAGATGGGCCATCTTGGGTATGGTGGCTAATTGACTGCTTTATCGAAGCGACAGAACACAAGATCGAATTCATTTCGTCAGAATCTCTCGAGGAAAGACTGAACATAATTCGCAGTCAGCTCTCAATGAGTTGCTGAGTTGAATTTCTGTTGTTGGCTCCACCTGGGACATTGCCTTTGCCACAGGGGCTGATTAATGGTTTTCAGCCTGGCACCCAAGCTGTTTCGGTAGCCGGGCTTGCTCGCTATGTTCCATGAGTTCAAATAAACTGTATTTTGGTACTTTTTGCAAACCTTTCAGCCCGGCAACCATATTTATTATGGTTCAGCCAACCGGGCAGTCTCGCGCCCTAGCCTGCAAAAGATGAAAATTCCTTCGTTTTTCGCAAGGCTGAAAAGTCTTCATTTGACAGGGGGCACTGTTTGTCTAAAAATATGCGCGACAACTTGCGAGTCATCTAGGATACCGGGCTAAAAAGGTAGTTTTTCATCACATAAAGTACCAAAGTTGCAAGCTGTCCTGGCTACAAAGTCAGCTCTTGTGCTGGGCGTAAATGTGATAAAACAGTCAGCCCCTGAGTTACTTGCCATTAGGGTAACAGTTTGCTTTATGGTTTGTCGTTGAAATTGAAAATATTGTTGTTCAAAGCGACCCAGCTTTGTTACACTCTATTCTTCATTAGTTGTATAACTTGCTTCTGCATAGACTTGTTGTATCTTGTAGAAAATAGGATCGGTGTAGTTGAATTAACATTGTTGACAGCCATGAATACGGCCCTTCTCTATACACTCATTTTTTCATTTATAAGAAACGTATGTAAGAAAGTAAGTACTTAGGCTACTGAGTCATTGTGCTAGAAAATGCAGATATGTAGGGACAAACCTATTGCGGTCGAGGTAATACCTCAGCCAATGGGTGCTTATTCGAGGGTGGGGGCTTATTCGAGGACATACGGCATGATACTTAAAAAGTTGGCAGCTCTTTTGTCATGCAAATAAGTAAGGCGTTATGGCAGCCCCGCCCACAATTGTCAATGGCTTTATCGTATATTTTGACATCCCTAGATTTTGGAAAAGTTCAGCCTAATTTTTGTAAACACATACTACTATTGGTTTTAGGATGTTATGGAGGGAAAGTGAAGGAAGCTGTGCTTTGAATAATTTATCTTAACATAACTATCAGTAGTTAATATGTTCTGTGTGCGTGTATAGCTAGCCTGCGCACAGACCCGATTGGTTTTTCCAGAGATTAACGGTAAATTTTCCATTAAACTAAATTCATCTCTGGGAAAACCAGTCGAGTCTGCACGCAGTATCTATGTAAAGGTAACTTAACAATTTACATAATTTAATTATTATTCTGCGTTTATTTCATTAAAAATTTTTTAATTCAGACCTTCGTTCTTTTTGTGGAATATTTGCCAAGTCCTTGAAAATTGGTGATTTTTGATCTCGAGGAAGGTAGTGCAAAACAGGAAGTTTAACGTAGCGAAACTTGATCGCATTGTTTTAATAGAAATGTTTATAGTTTTTCATTATATAATTGGAATAAAAAACAAGTGAAAATTGAAAAACGCGAGGTTTATACAAATGAGGTTAAGAGAGGATCAGCTTCAAAGCGGACAATCCAAATCAATTGTTTACTATTTGAAAATTTTTAACTTCCTTCCTATTCATTTTGGCATTCAAGCTTGTTTGGACTCACTAGAAGCATAACTACAATACCCGTCAAAAGTAGTTGGAACACCGAGATTGTATTCGTAATAAATGTATATTTTTCAGTTCATTTCCTTATTTCAAGCAGACGGAACCCCCTCCCCCCCTTAAACAATGTTGGAAAGGAAGATGAACATGTCGCTAAACATGGGTTATACAATTTGCGCTCCAACATACATTTGTTGTCATTATCCAGTCGGAATCCAACATTGTATATGAGGGGAAGGGAGGCGTTTAGTAGGAAAGATGATTGGACTGTTCCAACACTTTTGGCGGGCATTGTAGGTTGCCTAGAGCCTTTGAAAGACCAAAGGCAAACATACCCAAAAGTAAAACATACCCAAACTGTGTGCCTCCTCTCAACAGATGAGAAACCGCTGAAAATCATGCAAAGGCTCTTCCAAACCTTATTTTTAGACAAATAGGGAGGTTTTGGGTAGGGAGGTTAAAACATCTTTGTTTAACACTTTATTTTGGCTATTGATGTCACGAAGAGAAGAGTAGTTCAGGTGATTACACTTTGGACAAGGCATTCAAAATATCAACATGTTTGTAACTTCTCCAGCTTGATGAAAATAGAGAATTGATCGTTGAAGTTTGAAATTTTCTGTTTCTTATCATTTTTTTCTTTTTCCATTTTTCTACCTTGTCTTCTTTAGTAAAAACAAGATTTGAAGCAAATCTAGTTTGATAGAATTCGATGGAAAGAATATACAATTCGCAAGCACTTTCCATTTCTGTTCATTCATTCATTCATTCATTCATTCATTCATTCATTCATTCATTCATTCATTCATTCATTCATTCATTCATTCATTCATTCATTCAATTTCGATTTATATTATAGTCATTTATAGTCATTCGATTTATTTTACCAATTGTATTATTTGTTTGATTAACACTCATTTTGTAAGATAAATTTTATAAGAATACGTGCCTCAAAACCTCTCAAAATGTAAGAACAAATTATGATCAAGCCGAGGCTGCTGTGGCACCGAGAACTGTGGTAGAATGTTGAGAAATCCCCTTAAAAATGTTCATCTCAAAAATGAAGAGGTTCTGCTATCTAGAAGTAGTTTCTTCGGAAAATGAGGTCTCGCTCCTCACTTTTTTGGTAAATGAGGCTTGAGTTTCCCCCTCGAGCAAATCAGCACAAGAAAACTTTGGCAAACACCCTTTTAGGATTAGCTTGAAATTCATTTCAGAATTATTTCTTTTATTTGTTTAAAACTCTTTACTATTTTATAGGCAAACTTTTGTCACATTTGAATAATTCCATTATTCAAAAAAGAATGCACTACATTTTCATGCCCCCTAAACCTAAAGTGTCCATGTTCAATCTATCAATTTTCTTTTCATAGTTCAAAAGTTTGTGAGATAGAACATGTGAGACAAAAATTTGTAAGAAATGCCAAAAAATTAAAGCTTTTTCCTGTTTCACCAGAGCACAAATTGGTAATCACTACACCGTGTACCTTTTTCACTCTTCAAAGAATTTTGTCTGTGTTACAAAATGTTTGCTTTTTTTAGTTTGTCTTTAGCTTGTTATTTTGCTTTTGTCTTGTTTTGTCAGTGAGCTAATTCAAGACATGATTACCTAAAAAAGCTAATCAAAAAATTACGCAAAAATGTTTTCATGGCCATATTTCACGATTCGTCGATTTGATAGCGACACATTTTGTGAGTAAAAATGCAAGAATATTGAATACGTATCCGTGCAGATATTACGTTACCTATTATCCCTAAAATTTCTTCGACAAAACTGTTAAAATGAATGGAATTTTGAAGTGAAGTGAATTAGAAGTAAAAATAAAAAAAATTGGAAGAAATGAAGGTATTGGAGCCTCGTATTCAAGAAAACGAATAAACTTGTATCGAGGTTGCCAAAACAGACAAGAGTCCACAAGAAAACATTATAATTGAAGAAGAATGGACTGGCAGGGAATTTTCTTTTTCATTTCGGTTCGTATAATTCATTTTCTACAGGATTGTCTACTTTTACTCTGGTCTTTCTATTAGAGTGTGATTTAATCATGAATAGAAGAACAGAACAAGGACAAGAAGACAGTCATGCAACATGCATAGGTCCGGAAAAGTCAAACTGGCCATGAAGAATGATTCCAGCTAGTCTGTTTA